AACTATTTTAAAAAATCCATTGATATCATAACTATAAATAAAAAAATACTCTACTTATTTATTTTCACTTGTTTTTCTGTAATATTTATTTAAATATAAAGGCACACTAATCGGGACAGGCACACTAATAGGGACAGTTACCCTAGTCTGAGATCGGAAATGTTGGAAATACCGTTGACTGATTTGCCAAAAATGTTAAGAACGCGTCATCGCACACCTGTATGCAGAATTACGTTCTGTCCGGAAGTTTTACCGGTATGCGTGTAATTTAACATTTTGATGCAAACTAATCAGTTATTTTTATGAGCTGAGAAAAATTCGTTTTTACATAAAGTGACATAAAGATTTTTCCGTCGTTCCGGGACATTTAACTTTTGATAAATAAAAATAAAACTGCAGAGAACAAAAGCTATTACATTTCTACGCGTACTTTATATTACCGCATGTATACATGGTTTGCCTGTGTGTATATTCTACTGATTCTCGTAGGACAGAAGTACTAGTTTTCGTAGAGGTTGTTATTTGACTGTTAGCCAAGACGGTATGATTAATTATTGGACGTTAGATCTCGAGTACGAGCGCACCGTGTATTCCAAGAATCGTTAGTATCTTCAGCATTTTCTCTTTCTCTCTTTCTCGTTCTTCAATTAATATATACTTTTTTCTGTATCTTCAATTCTTTCTATAGCGTACTTAAAAGTGGTGTCCACTTTTATAACTGATATGATCGTGCTGCCGGATGTACAAGTGGTGTGCACAAGTTCGACAGAATATGATTTGAGATTTTACGACACTGCGGCAAAAAAGTTCGATCTTCGTATATTGGTCGGTGTGATAATGTTAACTCTTATAAACAGCCGTTTACACTCTTGTAACTTTCATAAACATTTATTAGTGGTTACACAACGTTTTAATCGAGTAATTAGAGTTTTTAATTTGAACCTCACGTAGAAAGAACAAGAAACATAACAAACACAAACGTAACACCACGAATGTTTAGCAAAAAATCATATTTTCTAATTAAATTAATTAAAATTCGTAAAAATTACCAAAAATATCACGTATCAACATCAGTGCGTTGATTCTTTGATCTTTACTTTTAATAATTTTGTTTTTGTAGATATCCAGTTTAGAACACGCGGTCGTTTGTATGCACTATTACTTCAGCACAGACACGAATGAACCCTCGTACATTGTTCTGGGTGATACAAACGGATCTGTTATAATTATGGCATTTCAATCCGCAGAGAGAGGACCTTTTAATCAGCATCCGGCACATGATACAATCACTCTTCGTTACGACGATCTTATTAAAGTATATATAAAGATTGTGTCATATTACAAAACATATATATGTCAAATATATGTAAATATATATAAATTTTATTTTTATATTACGGAAAATCTTTGTTGAAAAATTCTTATAAATAGGGAAAGTTGCAAGGATTAAACGTGTTGGAGTTCAAGAACATACATTCGAAGTGGACAAACCAGGTGGCTTATTACGGAAGCCTGCGAACTTTCGTATCGTGTAGCCGATGCGATGATCGTTCTCTGTGCGTCTTCAACGTGACGGGCGTGACGCAATACACGTTTCAAGTTCTCATGGGGATATCTTGCTTCACGGTTTGCGAAGGTTTCTTCCTCTTAATAATTGTCTATCAATAAGAGTTAATAATTTTTTTTTTTTTTTTGTTTAATATAATCGCTCTTTCAGAGAGTTGTACACTGGTAACGGGCGGAATAGATAGCGTAGTCCGCGTTTGGAATCCGTTCGTTCCCGGAAAAGCGAACGCCATTCTTCAAGGACATCGTTCTCCTATTTGCGCGCTTGTTATAATAGACGCCGGCAAGCGTGTTTACTCATTGTCAAAAGACAGGTGTATAAAGGTGTGGGATGTCCCGACCCATACCTGCATTCAGGTTCGACAAGTTACTCTTGCGTGTGTCAATCTTTTCTTAATTATTCTACTATTATTTTAAAAAATATATGTAACAAAAAATGTCAAAGCAGACGTACAATCGGTTGCCACGCGAGCTGACCGAATACGCTCCGATGAGCGTAGTGTTCAACACGCTGACTCGCACGATGATCATTGCCAGTATGATGATCGCTATTCTCATTTGCGAACACGTGATTAACGAAGAGACTTCGGACGGCTACACGCACATAAAGGGCGTCAGTTGTGTTCTTTACAATCAGCTTTATCGAGTGGTGATTTCTCATCCATTCTCATTCTTAAATCGCAAATCGTTGTAATGATAACTCGATCAATGAAACGGTAAGTTCTTTATCGTCTCAGATCGTTAGCACCGGAATGGATTCCTGCATCATCGTCTGGAATCCTTGGATTGGACGTCGGATACGTCTGATATCAAACGCTCACAGTATCATGCAATGGGGACAGCTCGTTGATATCGAAATTACGGCGGCTTGTTTCGACAACTCGGAGCAATTTTTAGTGACCGGCGCCAGAGACGGATCGCTGAAAATATGGAACTTCAATACCGGCGTTTGCATGAGATCTATGACGGTCGATCATTCGCGGTACACATCAGTAAAATAACATCAGAGATCTTTTATTAACAGATGTTTTCGATATTCAATTAAATTGCGTGAAAAGAATTATTTATATAAATGCTTTCTTTTCTAACAATTTTATTATAAAACAATACAAATACACTGTTACAAAGTTAAAAATCTTGATAAAATGTAATATTTAATAATCTTTTATTATTACATAGCGAAATAACAAGTGTCGTGTGGCACGAAAATCGAATTCTGTGTTGCGGTTGGAATAAACGCGTCACTGAATTGGTGGCTTTCGAGTCCGACACTTGCAAAAAAGAGTGGACGACCAATCACACCGATGACATTTTGTGCTCGGCTGCGATATTTCCTCATCTGCTAGCCACCGGGACATATAATGGGGAACTGATTCTGTGGAAACTTGAAACGGGTCAGCCGTTTAGAAAGTACCAAGTGATTGATAGTGGCGGAAGGTGACGTCAGTTTGATATTGTTATTAATCGACACGACGAACATGCGAAATGAAAATTAATCGTTTTAACAGATATGCTTTGACGAATACAACAAATGCGCAAATGATCAAAAAATCAAACGAGATCGACAAATCCACCGATCAGCACATTAAGTAATTATAGTAATTAGAAAAGTTTCTCTTTCATAATATTGATATATGTTTATATTATATTGAAATGTGAGAAATGTGTCTCGTGAAACAGAGAATTGACTCCGTGTGTTCACCAAGAATCGGCGTTGAATATCATTCGTGTGATCGCAGTGCGCGCAATGATCTTTCTATCCGCGCGAGAAACGAGACCGGACGTCGGTACGTTGGTGATAGCACTCGATTCCGGTTTGGTGCAAATGTGGACGCATCATCCCGAGGCGGGATTCCTAGGAGCCTTTTCGGTCATCCACACCGTGCGCGATTGCGCCACGTCCTTAGCTACTGATCCTGAAAATCAGTTTCTCGTAACGGGTACCAGAGACAATCAAAACTAACTTAACTAAAACTTCTTTAAACTTCATTTGCAGAGCTAAAACCGTATCTGATTTTTTCCTTTCTTTTGAACTTTCTAGGCCACAGCATCGGATACATAAAAATCTGGCTTCTCTCTAATTACATGTTGCCAAATCCGCCGAAAGTGTGCATGCCGTTACTCAGACTGAAGTTTCCGTTTTTGTGGAAGGACACAATAAACGGAAGAGCAAAAAGAGCGGTACGAGATCAGACGCTGCCGGTTTTACTATCGTCCGTGCGCGGTCATACGCAGGGAATCACTTCTCTTCAAATCATTTCCAGCGCGGAGATAATAGTCAGGTGCAATAACACCGTTTTACAGAATTATTTTTAATATTGATTGTTTTTGCATGAAAATAACAGTGCTAGCGCGGATCGCACGGTACGTTTGTGGAGTTTAAACGGTCGTTACATATCGACATTGGGAACGTTCAGAGATTGGGTGCCGATCTTACCCACTGTGCCGGTACAGAAATATTTTGAGAACTATAGACTACCAGCAGACATTAAGGAACGCGCTAGTTTTACCACTTTAAAGGTATTGAGACATTTACACGAGAATGCGAGATGTACATTTTTATACTTTTTATAACAATATAAAAAGGTACTTTGTGGCGGCAAGAGACAAGTGGAAATAGAAATCAAAGAGAAAGAGATAGATATTCCGAAAGAAATCCTTGAAGAAAAACGACATTTGCTATATGGAAAGCAAGTAGACAAATCGGTACTTGAAAATTATTATGAATTACAAGTACCTAGCAAAACGTATCAAGAATATCTAAAATTGGATACTTCATTGCCATATGTGAGTTTGTTTTGTTACACGTACACACATAGTTCAATTTATATAAAATTTTCTTTTATTATATATGTATATATATATCATGTGTATATTTTCTTTTATTATATATATATATATATGTATATTATGTGTGTATATTTTATTACATATTTATTATATGAAGAAATTTTATTTATGACACAATTTATATTTGCAGATACCGATTTATACACATTTATCAACATACGCTTTGAAATCCGTAAAAACGTCAAAAACTTTGTTCAGGCAAAAAATGAAACTCGCGCAGACATTTTTAAATTAAAAGTATTTTATACATTTACGAAAGGTATATTATACATGACAAGTTCGTTTGTTCGAAAACTTATAATATGTATATACTTTCAGTAAAAAAATTGTATTCTCTCAGAAGTAGCAACGAATGCCCTGCGTTTGACCGCAATGGACAGAACTGGATAAGCCTCTATAAAATTGAATCTGCATCATTAAGTGCACTCTTCCGCAATTAAAATTTACAAAATATTATTTGTTGTATCAATATGTATTTTATACAATGAGAATTGATCAAATGCAATTAAAATACGCAAGTTAGTAATTCATTCAAGAATGTTCTCTACGTATAATTATTTACTAACTGAAGTCCGGGATACACGATGCATTTTTTCATGTGAGATCGCGTGCGAGCAATATCACAACGATTTGATACCTTCGATTTAAAGAGCAATAAATCGCAATTGGCTGATTCCGATTGCTCACGTCGCAATCTGGCACAAAAACAAGCATATCGTATGCAGCAAGCTTAAATCGTTATCATCTACTTACATTACACATGCTCCAATGTCTTTTCGAACAAATATAAAAATTAAGAAATGTATAGACAGTCATGAGAGCTGTTCGCTGGATGTGTGCGAAAATATGCGTGTGTATATATATATATATATATATATATGTATATACAGACCCCGTATATCCCCTAACTAATTTTAAAATATTGCGAAAAAAGTTAGGAGGGTATACGGGGTCTCATATATGAGATGCAAATATAACATTCTATATTTAAGAATTGAAATCTTAATTCAAAAACTCACGTGAAGATTTACACGTGAACACGTGTGTATATATATATATATACATGTATACACGCATATTTTTGTACATCCAGCGAACGGCTCTTACGACCGTCTATACATTTCTTAGTTTAGAAACTTCGGAGCCTAAAAGATTTTTTATTAAAATATAAAAATGACTATATAAATAAGTAAACAAAACATTGTAACGCGTTAAGTCTATTCTATCCTTTCCATCATGGAGATACGTGGAGGTGTTTTCCAGATTGCACTTGATGTGCGCTTCAATCGACTTCTGTCTATACCGTGGAACATTTCAGACAAATCCGGCGTGCATTTGCGAGTGTCGAAGAACTTGAAGACCAAGTCTTGCGGGATGTCCTGTTGCATCACAAGTTGCTTCTTGCGAACATGTGCTATAAATTTAAAAAATTTACATGCGTTTTTCCTCTTTTATATATTCCCCATTCTAACGCTGATGTAAAGTGGAGGAACCACGTACCCTGTGCCCAATGCGGTACTTCATACTTCGGCTTGTTCTCATCGTCCGAATCGTCATCGTCAGGTTCGCTATCTAATTTATAAGTTTTTACACTTTCTTCAGCTTTAGTAGCTTGTTGTTTCTGCTGCAAAAATTAAGATGCGATTAAATCAAAGAATACAGTTAGGCGGAAGATAGCTCGGTGGATCGGTATTGCGGTATAGTAACGCTGGATCGGTCGCGATACTAAATCCCAAAACTCGCTGTCTCAGCCCTTTGAGAACTCAAAGCCATGTGTTAAGACTGTAGATCTCAAATTCGAATAGTTTTTTGACGTAAAAAAAACTTACCTTAGCCGCTTGAGCCGCAAGCATCAGATTTTTCTGTCGTAGCGTTTCGGCGGCTGCTTGTTGTTGAGCTCTCAGTTCCGCTTCCCTGCGTTTTTCAGCTTCTTGCTCGCGACGTCTCTGTTCGGCGAGTAAACGTTCAGTTTCCTCTTGTTCCTGGAGCCGTTGCAATCTCTGCTGCTCCTCTATCTTGCGACGTTCCTCTTTCTCATGCGCTCGTTGCAATTGGACGAGACGCTTTCTCTCAATTTCCTCGCGTTGCTTTTCTTGCAACATCAAGGCTAGTTTAGCCTTCTCTTCTTTTTCCCTCTCCGCCTTTTGTCGTTTTTCCAATTCTTGTTTTTCCTTAGCTTCCCGCGCCAATTTATTTTTCAATTCTTTCTGCTCTCTCCTCCTGCGCGTAAACGCATACACGAGATTTTAAGTTCGAGAGTTAGGCATATCGTCTTGCGCGCTACAAAAGCGCTTTTTACCTACCTCTTCTTCTCTTCCGCCATTTGTCTCAGAGCTTCGTCTCTCTTCTTTCTCGCATCATCTTCACTTCGTTTCTTCTTCTCTTCGTCCAATTGTTCCACAGAATTCGTTTTACTCACGCTTTTCGGTTGAATAAAAGATTCCACGCTTGTAATAATATTCGCGCGCGAGGCCGTCAAAGGTTTCGGATACTAAAATTAAAAAGTACACACACAGTATTTCTATGGACGATGAATTTTTCTCTCGGAGAAAATAAAATTGTAAAATTGTTTGATCTCACATTTAAATTTTGGGTGTTCATAGGAGTGTGAATGCGATTTACAGAAGATGGCATAGGCAACTTCGTTTTGGGTAAAGGTGTTTTTTGCTGCTGCTGTGTTTGCTTAACACCTATTTTATCATTCAAAAGTAACTTGTTGAGTCGTACGGGCATTTCTTTATTCTGAAAAAAAATTTGTTTTTTTGTTTAATAAAATATATCTATGCAAGGAGCAATAAGAGAAATAATTGCCACGTTACGCGTCGCGAGTTTTTTCTTCTACAAGATTGCAAATAACATTGTCAAGAAAAAATGTGTATAGAGAAAGTGCGATAAAAATTGTTAATAAGAAACGTGTTAAATTATGTCTTTTAATTAATTATAACTAATATACTTACTTCTTTCGATTCTTCATTATCTTTCTTTTGTTTTGCTAATGAAATCCTTTTGGCTTTTGCAATCGATTTACGAGCTAGTATTTGTGCGACATTCTTTTCTGTGTTCTTCACTTCTGTCTCAGTGGCGGCAGCGATCATTGCACGAGTTTTTGTTCTTGTTATTCTGGTTGGAGCATCAACAGCAACCGGATTCGTAGGACTATTCATTACCGCTTGCTCAAACGCTTTAACTCGCTTCTTTACAGATTCTTCCGCGTAAGGACTAAATAATGCATTCAATTTGTATCCAGTTTTACTTCCTTTTGCATTTACGGCCGCAATCTTCGTTTGTATTGGTGTATTAGGGATTTCGTCCTCACTAGACATTGATGTGGCACATTTTATTTTTTTCTTATATTCCTGCTTCTTTTTCTTCATCTCGGGCGATGATTCATCGTCTGTTATCAGTCCATTATAATTATCGACATATTTCGTAGAGGTTCTCTTTTCTTTCGAATTTGTGCTGTTTCTTTTGTTTGACCGGTTCTTAAGTACAACCGTCTCGTTTAATCTTCTCTCTTTCTCGTGCGAAATACGCTCCAGCACCACTGTGGCGTTCATCACTTTGTCACACTTGCTAAGACTAAGTTTTAGAGTTGAATTCATAATTGGAATAGGTTTTCCAATGGCATCCTCATACACAGATGTTTCAAATGTATCCGAAGTTGGCGCAACAATCTCGTCGTTAATTTTATTCATTTCTTCATCCTGAGGAGTTTTAGAATGTGATCTGAGAATACGTTGTGGCAATGCAAAAGAGTCCTTTTTCTTTTCAGCAATAATATCTTCTTCATTTTCAGCATCTTTAGTCTTTTCAACAACCCTAGAAACTTGTTCAGATTTTTTCTTGGTTTTTCTCCTTGTAGATTCTTTTGTTTCTGTATTTTCTATTTTGCTATACTTGGCACTTCTGTTATTTTCATCATCATCAGAACCAGATGATGACTTCTTCCTCTTAACCCGAGTTTCTCTCTTTCCCTAATAACATAAAATAACAAACTATAAAATACATAAAGATATACAAAAATATATAAATGCATATATTTCTATCTTGATTTCTGAATGTGTTTTTTTATAAACTTTTAAGAATTTAAATTTCTTTTTTGTATTATTTTACTTAGTCCTTTATGATTACTAGTTCACTTAATATTACAAAAACTATATTAGAGAAAATAATCCTTATTACACTTACTTTTACAGAGGAATTGTTATTTTCACTGTTCGGCTGTCTATATAGCGATGTATTTTGAACCAAGGATTGTTTATAGATTTTTTCTGCTGCTTTTTTAGACGCTCGTCTTTTTGCTCTACCGCCTGCTGTCTGGTTCTGATCTTGTTCCTCTCCATTGGCTGATTGAAAGCTATTCCTGCTACTTCTTTGCGAAGTAGTCTCGAAGATCTCATTCTCCGGTATAGTCTCAATACGTTGGACTGCTTTTTTTCGCAGTAGCTTCGGCGTCTTGGGGATGAACGGCCCGGATGACGATTGTGACAGCTGGGCGGACAGTTCCCGAAAATAGGTAAGACTACTGTCGAAGCTTTCTTCGAGCCGCTTCGACAATTCTACACGGCGATTGTAGATGTTCACTACATCTTTTACGATAATATCTCGAATCTCGTTCTTTGATTTGATGTTCATGATGAAAACACGGTACCGAAACGTTTCTTGAACATGGACGAGAATGCGATTTAATTGTATGCCTGCTGATTTTTTGGCGGGATCAGCAGGACGAATAGAGAACTCGCGTTTCGCCAAAAGAAGCTTAACGACTTTCTGTTTGATTTGAATTTGAAGAGCGCAGCGACATCTGCACCCGCCTTCGAAGGCAAGTGCGTTCGTAATCGAGTTCAAACTGAACCTTGAGAATGTTCATACAATTTGTTTTTAAGGTCCGATCACAATCCTTAGAAATCAGTTCGAGAATTCGAACAAAAGATTGGTTGGATTAATGGAATTCTTTACATGCGATTGGTCAATTCTCTCTGTTGAGAATTATCTCGGATCGATTTCGAGCAATTGTAAACACAAATTGTGGACAAGTTTCATAATACGTATCCAATCGCATTGGTCGATTTATCGAATTTTTGTGAAGAAAGAGATTTCTCACAGATAAACTTTCCTATCTAGTATTTGTATATTAAAAAACGCAATCTCGCGCTGCAGATGACTTTTTCTCTCTTTCTCTCTCTTGCTTCTTGATTTATTCTGTAAATAACAGTTTTTGATATATGTGCGTTTAATAATTACAATCTGATGACGTTTTATGTGAAGATGTCATTTCTCAGGAGTAATTGAGTGCGTTAAATTATGGCAAGTTTTGTTGAGGAAATAAAGGAGCCACTGTCCATGAATAACAAAGGTAACCTCTTACCCCGTTTGCCATGTGTTTTTGTATGAAATTGCTCTGACAGTTGCTTAATTATCAATAATGTTACCCACAAATTGAACCGTGAAAAACTGATGTTACGCAAAATAATTTGCAACTTTCATGCAACACAACTTCGCGAATACATCGTTATTGTATTTACTGTTATGTCAGGATATGTGGTTCCAAGGACATTGATATCCTATGAGGAGATAGCTTCGAAACTTCTCAATGAGAAGTTTTTCTTAACCGCACTGGAATTGCATGCTGAATTATGTGAAGCAGGCAAGGAATTGCCTATTCTCAGAGAGTTTTTTGCAAATCCCAACAATTTTGAAAATTCTAGCAAGCCAGAACCATGTATACCAATGCGTATGTATCTTATTAGTAATAAATTTCTTAGTTCTTTTATTTATCATAAAAAATAATTTTATTTGGAGAATAATTTAAGAGTATATATTTTATATCTTTAGGAAAGTTTTGCTTGAGTTTTGCTCTTTTCCTGAAAAGATATTTTATTAATTAACAAAAATTCTTATAATTGTTATTTGATAACAATGTATAGTAATATAAATATAAATAAAAACCATTTATGTAGCCAGATCTTCTAGTCAGGCAACTTTAGATTCTTTGGACATGACTCGATATTCAGAGGATGGAGCTGGCGTTGATGAAAGAGTAGCGATTTTAGAATTTGAATTGCGTAAAGCTAGAGAAAATATTTCTGCACTACGCGCTAATTTAACTGTAGTAACAGGTACAAGTTTCTTTTTGTTTTGATAACTACTTTTTTTGTGTAGTATCTTGGGAAGATTTCTGATAATAATATACTGATATTAATACTAGAATTGGAAGGCACATTGAAGGTACCAGATAAAAATTCCGAGAAGAATCCGGTTACCGAACTTCCTATCAAACCATATGAAAAACGAGCACTGAATTTCCTTATCAATGAATATTTGTTGACAAGATCGTACAAGCTCACTTCAATTACCTTTAGTGATGAGTGCGAAGATCAGGACTTCGAGGATTGGCAAGATGTGGGATTAAATATCCCCAAGCCTGTGGAATTGTTGCAAATGTATCGGGAATATATGAGAGCGAGCGGACATGACAAACCACCATCTATTAGTGTCGCTGTACAAACTGTTGAGAAATCTGAGGTTGAAGTCGAGATCGAGGAAGTTGAGGAACAAAACGACAAATTCCAAGAAATGGTTTGTTATTTTCACTGTATATAAAATTTCAGAAGAGAGTTGTGTATGTTTTTGAGCCTCTATATAACGTTTTTAAAAATCCGTATTCTTTACAGACAGAACAGATAGAAAGTTTACAACAACAAATCACAATGCTGGAACAAGAAAAAACTGCCATGCAGGAAATTATTTCAGCCAGTAAGGAGAATGTTGTAGAAAATCCAATCAAGGTAAGTAAATTAATTATTTTTAGTGTTGTTTTCTCTTAAAATCAATTTTATAATAATAATATTAAAATACTGTCGTTTTAATTAACAATTTTATTACAGCATATTATTAATAAGAGTGTTTTGTTTACACAGTCAGGTAGCTGCGGAACAATTCGTACCATCAATTCTAGTTCTACTACTCCTGATAAGTTTGAGTTACTTGAATCGCTACCAAGAGACATGTCGACCACTACTCAGGAGCCGGAAGAAGATGATAGCGCTTCTGCAGTAGTTAGTTTAGATGAAACAGATCCAGGGGACAAAGAATGGACAAGATTACAATTACCTCGAGTAAATATAACGGAGAGATCTTCTGTTTTACCAACTGTCTCCTCCAGGTTATTATACACACATATTTAAATTGTTATATTTGTTCGTATTGATATTTTTATTAAAGGTCGAGTTAAATCAGAAGATGACGTAAATCAAAATAATCAAAGAAATTATTGACTAATTTTTATTATTTCCAAAGGTTTTTTTTCAAGCATCTAAAATCTTATATATTTAATAAATATTATAGATACTTACCAACAAAGTTTAAGTCAGAAATAGCGACGCACTGTTTGCCGAATGTTTCGGGATCGATGATATCCTCGGTGGAAGAGCCCTTAAAACGGGGAGTCACGCGAGACACGATAGTCGAGATTCTGACAAATATTTTGCCACGAATAGTGCCTAATGTTATTCTCAATAAGCGGGAAGAAATTATTCCTTTGATTCTCAGTGCAATCCACTTGCATTCAAATTCTAATGAAAGAGAGAAGTTGCTGCAGCTGTTGTTTAACTTGAAGAAGAGGCCACAAGAAGATGAACGGCAAATAATATTAGCGGGTTGGTGTTCATTCACTATAATAATTTAATGATTTAAAAATGTACAGATCTAGATTTTGCAAGAACGTATATTTTTAGTTATACGTATTATATATTTTGATGTGATAACATGTATAATTCAGAAACGAATAGAAAGTTACCATTTTTGTCAGGTTTGATTATGATGGCAAAGCTTGCGGAGGAATCACTGGAAGGCGAAGAAATTCTGACGATCTGTTGGGAACAGAGTCAACACAAGTATCCCGAGAGAAGATTGCTAGCTGTCGAATGTTGCTCTGTTTTAGCGTCCTGCACGTCAGCTTCTATTAGAAATTCTTTGATGCTGTCGATGCTGCAGCAAATGCTACTAGAAGATAAAGATCCTGTTGTTCGAGTTAGCGTTGTGAGAAGTCTTGCGTTGTTAATTGCTTTAATGGACGATCCAGACAAATATTTTCAAGTAACATTTTATTTTTCTTTTGCATTTCTTTTTTTATCGCATTCTTTCATAATTGTAATATATTTTTGTTTATATTTATTTATGATGCAGTGCGAGGAGTTGGCGTTAACAGCACTCCACGATACTTCGCCGGTAGTTGTCGATACGGCATCGACAGTGTTGTTGCCAGTTTTAGCACAATGGGCGTTATCCTTGAAGAGGCTGCACTTGAACTTGCTGCCGCGCATAATCCTAAAAGTAAAGAACCAGTTGAAACCGATGCATTCTCAAACTTCGCCAAATAAAGACTATATCGATGGAGAGAAATTAGTTCCATCGATCGGTATCTTACAAAGTCTCCTGCCCTATACGATCTTATGTGTCGCCGATGTCGATCCGGTGCGATCTTCTGTCAAGGATGGAATATCATCGGACTTGTGTGAGTTATTAAAGGGAGTAGATAACAAGTAATAATATATCTTTAAGTTATTACAAGAAGTAAATAGTACTTAGTGAGTTAAAGATCGAAAGAGAGCGAAAATCGTAAGATTACATAATTAAGAAATTCAAGTATTCGAAGATTTGAAAGATGAAAAAAATCAAAAACAGCTTGTAAGTTGTATGTGGGATCTTTCTGAGCGCAAAATATTTAAAATTCAAATATGATAAATTAAAAAAAATTGTTTTATTTCAAAATTTTAAGGTTCAAAAATCCTTGAAGATTTTTGATTAAAATTTTTATAAAGCTCATAAAGCTCGCACAAAAACAAAGACACAAAAGTTTTCTAGAAACTTTGTGGTGCAGCCGAGGAATTTCTGGCCTTGTGTCACTCTAATATCACCGATCCGAGAATATTCTACGAAGGCTCCGTCGACGTCGGTGTTCTCCTCAATACCTTCTTCTACAAATCTTGGGAAGATGTATCTTGGCCGGAATTAAACTGGTTTACGAAAAAATTGTAAATATAATATTGATTTCATTAAATTAAAATAAAAAATAATATACGTAAATTTTTCTAATCAGAATATTAAATGCAAATGTCTAAATAAATTTGATATTGTATCAAACTTTTATTTCAAGATATTTTCAGATTGGTTTTTTTCTTACAGAGTATTTGATATCTTGGACATGGTGAAGTCCGTGGATGCAACGCACGAAAATGTCTTAAGAACGCTTCTTATGTACATTCAGTCATTATGCATAGGTTTCGGAAGATATATTACAAAAACTAGGGTAAATATAAACGATTTTACGATATTTTAAAAATTCTTCAGTATTTTTAATTTTGCTTTTTAGATTCTTGTCTTTTTGAGTTGTTCACACACGACAATATTAAGATTTTATACATTAAATACATTCTATTTTACAGATACAGACGGTGTTTTTCCCGGAAATCTCGGAACTCGAGGAACAATTGACAACAATATCGACAGATAAAAAAAATATGAGCCTTGCATTAATACCGAGTTATCTGGTGATTTTGAGCACTCTGGATTCCACGGAGCTAACGAACTATTTCAGACAATTTCTCGTGGTTCTATCCATGAGCGGCACTAGTATATCTTGGCTGCAAATCGCCGCGAGTATTTTGTGCGCTCGTGAACAGATGCAAGAATGTGTCCTCGCTAGTTTGTGGGACGGTTTGTGTTGCATCCTATTATTATATGTTTATTACGATTAAAATTATATTTGTGCGTATTACAATGAGCAAAGTTAAATTATCTCTTTTGTTTTCATAGGCGTGGTGCATCAGAGATCTATTGTAAGATGTTCAACAGCAACGCTATTCGGTTCTGCTATCGCGTACGTCTCAGATCGGCTGACAAGTGCCAAGATCGTGCCAGCTATCGTAACGCTTGCCAGCGATCCCGAAGTGTGAGAGATCCTTCCCTATTTATGCATGCATGTATCCGAATCTTAGATCTTATTTAGTTTTGCATGTCTTTTTTAAACTGTCGTGCCAACTCAAACATTCTTCTAATCGATGAAAAAATTTTCTGTCTTACATACATCTATCTTCATATTCTCTGCTTATATATAACTGCGCTCATAAAGAGATTGTGTACAGAGATACGTACAAAAGAAAGACTTAAGTCGTAATATTTATTAACTACAAAAATAAGATAATTTTCTCTGCAATATTTATATTTCTTATTGTTGCGATAACAAAATAATTATTTTCAGTGGTGTGCGTTGCGCAGCAATTTCCTCGTTAGGCCGCATAATAACGGAATGTAAAGTGAAAGAGGCACGCGATAAAGCACGATTAACACTCGAAACGATCGCGAAAGATCCTCAAGAATTTTCTCAAGCCCTGGCAACTTCATTAGTATCCACTTTTGCATTTATCGCTCCAACATGTCCGCAAAATTATATAGAAGACAGTAAGTTAATTTTTGTGATACTGTTTTTTTTTTATTTTCAATGATAATCTCATCGAGAAAAAAGTTATATACTTAATCGTTTCTTACGTACGTACTTGTTATGTTGATATTATTTACAATCGGTGTAATGAGTTATTCTTAATTGCAGTAATAGCAACACAATTGTCAACAATTGCTTCGTTCGCGCTTCAACAGAATCGTAAGATCGAATTAGCGAATGCACTGGTGGAGGCGTACTCCGTGTTAGTCTACTGTCCCTTAAGTAGCCAATGCGTATCCGGAGTAGTGCTGCCGGGACTGCGGCATCTCGAAACGTTAGTGAATCAATGTTTGCCCCAGCAGAAGGATTCAGTGCGTTCGCTACTTAGAGAAGCCGAGTCCAGGCAAGATTTGAAACCAATAGAAAGGTATTGCACACAAATAATTGTCATAAACATTCTGTCATTATCTGTCTATATAAAAAATTATATCATAAATAACATGTATTCTGTACATATATAACTTTTTCTATATCTAGTTTATGTATATATTATATATCTATTTTCTATATCTACATATGTTCTATTCTATCGTATAAATAAGAAAAAACGTTCAATCTTCGTAAATATAAATTTTCACTTAAGGACACTCTCGACGAGTTCTGGGCTCTCCCTGTCGATGGCGACAGTGAACGTCGGTCAGGGAGTCGAGGACATGCGCCAGAGGATGAGCAAGATTTTTCAACAAAAAACTGGTGGATCCCCCAGCATGCCGAGTATTTTCCGCAAGAAATGAATCTCTTTGTATGTCTCTCACAAGAAAATTGAGCATTAAAAATTTGTCGTGTTTCACTGACTCCTTATATAACAAACAAGCAAAAACACTCGTGAGAGCAATTACACCAAGGTTGTTGTTAGAAGCGTAAGTGTATAATGTTGTTTTAACAGATGTTAACTTATTTTTTTATTGCGCTAGATGTAAGCAACACACACGCGTGTAAATTTATTTTGTTTAAATATCAGCGATGCAAAAAAAAAAACAATTTACAAGTGAAGAATATGAACTTTTTTTTACATGTTTTGTAAAACTTGGATATCCATATGGTTAGTCTTACATTTGCAATGTCTGCAACATCTTCCCCGCTCACCTTTCCGACGATCCCCGCCTACTCACTTATATATTAAAAAGGAAACATTCAAGATGAGAAAAGGTAGTTAACAGTAATTAATGTTTAATTTCGAAATCTGTCACTTTACATAGTAATAAACAAACGTCATAGATCATATCGTATATCATATTATATATATATATATGTATATATATATATATATATCGCATATCATCATATATATATAATACACAAGTGTTTTTTTCCTCGTAGATAGTTTACAAAATCAGACTTTCTAGGAATACACATCCTGTTTTCGTCCTGTTCTTGCTCGGTTCTGTTTTCATTTTTCTTTTTATATAATCACAGCTTATCCTGATGCGTCAACGAAACGTCGCTATTGTATCTTTATTTTTTTCGCTCACGGTTTGATAATTCAACATAAATTGTGTTTCAGAGAAAATTCACTAAGACGCACTCAATCCCGATGGACAGGCGCGAAATCCAATCGAAGATACGCGCGACGCGTCTTTTTTATATTTCTAACTTTCACGCGGTGCAAGTTTTGAATTCTCTCATGATCATTTGTGTGTGACGCCGATTATCAAAATTTTTGAGGATTATCTAAAAAGATCCCATCTCAGGACCAGGTAAATAAGCAACCTGGAAGGATCTGAAAGCTCAGTCTACTAGGACTAAAAAACTGATCAGCGTGGATCTATAAAAATCACATAAATAGCACACAATTAGCCGTAATGCGCTTAAATTAACGGGCAAAGTATTTTTTGTAAGTTCTCTAATTCTTTTCGTTTTGTTTCTTTTTCTTAAAATTCATTTACAAACGCATTTTATAAATCACGCAGTACGTTATACTTCGTTTTCTTTTGCACCATCTACACTGTTCTCTTTTCTCTCTCTCTCTCTCTCTCCCTCTCTCTCTTTATCTCGCGATTATTTATAATATTATAAACCCTTCAGTATATTTTTCGTTGACCATCTACAATTACACCGCGCTTTTTTGTTTTCAACGCGCACGAATATAATACCGAAAAGCAACAAAACGAGACGCGTTATACAATTTGTACGGAAGTAGAGAAATGAGTGAACAAAAAAAAAACCGAAAAAAAACCCGTGTTAATACAAAAAAAGAACTTGAACGAGGTCGTTTGATAAATCGTTTGCGTGTGTATGACAAGGCGCGCGATTACGCAAATCGCTATTTTTTTCTTTTTCTCGCGACACGAGAGTTACAAGTCGCAATTACGAGGATCACGAATCGTAGATCGCGAATTATTTTACGCACACATACATCAACGTATGTATATAATAATTAATTCTTAGCCTATCCCCCGTGTGTGTGGTAGTATACATATACGTATATAATATATATACATTGAATATTTTTTTTTTTTTTTTTACTACAATCGTTGGAGAGTGGCGGCGAAGCGAAACCGCGTCCGGAAGAGAACCACGCGCGGTTCACCAAAAAAAATATATGTATATATGTATAGATCTGTATATCGCCTCGTATATTATATTATTAATGAAACGCGCTTGTAGGACTCGCCTAAAGCACCACGTGTGCGAATTGAAACACCACCCCAATCTGGCGCTTCCGGTTCGTCGACGATCGACGATCGACGATCGATCACTCATTGGCATTCCCGTCGTTGACATCCGTTACTTTTATTCGGATGTACAGCATGCTTTATCGGAAACTGCCAACTGGGATTAACATATACATACTTTTTAACTCTTTCGCAACAGGCAGAAACATCACACGTAGTGAATTGCAAAGTATCACGCGACACGCGTGACAAAAGACGTTTCCGGTATTTGAATCTTTGCGAATTCCGGAAATTTGATTTTCGTTTGACAAAATTGCCTGATACTTTTTTCGACTGTGTTATATATGTTGCTTTTGTTCGATTAGAACGTTTTGAACTTCTTTAGCAAACTTCAATTCCACTTCTTTATAACTTTGAATATTCAACACATTGTACCACAGCGATATATAACATGTTTATCTTTTTTTCCTAGGTGACTTTTACGTTTCCTAGCTTTTTTTTTTATCATTCGTGATTATGTGTCTTTAGAGTTTTTTAATTCTCAGATAAATTGAAGGTCTCCAACATTTGTATTTATATATTTATATATATATAAGCATAGAAATTATATACACAAAACTCCAAAAATATATTAATCGATCTGAGAATTCTCAAAACATCCAACGATTAACATCTCTTGACCAAAATTAATTTTTTTGGTGTGATCCTGAGTAAGAAATCGCAAAAGAATTCAAGAAAACGTCTTTTTAACGCGATATATAATTCTTTGAAAGCCGATTTGTCCGACGTCGTGTTTATTTGATTTATTTATAATTCAATATATTAACAGAAACAGCTGACAATCCTATTTTGAAATGTCCTGTATGGTCTGTATGCACGTGTATAATGGACAAATGAAACGGCAGCGTTATAAATTCAAAATATAGCGGTACATGTCGACGCAACATGGTCATGTTGCATCCTGTTTGCAGGAGATCGATTTTTCGTCAGTTTTATTTTTAGTTTTTTTCTTATTTTTTGTTTTTTTTTTGTTTTTTTTTTGTTTTTTTCATTACATTTCGTCAATTCGTCGAGCTCGCACACGTAATCATTAACAAATATATATATATGCATGTGTGTGTCTGTGTGTGTATATTATATATGTATATATGCGCGATCTTTCGTTCTCTCTCTCTTTCTCTCACACTTTCTCTCTTTCTTATACTCTTTCTCTCGTTTTCTTTGCTTTCGCTACTCAGTATATATATATGTATGTGTGTGTGTGTGTGTGTGTGTGTGTGTGTAGGTACATCATCGTAACACCTAAAGCCAAAAGCTCCTGCTTATAGTAATAATAATAAAATAATAATGATAATAATAATATAATAGAGCAATCAATATGGTACTTTCTAATTAATATTAGTAATGGTAATCGATAATCAATAATATACAACATACTTTGAGGCACTTAAATGCGTGCTCAATTAGTCATCCCGATTCTCGCAACATTAGCTACTCCGAATTAATATGTTCTCTTACGCACATTTCGTACTTTTATTTTTTATTCTCTCTCCTTGCCGAATAAAAGCGTGATCTCTAAGATCCTTACAAAATCTTACATCTCACAGTCAGAGGATTAATAAGTAGAAAGCATAAGATGTGATTGCGACGCAGCGAAGAGTATAATGGGCGGTTAGTCAAAAAGGGGCGGGTCGAGAGTGTCGCGTAAAATCGGAAGTGTGTCCGCACGACGCTCTTAGTGGCCTATGAAACTCGACGGTGATCACCGTCGTAACGAATAAACGTTCGTTCAATGCACTGCAACGAACAACCGCGGCGAACGAGACGGAAGAGTAAACGGAATCACGAATGAATGACGAGATTAAAATCGAAAAAATAGGACTGCGATGTCGAGAACTCGGAGAGCACAAGGAATGAAATTATCTTTTGTCTGAAACAAACGCAAAATTTTCAAAAGACCGTTCTTAGGACGTCTTTTGAAGATTTGCGTTCAAAAAAACAGACGAGAGAACGAGACACGAGTTGATTCAGTAATAAAGATAAAATCATGGTTACAAAAAAAGAAAACAAAAAAAAAAGAAAGAAACGAAATAGTTGTATCTTGCAAAAAAAATACACAAATTCGTACGATAAATTAGGAAGTTTCTCGAAGATATTTGCGTCGTCGGGAAAAAAAAAAAAAAAAAGTAAAACGGAGATCGCGGTGATCAGCGTGAAATTGCGAAGGACATCGAGATGGGATTCTTAACTTCGAAGTGCAAAACTACGGAGGAAGATCCTGAAAATTCTGAAATCCGTGGACTCGAATCGAAGGACTTTTCGATCAAGGATGAAGCAAGATCCAGTTAAGAACACGAAAGTGTTCGATTGAGTAATGATCGTGATGAGCAATACAAACGTAACTCTTTTATGTGAAAACTCGTATAATGTGTAAACATATAAATCTACTTACATTTAATTCTAATATCCACGTTGCTTTTCTTGGCAACTTGTCAAAGTAAAAACACGATGCAATACGTGTTTTCTATAAGAGCTAACTAAAGAAAAATCAATTTTTGTAAATAAAATCTACTTATTATTTAAATTTAATTTCTTATATAGTACTAATATGATAATTGCCATTATAAGTAAAGTTAATTAATAAAATATAGTATAATCCTTATAAGAAAAATTCTTGGAAGATGTAACAAAAATAGGTAACACACACGTATGAAAAATTCATGTAATATATCTTCTAAAATCACTTCTCATTTAGAATCTGACTTCATCCTTGTCTTACTTTCGCAGGTCACCGCTGATGTTCTTTGCAATAACAAATTTTCTATGCCGCATAAAATACAAATATGTGATTCTCGACCTTCCTCCTCCCTCACCTCCTCCTCATTATCATCATTATCGTCATCATCATTATTATTATCATCAACGCCATCATCCCTTAAAAACCACGTGCAATCTCATACACGAAATCATAGCTTCCTCAGTTTGCGAAACACGATCTCTCTTCGGTCTCCATTTATTTCTTTATTTTTACTTTTTTTTGTAAGGAGCGAGAGACGTGGAAGAAAGAGGAACTATTCGGGGAATTCCACTGCTTTACATTTAGCGAGAATTCGGCGCGGATTTCGGTGTCCACTTCGTTGCATATCTCGGGAGATTTCGTCAAGCAATGTTTTGTTTTTTGGCACAAATGTATATCTATATAGACACGTGTTTTTCCTGATTATAACATTACGGCCCTGCGCGCGCGAAGGAGGAGCGGGGGAAGGGGTGTTTTCCCTTTAAAAGATTAATATTAATCTTAGTTCTTTTAACGCGGTTTTTGTTTTTACAAGCTAACAAATATATACCTCAATCACAGAACCAAAAGCGATATATAACAATACTCTTCTCTTGCGCGATGTACCGGGTGATCGGGAAGCCACGCAGTCGTGTGTTTGATGCTTTTGAGAGAAAAGTACGACAAACAAAAAAAAACACGATTATCGTTTACGACACGCTACCGCTTTACCCCCCGAGCATTTTATTCTCAAAAATTTTACGTATATCTCGTATATTCGAGAAGTTTTAGATTTGCAAAGTCTTTAGATCTATATATATATATTCGTTATTATAGTCTCTATAACTCTTACCAATTACGAACAAAGTCTTAAAACTAAAAAAAGCTTGTTAAACATTATTAGATACACACTCAAAACTGCGTATCTGTATTGAAAAAACTAGTAAAGACTTATGATTGATAAATGTCTAGCTCTTTAATTAGTTTCGCGATTGTTTAGATTATTTCACTGTTTTACCTGTGGCAACACTGTTAGATTTGTATATTTTTCGAAATCGCTCGATCTTTTTATAGATGTTTTGATCTCCTCAAACAAGACAATTGCTCTTTGGGCCCTTCAATCTGTTTCGGCCCGATAGTTATTAGCGATCCAGAAATTGTGTATTATCTGCTTTTTTTTTACCGTAGTTCTATTTCTGTTATCATAAAGAGTAGAGAGCTCTCTCTTTTTTCGTACATTCTATGCAGATGTTTAGATCAGGCTTCTTAATTTTATTTAATTTCTTTCAAACTCTCTACTCCTCACATTCTTTCAATTCCGAATAAACTACAACCAAATCAATTGCATTTCGCAAAATGTAATAGTTAAAATAACTATGCCGATCTACAAATATCGGCAATATACCTATCATCAAATCTTCGTAGCAACAAACTTACCCCGCTAGACTCACCGATCACCCTGTATAATAATAGCGCCTGCGAGTGCGCTACAATAGCGCACGGTGAATCTCACGCACATTCTCACATGCACACATACACACACTGTCTCATTCTCACCTCCCTCTCTCTTTTTTGCTTTCTTTCTTGATCGATTCGTCGATCGATCGATCGTTGATCGTAGGCGAGACGTCACTGTACAATGTAAAAAGTTTCTTTCTTCCTCAAGCCCGCGACACGTGACATTGTCGGTCCAAGAAGGGAGTGCCGGTGGAGTTAGGTAGATATAGATGAAAAGCAGTGGCGAGCTCCAATATTTCCAATTTTCAGACTCCAAGAAAATCGCAATATGATGTTGATAGCACAGCTAAAACGTCGTTTATTTGCTCCGTTGTCGCCCGCGTGGTAATCCGCATCATTTTTTTTTTTTTTTTGCTGCCTTGCTTTGCAATATCTTAAAGCCGCGTCTCCACCGCTTAGGTATCTTGCTTCCGTTGTCACCTTCACGGCACATAAAGGAACAGTACACATACGCTCTTATAGATGGCTTTTAAAATGGAGAAACAAGACTTTCGACGCTTCCGGTCGATTCATTCTTACATCAATTCGAGGATCGGTTCATGGATCTCATGAAGGGGGTTCGGAAGATATCTTGGGGGTACCTGGGGAAAATCCGAGGATCCAGGCCATGCTTTAAGGATCTGAGAATACGCGACAGTAATGAAAGAGCATATTATAAAGTTGCTAGATGTTGCTACAGAATATAGAAATTATACACATGGACGTTCACGTTCTTATTTAATTTTCATGTCAATTAAAAGACAAATGTCTATAGATACAAAATATAATTGCGATACTGCAGAATCGCAAAAGTCTCTCAGAACTTTAGCATTAAATTAGTTTTAATATTTTAAATAGCTCTCTTTTTTCCGCGTGTATAACTTCATTTAGCACAATCTATGTGGGGAAGTGATTTGAAGCAGAAAAGAATAAACTTACGTGTAAACTTTAAACATTTCTATCCCTCTCATCTGTTTTGTGTTTTGTACAAGGTAGTTCACGGCAATGTTGTGCTACTTGGGCATAGCTTGGCCTCGTAAGATCCTGTAGTAAAGAAACACTTATTAATATCACGCGGTATTTATTATGATAAATATTTATTATGTTCTACACAATTATAAAACAGAATAAATAAAACACAGAATCTTATATATATATTGATTTTAAAAAAAAACTTGTAATATTTATCCAAATTTAGGAATTTAACAATCTTTTATTTCTGAAAACTCGTAGCATTGATCTTTGGATTTCTGTTTTTAAAGAGAATTTATCGAACTTAGATCTGATATATTGACATCAAATTATAATATGCTATGTACCTAAGATATGTATCTTGATAACTATTTCTTTTTAAAAGTACAATTTTTTCACTCTAATACGTAATAACTTACTATAGGGAAGGCAGAGGCCACTCCGGTTTGCGATTGGGAGCTCTGTGAGGCAGTAGGAGGAGGGACGATAACGACGTTGTTGCAATCGCACCTGGTCATCGGTTCAGCATCGTCCGTCGTCGTTGCGGCTGCAGTCGTCATCGTTGCTGCTGCTGCCATCGACGTCGTCGTCGTCGTCGCTGTCGTGGCTGTCGTTGTTATCGTCGACGTTGCCACTGACGGCAGGTGTGCGCTCGCAACTACAGCGTCGTCCACACCGTTCACCATGTTCGAGTCGTCAGTCTTTATAGATCTGTCAGCGGTGTATGGTCAGTAGTAAAGGACTAACAGCATATGCTTACTTAGCTATCCTTATTGGATCCTTACTTAGCTATCCTTGTGAGATTCTCCGAGGATCCGTAGAGATTTTTTTATGGATTCCTCAGATTCTCAAGAATAGATATTCCCCGCCTTTTATTCTTGTTTCTCAAATATAGATACAGAATTTCTAAACGTTCAGGAATATGTATTCTTGAGTTACATTCAGGTTCTTCGATCGTGAGATCTTTAGATTTTTATCTCCTTGGATCTTCTGAGACGTTAAACTCAGTGAATGCTCTCACGTCGCGAAATCATGCGTAATGTAAAAAATTTATGCAATTATATCTCGATGTACATGTGCACAAGTTCAGATAAAAAAATTCGCTAATCATACTAAATTTATAACGTGATATTTACATGCATACATGCACATACTTATTTCATAAGCTAATTGTTATAAATGCACGCTAGTCATTGTTATATCCTGTACGGTATATCACTTTCATTCATGCACAATAAGGAAATTAATTTGTGCAGGCGATTCGATAAATCAGAGATATTAAACAAAAATTCAACTATAAGATATCCAAAACAAAAGATTAGATATTGAATGAAATAATCGAGATATAATATATAAAAATTGTAAATAAAAAAATAAAACAAGAAAAAACATATATTTAGACTATTTTCAAAACAGATAATCAAAATTTATTCTCGTGCAAACCGCGTTGAACGATCGAGGAATACGCAAACAAGAAGGATTTCTGTAATATTGCAAAACATGATCAACAAAGTAATACATATTATTTATTAATTTCTAATTTATTGGTGACAATGCAACTATAGTCATTACCAAAACAATTATCAGGTGCCATGCTAAGGCCATATGCTCTCAAATGTTTACGTTTATTTGGCAGTCACTTGACCATATTACAACTTAACAATATCTTTAGAAATATGAGTTAAACTTCATCATCAAAGAGTTTTTAAAAGTGAACTTGAAACTGTGAAATTGAACAATAATAATAATAATCTTAATATTAAAAATTTTTATAATAATGACAATATATAATCAAAAATAATTGTAATGTATATTAAAGAAAACCCTGAAAAAATAATATCATATATGTATCTCTTTCTAACTTTGTATTATTTGTTGCAATAATACGGGCAAGAACAGAATTATCGTACCACACTATTGCCGCATACATTTCCGCACACACATACAAACATTCTAGAGCGCGTTGCAAGTCCGTTAACAACGGCTGTATAATGTTAAATTTTTTAATCGGAGACACGTGGCGAGTTATATTAGCATTGAAAGAAATAAATTCTTAGATCCCTCGATCATTGTCTGCTCGGGTTCTTAGATTTGCGTAACAATTCTAATATCCTTACAGAACTTCAAATACAAGCTAAATAATTCGGAATCTTCAAATCCTGGAATATCTTTAGCTTCGTCGAGTAAACCCTTGAACTCAAAATTTTTTAATCTTCTGGATTTGCGACTTGTTTTTGCAAAAGATTTTGCGAAAAAAAAAATATATATATATATATATGTGTGTGTAAATGAAATTGAAATAAAAGATTTTAAATGACATTCAAGAATCTTGAATGTCATTTTATATGTGTATCCAACTACCATATGCTCCGATACAGAAGTTCGAATGTCTAACAACTGAAATGCAAAATAATCTATTAACTTCAAAAATTGAGTATATCCAACTGCAGAACAACTGAGTCTATTCGAAATAATTAGAGATATTCGGCAATTTTCAATGACCCAGGAATAAAAGAATCTAAACACTCAAAATGAAGATAAAAAAACCGCATAAAAGAATTCATGATACCACAAACTTAAATCTTTACCTATACTGAACCCTTCTGCTTATAGAATTCTTACAAAAAAAAAAAAAAAAAAAAAGAAAAAAAGAAAAANACAAAATCTAAAGTCCCTAATGAACAAATGACAAAAAAGTACGCGTCTACTATCTTAAATCAGAGAGAGGTACACAATAACGATAAAAATATTAGATGTCAAATTATAGTAACTACAACTACATCTAAATAGTTTATTCGTTAATCAAAGTAAAAAGTAGTGAGAACCACAGCCAAGAATCTAACAGCTTGAAGACCACTGGCATTTTTAAAGTCAAAGAGACTTGATTAACAAAAATATACTTTTTAATATTCTTCATAAAGAAGAATAGAAAAGGATATCTACGGATTCCCGAAAAAAAAACCTTAGACTTTGATGTAAGACTGACATTCCTGTAGTTTTTTAAATCTTAATTTCGTAGATTCTTGGCGTTCGAATTCTCCAAAACAAGATATGCGCAATTCGCCGAGAAAAAAAAGTGGCGAGAATGCAGACGGATAAGATTACACCCGTAACTTGAAAGAACGTTTTTAGTAACGTTCTTTTAATTGAGAGTAGGCTATGACGAGAGAAAGGAAAGTTCTGACTTTTATATTCTTTCGAAAAAAAAAAAAGATTTTTCCTTCCTCGGAAGAGGGAACGAAACAGGTCCGATAATTTCGTAAAAAGGTTGCTTCAAAAGTAACGCGTGTCGTTACTAAACAAGATAGCAATACAACGCAGCCAACAACAAACAATAACAACAATGAAACACAATTCGACGCACTTCTCAAAAGACATATTCAACATGTAAGTTCTATTATGACAGACATGTATAATGCGTATCGTTGAATCTTGAAATTTTCGTGCGATCGTTTCAACGTAGGTTTCTCGCAAAATTTGTCGAGAAAAATGTAAAAATTTTATAAAGAGTTGTTAGAAAAGAATTCAAGAAGAATCGCAAAGTGAAATCAAAAATGAAAAACTGAGATGGATCAAAAGATCCAACGATATATAACAGTTTACTGATCCAAGGATATAAAAATCCAAAGACACAAATGTATTCAGGAACAGTTCAGAGACTATTAGAGAATTCCTCATGTAAATGGAATCCATTATATTGTATTTCTTTTTAATAAATCAGGTATCAATGAGCGATTAGATACAAACACATAAGAGACTGTAGATAAGAATGTACATACTTTTCCTCTCGTGCGAAAAGTACAAAGTAATAAAACTGTGATAACCATTTGCAAGACTAAAAGCAACAGAAAAGTCAACTCTCTCTAGCACTGCACAGAGAAAAAAAGTTTGTTTACTTAAGAAAGTGTTAACGCAACTGCGTGAAAAAAATCGTAGTTACGCGATTGCCTGATCGATTTGTCAAAATAGCAAACTATGCGATTTTAAGATAAATCTAAACCGAACGTGAACATAGAAAATTACTTTAATTGAATCAGAATAGTTTATTGCAAGTATATGATATTACGACACAATCTCTACCACTTCTAATCAAAAAAAACCCTAGTTAATTATATCAAAAACAAATTTGAAGAACTTGGTTTAGGAGAAGATAAAATGAAAATAACAAAATAAATTACGAATAAAATTACACTAAAAAGACCTTGTAAAAAATTTAAATGATTTAAGAACCAAGAACTTTTCACTCTCTGCGCGATACGCATATATGTGTGTATATATATACATATATATATATATATATACGTATATGTGTGTTGGGAGAGCGGAAAGTTTCGTCTTACTTTGGAACAAAACTGCTGTTTGTCGTTTTTTTCACAATTAAAAGTTAACTAAACGATTATATTCAAAACCGAATTCTACTTCTTGATTTCTTGTGCGCATACAACTATTAAACGAGCAAAGAACACACAACGTATTATAGAAGAATCTTAAAAATAGATTCGTATGAAATGTACATTCATATTGTACATTTTCACGACAAACTAAACATTTAAACGTCGTCCGATAAAGATCCGTCAGAGAGAAATATCTTTTTTCCAGAAATCGTAATAGTCTCCAAAAATTGGTAACTAATTCATTAATCTGATCTGACTACAGGTCTCTTTCTCTACTCGCAATCAACTCAACTCTCCGCAATTGCCCGAGACACTGTTTACACCAAGCGAGCGTATAATTAAAAATCCCACTCACTTATCAGGAGATGACGGTGGAGTAAGCGCGACAGTGCTGAGAGCGACGGTGTCAGTTGACGATGCGTTGTCATTACTGGTCGTATTAAGGGCATGCGCGGCATTCGCGGAATTTGTTGACACAATGGTGTTTCCCTGTATCTCCGTTCCTGTGCCCGCTGCTCCAGGACTGGCAGACCTACTGGCAACGTTTGCTGTCGTAGACGGGAGCGTTGCGGTCTGTTGTTGCTGCACTTGAGGCTGCTGCTGACTGCCGCTCTCTTTGTCCTTGATAACGGTCTTGAGCTTGGCAGTGCCTTTGACAACATCGGACAATCGATTCTGCGACGAGGACTCAACGCCAACAGCATTGGTAATGCCTGTGCCGACGATGTCGGTCGACGCCTTGCCGTGATCAGCGTCAAGACCAGGCAGAGGTGGAAAAGCGGCTGCTTCGAGATCGAATTGTACACCGCTACTACGTCCGCCGCTAGCACAGCTGCTGTTGCTGCTGTTGCTGCCACTACTTGCCGGCAAGGATTCCTTGATCGCCGGTAGCGAATGGTTGTTCCCGGCGGCTACTTTCGTCTCCTGATCTTTGGTCCTGCGATGGATACGATGGCTGCGAGGAAACGAAGGCGTCAAGGAGGAAGAGGTGGAGGAGGAGGGCTCGATCGTCGCTGCGTCCTGATCTTGCGCGGTAGATAAAGAAGATGAAGAGGAAGTTGCCTTCGAGTGTTCTACAGACAACGCAGCGGACGACGAGGAATGGAACTTTGTGCCGGACTGGTAGGACGAGGAGGACAACGAGGAGGGCGGCTTCGAGGGAGGTAAGCTCGAAGCGTGATAAGTGGACGTGGATGTCAGCGACATGTTTCCGCTGCTATTGCCACCGCTACCAACGGTCATATGAGGGTGAGAGTTACGGCTATTCAATGGTGGCATGGACGATGGTTGATGATGATGATGATGATGGTGGTGGTGATGATGATGATTGTTGCTGCCGTTGTTGGGATTGGTGGGATCAATCAAGCAGCTTCTGTCGGAACCATTTCTCTGTCTATTTCTGTATAAGAAAAAATTGTTAAAATCACAAAATTTAATTACGCAAAACCATAAATCCAAAAAAGAAAAAAAATAGTAGATAAAGTAAATTAAAAAGCAGATTACAGATTAAGTTGTTTTAAGTGACGTACCTGTGCCGCTGATTGTATCTTGCATTGGTACGTGTAAATGTGTTATGTGGTGTGATTCCGTTCATAAAAACGCCGGACATGTCGAAATAGGCGGGACTAGTCGGTCCCCAATGCATCATACCAGCAGGATAAAATGGTTGATGCTGAAAAAGAAATAAAATCAAATGTTACTTGTTTCAATCATTTTAAAAACCTTGTCTTAGACCGCAAAAATTTATATAAATAATTCTGTAACTGTCATGCAAAGAATTTGTACACTTACATAAAGAACCTGATTCGCGTATGCCGGCATAGTCGTCTGAGGCATGGTTGTGCCATTGGTATAAAGGAAACGTTGCTGTCCAGCCGTATAACTGCTTGGATCGTAGACAGTAGGAGGGGGTGGAGTTCTATAGCCATTCTTTACACTACCTACACCAGCCACTTGATGTAGACCTATTGATAGCCTGTTCATTGGTTTAGCTTTGATTCTCGCCATTATGGGCTTTCCCTGATTAAAAAAAGTCAAAATGCATCTTACACAATGTGGTGTAAATTATTGAGAAAATATTTTGTTCCAGTATTAAATTGTGCAAACAAAATCTCAAAATTTGATTTCCGTTACAACGTACCTGAAATTCTCGAACTTCCTCACGTAAAAACCGGTAGGCCTTTTGAGCATCTTCGTCGGATTCGAACGTCACATACCATGAATTATTATGAGCAAACTCGCACGAAACGACCCTTGGACATCCCTCTCCGGAAAATAAATTCTGCAAAAAAAAAAAGAAAAAAAAAAACAGCATTAGTAAATCAAATTAACTAAGAATGTGTTTTTGTAATCATGAAAAAAGAAGCAGCCACAGTCACAAACCTTTACATCTTCCAGAGGAGTAGAGTCTGGTATTTCACGGAGTATCACAATACATCGTTTATGGTTGGGTCTAACTTTCTGCCCCTCCTCGTCTACTTGCACATTGGGAGACTCCCTTAGCACCTCCGTTATGAGCTTAATGTCCTTTGTAAGCTTTTTCACTTGGTTAAAGTTCGCTACTGTCCATATCGGCACATACTGATCGTTGTCCATTTGCGACAACAAGTAGGCATCATTGGACAGATTTTCCCTAGAAGAGTAACCGCGTCACGTTATCATTGATCCTTCACGCGCGTTATCATATCTCATTACGTCATATTCTTATATGTACACGCGCTTATGCAATTTACATACTGGTTGCATGTTTTGACAGTAAAAGCACAGTGTAGCAACTGGAAACTTTACAAAATTCTTCTGACTAAAGCTCACAAGTATTATACACAAATATATAAAAAATATACTGATAAAAGAAAATATTTTTGTACATTAATTATAAGAAAATTATATAATAATTAAGGATATAACACTATCTTTCAAAGTATCTTCTACTTTAGAAAAACAAAATATATGTATATATTACACACACATATACATATAAATTTTCCTATATAGACTACAGTTATATAATTACGTTTATTAATTCTTCTTATATCTATTATTTATTAATATATTTGTCAGCTTGTGTGAGATTACTTGTTTACTTTTTAATGTGTCCAAAAAAATAGATGTGTTGCTATAAATAGTTTTAGGTTAACTTCTTTTTCTAGTCAAAAGTATTTTCATTTCAAATAAAGTAATGTAACATCAATGTAACGATAATACAATGTACAGGATCAGAGATCTATTTTTTTACAAATATATCTACAAAGTTAGACAAAATAAGTTTTTTTTTACAATTAATGTGTGAACATATTTTAAATTACTTTACAATCTTTTGTGTGAAAATATTTTTCTTACCTGGAGAAATAATACTCAAGTTGCGAAGAAAGCATCTGTTTGAGCTGTTCCAAAGGTATGCTGGGAACATTTAAATCGGCCATTGGTGCAGAAGCAGATGGTGGAGCAGCAGATGCATCACCCAGAGCTGCTACATCTCCTGGGCTATATCCAACTGCGCCTCCGTGCATGCCTAGAGGATGTTGAGGCGACGGTTCCAGACTGCCGACACCAGTATCAAGAATTAGTTCGCTGCCACTTGGCGCACTGTTCATGACGCCGTAATCTATATTAGGCATTCCACCGCCAATGGCGCCTGCAACCTGTGAACCCAGAGGTTCAGGGGTTGCTGGGTAGACCGCCCCTGGAGGCAGCTTCCCGATGTCCCCATTCATGTAAACGTACCCTGTAAAGAAACAGAAACAGATACTTGTAAATTCTGTCAAGATAACTTATTTCTATAATTGTTTTACTTGTGTACATTTATCTAAATGTGACCCAACAAAAAAACTTGATTAGATATGTTCTGAGAATAAACTTTCTTTGTACAAAAATTAAAAACAAAATTCTATGTGCAATTATTATAGTGCAATTTACTATATAATATTTGGTTGCTTCGAATTTCAAGTAATTGCCAAGAATGGTATATTTGAAATTCTAACCTAATCTGATGCAATTATGTAAATTCTAATTATTACATTAAATGTGATGTTTTTGCAAATTATGTCAGTAATTGCATAAAAACATGATTTACCTAGCATCGGTATATTCGTAGTTTAACTTAAAAATCAATCTGATGTTCAGTTACAACTTTGAGTGCAATCAGTACTTTTACACAACTTGACTTGGCTAAGTGTAATGTATCGCAACCATTTTTCTCCGTCATTTGAAGAAATGCCAATCATTCTGCAGAATATCCAAGTGAATTATTTTCTACACAACTCAATCTTGTTACATTTATGCTAATTTTTTATATAATTTATATATACATATATATATGTATATATATATATATATATATATGTATATATGTAATATATATGTATTTCACAAGCAACATTTATGCTTAAATGTTCTTGTTAGAATTTTCTGTTGTGTAACATTGATAGTCCTATGATGACAGTGTTAGAAAACGTAGAAACGTAACAATTAGTAGATTTATTCGACTATGAACTGTATGTGTCTCGCAACATAAGCACTACTACTCGATGGACCGCAGATAAATCCGTGAGGGAAATACAGCCGAATCTCTCGTGTACAACGCGTGTGCGAGCTTTCACGTGACTGAATGGTGAAGTAGTTAGTGGAATAGGAAAACGTATCATGCACAGTAGTGGAGGACATGGTGATATATGATAACGCGGCCGGGATACTCGCGACGGTGTGCTCGTCACACGCTAAAAAATTTGTGACGGTTCTCGACAACGGGAGCGTCGGACTACGTGCCACGACGACGGCCTCTCGGGGAGGCACGCGACACGCCAGACGAAGATCCCCGCGCGGCAGGACGCGCAATATGTTGCGGTGTGCGCAACGCGTTATCGGCCAAATATAGCGCGGTTGGGACACGACACGACACGACACGGCGGCGGCGAGCCGCTTTCCAACGACGGACAATAGCGGTAGCATGGCACGACGAGGACGAGGACGAAAACGAGGACGAGGACGACGACGACGAGGATGATGATGGATGATGGATGATGATGATAATGATAATGATAATGATGATGACGATGATGATAATGAATGATAATGATAATGACAATGATGATGATGATGATGATGATGACGAAGATGACGACGACGACGACGACGGTGATGAGATGGAGGACAAACACGATAGCAAAGATGACACATCGACAATGTAGACGGAGATGAAGATGGTGACGAAGACAAGGACAACGACGACGTGTCGGCACGATACAAGTCGGATTAAAACGCGCGGTGCAAAAAGACACACAAATGTAAAGAAAAAGTGATAGTGAACGTAAAGAAGGAAAAAACGGCACGATGACAAAACTACACTCGGGCCCGAAACCGCGTGTAACATCGATGACGATGACGATGATGCGTTGGATAGATGGGATGGATGATCGTTACCGAAATCACGGTTCATCTCGAGACGAGCCCGGATGATCCCATGTGCCCTGAATCGCGTTACGAGGTGTCTGTCCGTTCGCTCGCTCGCTCTCGATCTCTTTCTCTCGCTCTCTCGCTCTCGCGCGCTCTCTCTCTCTCTCTCTCTCTCTCTCTCTCTCTCTCTTTTTCTCTCGTTCGCTCTTTCGTTCGCTCAAACGGCCTCGTGCAGATCGGTTTCTCAGCTAAAGCTCTCCGAAGTACTTTGGTTGTTCGCTCTCTCGCTCTCAGCTCGTTGTGTGTGCGCGCGGGGCGTCGTAAGCGCGTTTGTGACTTGGTTCAGCCACGCCAATCGACTAAAGTCAGATTTACAAGCTGGCTCGAATCCGTCGCTACTTCGGCTGGGCACCGACCGTTTTACACGTTTGCTCGCCCGTCCGTCCGTTCGCTCGTTCGCTCGTTCGCTCGCACGCACGCACACGTTCGCGTGCGCGCGATGTAAAATATAACGCGACACAGCAGCAAGCACCGACACGGCTGGCGAGACAGGCGGCGGCGAGATTTTTGGCACGTTCCTCACGCGAATTCGCGACGCTGCGCAACACGCGCGTAACGATCCGCTCTGTGCGTATCCACGGCCCACCGCGCCGAGCGGATCAACGCGCGGCCGTTACGCACAACGATGTTTCCTTACCGAGGTGGAAGAATCGAACTCAACACAGTCTCTCGAGCAAACTATAAAATGGCGGAAAGGCACATGCCGTGGCGCGCGGTGCATTCTGGGCCCCGGTGGTAGTGCGCCGTGCAGCCCCGGTGTCGCAGCGCCCCCCACGCCGGACGACCGAGCGCCACGAGCGCGCGTCGATTTCGAAAATCGCTTGGAAAATGCATTCCTTCTGTATCAAAATAGTCTATATCTTAATGTTCGAACAAATCACTTTTTAAGGGAGATTATTAAAAAGTAATTAAATTAAAATAATTTGATTTTAAATTTCAATCAATATTTTGTTCCAAACGTTTTGGCCAAAATAACAAAGTTGTAAGAACATTTATGTTTTATTCTTGTAATTTTTTCTCACAAAATATTTTTTAAATTCTTATTATTATTCGTCATCCTCTCTCATGAGAGAAAAACAATGTGTAATTTTTAAGTGTACATATACTTACTAATTATTTTATATCTTACATATCTTTTATATAAAAGTTATATATATAGAAAGTATAAACTATATATGTATATAAAAGCAGATTTATTGAAATTTTGTAGTTATAGCTAACGTACTTATCATTGGAATAACAGTTCGAAGAAACTGTGATTCTACGAAACGTGATTATGGCAAGCATAGCAAACGAAATCGATAAACGATAGCTTATCTAATAACTCTAACGAGCTGCATTGCACAAATATATCTTTTTAATGACAGTTTCAAAGCTTTTACTGCTATTATTATTATATTATAGTCAATTCACACTAACTCTGGTTAACGTTTTATTAATATATAGGCCGACACAATGGAATTAATTCTAACCCTGAGCGATACACAAATTTCCGATTACGTTAATCGGAATTAATGAAACTGCTTATTAATTTCGTGTAATTAACAAGTTCGATATTTCGCAATCTCAATTTCATTGAATTGGATAAACAAGACCGAGGGACTTCAGACAAATACACACCCAGACCAGAGTTTTCAGTCATATATTTATTTATTTATCTAAAACAGCCACATATCTTCATTAACTCTCATTATTATTTCAAAACAATTCGTCCTTTAGTTATTACTGCCTTAAAAAAGGGGGGAAAGCAAGAAAGAGGGGAGAGACGAGGCACAGGGTGAAGGCTAGGTCTTTGCTAAAGGAAGAATCAAAATCATCAATCCTATAAACTACTCAACAATTACAATCAAAACAAGTGTGAAATGTCTTTATTCAAAATTTCAACATAAACATAAAAAAGATAAATTTCTTTATCGTCTTAAGATAGAAAAAGAAGAAAAGGAGAAGGTTTAAGGAAATGTAAAAATGTGTCGGATACGAAGGAAAGAGTCAACTCCAATTGGGGAACCTACAATTACGGCTCTGTTGCCTTCTCGGAACACGTCTATCGCGCCCAGGTACATACTACCTAACGCAAGAACGAACATCCATCTGGTGATAATTACCGCACGTTCATCTATGCCTCCTCTTCCACGACGACGATTATCAAAATCAGGTGTTTTATCTGTCCCTCGCTGAGAGGCGAAGGTTGCTACTTCAGCGACTGCTATCACCTAACATAAGGCTTACAGTGACGTATTGCTTTTTATCTCGAGAAAGATTCCGATTAGAGAGTAAGTATATTGCCTATATATCGGTTATATATACGGACTCCCCTTCTTCGTAATATCTCCTTCCCTTTCTCCCTTCTATTATTTTGTTCACCTTTTATCCTTCGCTGTTTACCTCTTCGTTTCTTTCTTTATTATTGAAATATATATGCGTGTGTTTAATATATATATATATATATATATGTATGTGTATATATATATTTATATTATTTATATGTTGATGTGATAAATGTAATCGGGATATCCCACGAGTTTAGTGATTGATATACAGATTCAATTTGAGATGATGATGAAGTACTGATGAGGGGCGGAGCTGTCTGCTGTTGTTGTAGGTTGTGGCATCGATGGTGTTTGTTTTTTGCTGTTAGCTCGACTTAAAAACCATGGACCTTCAATTGGTCAGGCTTTGCCAGGCCGGACTTCGTCAGCCACTGGCATATATTCTCTCGTTGATCCCCCTGCAGCTGCAGCACCTCCCCGTACTCCGGGTGTTCTATTACTGTCCCATTGCAGGCAAACTCCTATGTGAACACAAAGCAATAAATCAAATCTAACATTATTAACAGCTTTTATATTCTTAAAATATCTGTGCTTTAAAGAATTCTAAGTCTCTTATTTTTTATTCTTTAAATATGTTCAGAATATATCAGAAGTTATCCAAATTAGATAAACTAATTATATCTAATTTTTTCTATCAATAACTGTTAAATCTTCCATATGTACTGATGTTAAAATAAATTTTGCTGATGTTGCTGATGTTAAAATAAACTTTTTTTAAAATTTTTTATATTTTTTGTAACTATTATTCTTTTGCATTAAGTATAAAACTCATATAAGTTAAAATCTTCAAATATATCAAAACACTTTAAATTTTTTTTCAAACAAAAAAATAACAAAAAAAAAACAACAGAAAGAAATAGACAACTTTAGATATCAACATCAAAACATATACTATAAAGTATCTATGATTCACCTAAGTACAGCTAACAAAGCAACTATAAAAATGTGTCTAATCATTGATGATGATGACATCAATCAAAGGATAGAGATAAGACAAGAGAGAACAAAGAATATCTCCTTGACTGTATGTCAAACCACGCTTATAGATGCACTCAAATGCTGTATTTCTAGTAGATTTGCAAAGCCACATCTGTTGCTGAGTACCACGATGTTGTGTTTGCATCAGACCTATTTTTAGAGTTCTGCCTGACTAAGCTGTATGGTAGGAGATAGCAAAGAGGAAGGAGGCACAATCACAGAGGAGGAGAAAGAGAAGAGGAAGAGAGAAGGCAGAAGAGAAAAGAGGGGACAGAGGTGTTGAAGAGAAAGGAGCAATGGAAAAGTTGTTCGCTTACCTTTTTACATGCTCTTACGATTTTCTTCAAGTCATATTCCGAGGAGAGTCCTTGCACCGTTGTTAGGGTCTTGCGACCATTTCGCTGCTGGATCCTTATATGCACGAGGCCGTCCTGGACGTCATCATCAGAACCCTTAATTGCATCCGCAAAGGGGTCTGCAAAAAGAGGAAGGGAAAAAACTTTACGATGCGCCGATAGACTGACGGATTGCACGGGATGATGCAAGAGGGGCAGCGCGCGAGCAACGCCGTCGCCATTTTGATCGACCCTGTGTGCGTGTACCCGATTATAGCATTGCTTCAGTTTTATCGTTCTCGTTCACTTTCAGAGAAAATACGATATGACCGGACAGTCGGGGACGCGACGAGAGAGGGGAAAAGAGAGAGAAGAATCTCGAAGATACGCAAAGAGGGGGACTGATATGCGAGAGTTTTTCTATCACTCACCGAATGTGTTGAGATTCTGGATGGACATACGACAAACAAAAGAGATCCCTCGGATGGTATAGAACTGCGGAGCGCAGGTATTGATTGCAGGGCAAGAAAATTGACGCGTGAACGACACTCGGACGGCGCAACGACACTGCAGAGAACAGCGGAGAACGAGTTGACGAAACTAAGCGCGATGGCCGTGTACGTAGCCGGAAGTAAAAGTTGCATTTGTCACGGCGCGATGGGTGGGGTTGCGCGTGATCGTCGCGTTCCCAAAACAATCCGAATTCGTCTCGACGCTCGTTTATTGGCGGACACCGCCGAAACGTCACGATGCGTCGAGAGAACGCGATTGGCAAAAATCAGATTGCCAGCGAACGCTATTGGCGGAGAATTGAGAACTGTGGGTTTGCAGCAAATGCATTTGCAGCATAATCTCTATATATATGTACGGATCGTATGAGCAAAACAAGTGTGGTTGTCTAATGAGCGCTTTGTGATCCAATAGGTATCACATTTGGAGCATTTAAACCGATTTAAACATCACCGCACATGCACATATCCTCACACATTCTGTTGATTAGTGTGCGATCAATTAGGTTAGGAAAATTCAACAGATCGCGGTGGGTGTATGTCTTTTTTAAATTACTTGTCTCGCATTCTCTCGCGTATGTCGTTATAATTGTCCTTGATTATGGAGGGTAAAGATTTTTATATTAAAATAATCAACAATGAAAAGGTAAAGTGTATTATCTACTTGATTTTATGATTCATAAAACAGTTTTATATAGTCAAAGAGAGAATAAGAATGGCAAAGTTTTACAATGCGTTGAATATTAATCCGCACGTAATATGCTTTACAGGGTAAAGGATTATTTTCCAATCGTACTTTTAAGGAAGGAGAGATTATATTCGAGGAAAAACCTGTGATCTGTTGTCAGTTTTCGTGGAACTCCGATTACGGATACTTAGCGTGTGATCATTGTCTGAGACCTTTAGAAACTGCCGAAGAGAATGTTCGAAGACTGACTGGCAATCCAAATATTATTCTACCACATGCCGAATGCTGTGAGACAAATAAAAACTCAATTACTGAATGTCCCGCATGTGGTGCTAAATATTGTAGCATAGAATGTCAGAATGAAGCATTTGAAAGGTGTGATAGTAGATTATATCTCATACAGTTATTAGTACATAATAAAGAGGTGTGAATGTCATGTACATTTATATCGTTTTAGATATCACAGCGCATTGTGCTTGCAGTCAAGAGATAAGAATGAGAATCATCCTCTCACTCAGTTAAATGAAACATGGAAACAAATGCACTATCCACCCGAAACTGCAACAATCATGTTACTGTCAAGGATGGTTGCTATGGTTAATCAAGCGAACAACAAGCAGGATGTATTAGCAATGTTTTCACAATTTTGTCATCGTACTACGAATGATACTTATGAAATTGCACATAATTTATTAGGGGAGAAATTTGTGGGCCAAATTAACATTCTTAGACAAATGATGCTGAAAGCTCTTAATACTCAAGACACTGCACATGTACGTAAAAATTAGTGATTTTTTTCCGCACATGTTAACATTGAATAAAAAAGTGTTGGTTCTTAGTGGTTTACACCAGATGGATTCAGAGGTCTATTAGCATTAGTAGGAACAAATGGTCAAGGAATTGGTACTAGTGCATTCAGTCGATGGGTGAAGAACGTTTGCGCGTTAGATCTGCCGCAAGATCAAAGAATTCACATTGACAAGCTGATAAGTAGGATTTACGACGAAATGGAAGAAGGTAACATATATTTTTCTCAAAGCTCTCTTGTATATGGCGATTCTTTTAATTACTAACAACACAACATATAAAACGGAATTATTTTCTTTGGCAGTGGTAGGCACATTTTTAAATAACGAAGGGTCTGGTCTGTATATTCTGCAATCGTCAATAAATCACAGTTGCTCGCCAAACGCAATTGTCGAATTCCCTTACTCGAATAACACCTTGGTGCTAAAAGCTATACGGGATATACAGGATGGCGAGGAAATCTGTACGAGTTATCTCGACGAGTGCGAGCTCGAGAGAAGTAGATATTCTAGACAAAAAGCACTGAGCACTTTGTATTTGTTCGTTTGTAATTGCGACAGATGCCAAGCACAAGCTGACGATCCTGATGTAACATCTGAATCTGACGATGAAGAAGTAGATAATGATGAATTCTAATGAAAGAAGAGAATAATGATACCCATAATATGTGACCACGTTCAGCAGAATAAACGCTATTCAGCTAGTAAACATTTTGTGATTGTTGCTTGTCATTGGCGTAACTTTCACATTTTGCAATAGATGAACATGCCAATCACAGACAATAAACACAAAGCGCTAAGTTCTGCTAAACGCCAATGTATGTTACCCTGCTATGGACACAATTTTTGTATCAAGCATTTGTTACGAAACAAACACCTCAAAGAAAAAGTCAAGAAAATTAAATTCATCACGGAAGACAGAATTGTCATTACATCGAAAAAAACAAATTTTGTAATAGATATCTTGTTACGAACTTACTTGACTATCATACTACCATATATTACACTATACTGAATGAGTATTACATAAGTTTCAGTAAAACAAAAATCATATTATTCTTAACTAAACTTGCGTAGATTTTTATTAATGTAACAGGTGCTTTAATGATATTTCTATATGTAACAAAAAAGTTGTATAATAAAATCATATAATATGTAAACGCTTTTTATTTTTCTTTTTTTTTATCGTCATATTAATCAGTATAAAAAATTATTAGTATTTAAAATCTTAACACACCTTTGAATTTTGTACTTTTATAAATATTACAACTTAATAATAATTTACAAATGTTTTTACAATGATATTTAAAAATGTCAATTCTACATTAAATTACTTGTAGTTATGTTTTGATTTTGTTTGTCTGTGCGTTGAGACATAAAACCTTAGAGTTTAAGTCTGTTAAACCAATTTTAATTCATTTTTCCCTAATTTCATAAAATTAGATACGTAATCGGGTAGTGGCAATATGATGACACGTTTTTCTATTAAACCTTTTAAAAAGTTAAAAATATTTGGACTCCGAAATTCCCAACTAAAAAAACAAATTATATAAGTGAGGATGTACAGATTAAAAATGTTAAATATGCAAAACATGTGTTACTTACTTCATGTGTATATTAAGAGATGGCATCAAAGATAGATCGTTATGTTGTACAGATGTTTCTGGTCCCTTTATAACAAGTAATTCTAAGGTCGGAGGCTCGTCACCAAAACACTGTTCTCCATAATTCCTCCGTTGCTTATCCTGTGTATAATCTATACCACTGTGTCTGCAAGAAGATTTGCATATCATACAGAAAATATTTTTAAAACGTGTGATATAATATGTAATTTTATGCGTATGAAATGAACTATATGAGAAAGAAAGAAAAAGAATTATATATTAAAAAATAAAAAATTACTTGACAATAGGATAAGTTGGTTCATAAACTGGTGGCTGAGTTATGTCTTCAGCATTTAAAACACCTTGTTGTTTGATCCATAACAATTTTATTAAGGACCAAAGATCTTTGCCCATAAGTTTAATCTTTTTATACTTATTATAACCTAGACTATTGGTTATTATTTTTATAAAACTCATAGGTACATTTTTTTTTGAGCAGAAAAAATATTTATGCTCCAAAAATAAAGCAAAGAAGACTGCACTTATATATTGTCTTTTAGCTTTCTTCTGTTTTCCTTTAATATACACATATGTAATACCATCATATGTTAAAACTTTTACTTTCAGCTTTAAGTTATTTAACTCAAACTCATTTTTGATACTTTCTTCTATCTCTTGTCTTCCAAGATAATTCACTGCTGTTTCTAAGTTAATCAACTGATAGCCATACCATATCTTTCTCTTACTATGTCTGCTTACATCTGAAAGGTTCACATATCATTTCTGTCACAAACACAAATTAGTCTTTAATGTATAATTACATCAAATATTAGAGTGTATTCTAAACACAAATTTACATTAAAAATTGATATTTCTTCACCTGTCACTTCTAGCGTTGCTAATCTATCATATATTTCTCTTTGTGTTAAATTCAAATTCTATAAATAATTATTAAAGAAAAATGAGTATGTACAATAATATAAATGTTTATGTGAAATTTATGCTTTGATAAAAAAGTTTTTACATCTAAAGCTTCTTCAATAATGCGAACAGCATTAGGCACAGTAAAATTTTTGTGATTTTTGATCAACTTGGATCTGATATGAGACCATAATATTTCAGGAAAAATTGGCATCACAGCACTTCGCAATTCTTCAAACTTGAATCTTTTTATTACGGTAAGTATTTGATGTTTGGTAATCGCTGTTGATTCTGTACAGTTAAATAAGTTATCACATTTATAAAAAAAAGTCAACATAACCTCTTCCGCAATAATATTCTTTTTAAAACAAGTTTAGGTATATCACATTAATCACTTTACAAAGTTAACTTACCCATGGTCATATAAAAATATTTTTTTAAAAAAACCAGTAACAGATTCAGTGAATTCCGCACAAAAAATGCAGTAATGCGAAAAAGCGGCAACGCAGTCACCAATCAACGTCTCATTTCCAGTAATAATAGATCACATTCCAGTTAAGCAAGACATTGATTGGTAACTGCGTTGCCTCGTCTTGCTGTGAGAAACATGTGTATATATTATTACATACACACATATATCAGAGAAGTTGTGTGTGTGTGTGTGCATCTCCTGTATATTCTCAGTCGATATAAGGTATTAGCCAATAAATTTTAACTCCAATTTTTTAATAATCATTTTTAATAATATAAAGATTAGATTATTATTACATTGTCTTTCCAACAATAAAGAAACAGCTAGTACAATGTATATTTACTACAGTTGTATCCCTTGAGTACACATCTCTTCACTCAGCTTTTCTTGAAATAATGGCATTTATTAGATGAGTTAAACTTTTTTTTTACTGCCATTCTATTACTGTATTTTAGCTTCTTTCCTTCTTTAAGATTAAATTACTATCAATAATTGCTTGATAGAATTCATTAAGTCAACTACTCGGTAGATAAACTGGCAGATTTTTTGAGCGGGATAATAGCACGATAGGAGTAAGTGAGCTAAGAGTTGCTGTTCTTGAGAACAAAAAAAAAAAAAAAAAAATGTTGGCCCTTTTGAATTTTTCTTTTTATAAAAGAAAAAAAATGTGTTGTATTCGTATACGCAATGTCACGCAAATCATATCAGAGTGAAGAGAAACGGTTGAATCAAGGGAATAACTTCATCTCGAAGAGGTAACTCTGGGGACTGTTGTAGTAATAAATTGTTTTATTTTGGATCATGAGGTAGTTTAAATCCCACAAGATCAGCAGTTTCTTTTATGCTACGTTCACCTTTTCCGGCATATTGTTTATGAATTTCTTTGCACATCTGTTGAGATTTCAAGTAGCAAAGATATATTTCAGCTAAATTCTTTAGTTCTTCTCTCGCTTTGCACAAAACTTGAGACGTTTCTTTATGGGCATGCGCTTGTCTCATAATATACCGTAACATTACATTCTCTTTTGTACTCTTATTCTGTGAGATTCGGCGAAGTTGTTTCACAAGTGAACGGACAATTTTAATATTATTGTTCATTTTTAATAGCGTTCTGAAATCAAACGTCCACAAAAGCATTAAAACAATGTTTTATAATTAAAACATCAATTGATTAAAGTGATTATAAATTCAAGATCAAGTGATTAAAGTATTGAAAAGAAAATAATTACATCAAGTTTCAGTTTTTTTAGAAGAACTTTGTTTATTAAGTTTTTAGTTTTTTTTAGAACTTACTTTCTTTTTCTTTGTTTTCTTTTTTTTTAATTTTTCTTCTTGAATACAGTCACTACAGTCAGGACACAGGTTTTCATATGTTTTTAAATACTGCGGCTCTTCTCTATTTTTCCAGAAATCTATTGGAACTCTACGCAATTTTTTTTTGGTAAAGAAATGAACACTCTGACTACTGAATGCAGAGTCGTATTCAAACAAGTTTTTTAACTTAATTTCTGTAACATAAGGTGCAATGTCGTGTAGATAACGTATTTCCGGTAGGAATTTTCTTAATCTAGGTGTTTCTCTGTAATCGCATACAATGTCTCCGAAACTGTTAGATAATAGAATACAATGTTTTAATTGATTGCCCCAGTTTGTGTATAGAAAATTATTGGTGAGATGATGTGAGCAGTGAGGCATATACATAAGAGTGGTCTTATGTTTCAGAACACGCTTGCCTTCCTCGTTTCTGTTTATAATTTGTAGACCGAAGTATTGAAGAATTTTTTTCTCCTCGGAGCTAAACACTGGATCGTACACATACACAGGAGTGTCGTCGTAATATTTCCGCAGACACAGCAACAATCCCAATTGATATCTTGCCTGTTTATTTTCCGATAAATTTCCTAATCCATAACAGATAATCTCAGATATACCGTTATAATGTAGGTTGGTTAAACAGTCATCTAGAACTTCAATAACATGGTTTGTGTATTTCGCGTCGCTCATACTTGGCATTATTACCTTGTGTATCTTCTTTATGATGCTAAAAATCACCGTCAAACGTGTTGCGATTAGCGTTAAGATAAATTTGGGTTTAGGTTAGGTTAGGTTAGGTTAGATTCACTTAGCTTGCCAAAAGCAATTTGTACAAATCCATCGTTATCGAACAACCATATCCAATACGCACTTGACGTTTTGGAAAATTTTTTAATGAAATGTAAGAAAGGTAAATTACATTTCAGTAATACATGTTACGCGACATGTCGCTCGTGTTGCGTCAGCGTGCTCGCCCAGCGCGTTTTCACGTGGTCGTATCAGTCGTATCAAAACCATCGTTCGATAACGATGGATTTGTACAAAACGATCTCAGACAACAACAGCTTACCGATTATATAACTCGTAGTCGAACTTTTGAGAATTTTCCTCAGTATCTTTCCTCAGTTCTGTGGCAAATTGTGGTTTACATAAACTTTTTCCCGATTTTCGTCGACGATGAGTTACTAATATAAACTCGCTCGATTCCTTCATAATTTTCTACGATGCTTTTATTTATTCACTCTCTATACTGCCATCTGTTGCAAAGTTCAAACTCAGTGTGTTAAAAGTTGTATTTACAGTGTGGAATAGCTTTTTGAGAAAATCTAAAAAAAAATCACTAACAATAAGATGGCGTACGATTTGAAGAATGAAGAGGATGTAAAAGAATATCTGAAGAACTTGCACATAGAATATAAATTCGGTTGCTACAGTGAGAAAAAACCGGAAGGTAAGTGAAAAAACAAGATTTACCTGTCTATAACCTCAAGATTAAACGACCGATTCGCAGTGTGTCATCTACTCGGCGATTTTCACGAAGCTGTGAAAGGAGAAATGGAAAATGCCGCTGCGACTTACAAGGCAAATTGTGACGATTACAATTATGGGAAAAGCTGTGCAAAGTACGGCGACTTTAAAGCAATCGGTGAGTCGACGCACGACAGATAGCGCGCTAATGCTTTTTGTACATTGGTATAAATGGGAGAAATGGGAGAAATAAACAATTATCCAATAGGAGCTCCGCTTTTTCGAACATCACGTTATAAGGGAGGCTTGACCAACTTGACGTCCTATAAGGTGCACGTAGAAAACACAATTACGCCCAAATTTCTTCTCCTCTAGACAAATTTTCGATAACGTTATTTAAAAGATAAAGTACATATTTTTTATATTTTTATCCAGAAGATAGCTATTGGGAGGTAAGAAGAAATCTGGCTTTACACAATAAAATTGAGTTTTCTGAACATTTAATATTTGGTTCATTGTTTATTGCGTTCAATATGCAAAAGAGATGTTGGGATACCCAATGCAGGATGTATACAAGCAGTAGAGGGAGAACTTCACAAAGCAGGGGATTGTCTAGCAACTGATACGACCACGTGAACACGCGCTGGGCGAGCACGCAACACGAGTGACATGTCGCGTAACATGTGTATTACTGAAATGTAATTTACCTTTCTTACATTTCATTAAAAAATTTTCCAAAACGTCAAGTGCGTATTGGATATGATTGTTCTGGAAGTTTATAAACAGGTTATAGAGTCATGCGACGTCGCGTCAGCGTGCTCGCACAGCATGTCGTCACGTGGCGTCGGTTGCTAGGCAATTCTTTATTTTCTTTCGTGAAGTTCTCTCTCTACTAGATTGCGTTCGGAAACACCACTCGTGTGCGCTTTAATCTTTATTGCTCATTAGATTTAAAACAAAGATAGATTGACGCTCGTGTGCACATGAGTGGTGTTTCCGAACGCAACCCTACTTGTGTGCATCCTGCGTGTATTCCAACACTGTGCAAAAGCCAGAAATTTTTCGAAAAAATGAAACTTAAACGTTAAAAAAAATCACAGGCTGGCATTTGCTCGAATGTAAGCTAGGTTTCAAAAAAATATCGACATATGATTGGTCGAGTTCTTTAATGCTTAAAAACTCGTTTTGTGCAAACAGTATTATTAACTTATTCCAGAATCGATAAAGTTCAATTATGGGACTTCAATGCTTTTGTTTATATGCATCTGGCAATCTCATAATTGTCTTACTCATAATTGAAAGTTTTGTTTACTCCCGACTTTACAGATACCCGCAACAGTTGGTATGCAAACTTGACGGTAGATGTCACGAGATGCGGCGCGAACTTTGAAATATAACATTTCGATTGGGCTTAAGCTCAGTTAGGATTAGGTTTTATTGAAAACTAATCATAAAAAACTATTGGATAAATATCTCTTTTCATTTCTTATTTGTTTAGCATATTCTCTCTTTAAAATGTATAAGTAAAGTGTACATACATATATTTATTTTTTTACATTCAATATTTCATTCTAATTCCTTTATTTTTATCATTTCTCTTTTTCGTGTTTTTTAAAAGGTAAAGGCTGCAAGGTGGACATGCCAACGGCGTACAAATACATGTCCAAAGGTTGTGAGTTAAATGACGAGAATGGCTGTTTGCACGCCGGTGTTTTGGGAACATCGAAACGCGATCTCGGAGAAAAAGATAGGATTACTCAGGTACAAAAAAGTGTCAGTCAGTTGAAGAAGGCTTGTGACATGTTCAACTCGGACAAAGCATGTTTCTATTTGTCGAGTATCTACCTGAGTGGTCTCGAGGATATTATCGATAAAAATTACAAAGAAGCATATAAATTGTCGTTGAAGAGTTGCGAGTTTGGCAATCCGTACGCTTGCGCGAATCTGTCGCAGATGCACACGCGAGGAGAAGGCGCGCAAAAGAATTCCGAGCTCGCTAAGACTTTCAAGAAACGCGCCGTCGAACTATACGAAGAAATGAAACAGTTGCAACCCGAAGTGAAGTTCCATCAAGGTATAAATCCTTAGTGCTCGCAGATCGCGTACTTCACATCAAATCGATCAAAGAGTTTTTTTTTTTCATGTACATTTAAATCAACGATTAAAAAAAAGAAATGAACTTTTTGATCAATCTAGTCTCTCGTGTGCCGAATAATTAGAAATATTATTGTTTATAAAAACAATATTGTTGCAAACATCATATTGTTCACAAATTTCTGACTGCTATTGCTGCGATTCTAAATATCCGAACACACAAATTGTTAATAAATTTAAAATATATGTAAACTAAAAAATATATATACACGATACGCGTGTAATCAATCCTTGATCAATATCATGTGGTCTGCGGTTATTCGATTATTTCATTTCACTCTCGCAATTCCCCACCGCTCGTTGCCACTTTTCGTATCTTTCCCACTCTCTTGTACTTGCCGATGATGCCGCAGCAGGTTTGAAATGTGCCTTCACCAGTTCACGTTCAACGTTACGACCATGCGTCACTGTCTGTTCAATTTCGCTTTCCTGGCTATTGCCGTCTTCGTTTATCATGGCTTTCCGGTAAGCGTAACTCTCTTAATATTCTTAGGAATTATCACTTTCTTAAATATATATATATATATTTTTAATATTCTTATTTTGTAACATTTTGCTATCAATAAAGATCGGTGCGCGCTACTATTTTTGCACAGGACTTCATTTGAAAATATATTTTCACAGTTTAAACGTGATATTTTTTTTACGTTTCTTTAACTCGATTAAAATTTTAGATAACGTAAACTTCTAATTAACCACGTGTAGTGAATTTATATACAAAATTTGTTTAAGATTAAGGCACAGTCCGCCATATCGGATGCGAGTCCCATAAAGGTGGACGTTTATTACGAATCCTTATGTAGTGACAGCATGCGATTCATCGTAAACCAACTCGTACCATCATATCGAGAATTAAAGAATCATATCAATGTCACTATGATTCCTTACGGTAAAGCTACGGTATGTAATTTTTCACACATATTTATATTCTTATCAAGAATGATAAAACACAACATGCGCGATACATGAGACGATAGTGAAGCGACAATATATCTGAAGTGGGTGGACACGAGTTTCTGTAATCCTGTTTACCAGAGTCCGTCTATGTTTGTCGTTCGTCTGTATTTTATCGTGATTAAAACCATCTGTTCTTCAACCTTCGTTTTTATTTATTTACGCTTTGGAAAAAATGTTTTGATTAAAAAAAAAAAGAAACAGAAATTCTCTCTTTAGACGGTTGATCAATACAAAGTGCTAAAATATATACTTTTAAATAAAATTATAATTCGTTTTCTTTTGTGTATTTTTTTTTTTTACTTTCACATTACTTTCACACGTATTGTTTGATGGCGCAAATGTCAAGAAACGTTTATAAACGCGTATTTGTTTTCAAGCGTTTTAAGAAAGACACAATATTTATAGGTATAAGACTGAATCGGTGCATAAAAGATTAATCACTCTCGAGTCTGAGTGCCCTTGAAAATGCGCGACCTTGTCGTGCTCTTCTGTCTCTTGTGTACGTTTGCTGCAATCACAAGTAGCACGCTGAATATGTTAATTCAAATCGATGACATGTCTAGCATATACGTGAAAGCGAAACCGGTCCGTGGCAGTTCACGTGTCAACACGGACCCGCCGAGTGCCGCGGAAACAAGGCCCAGGCGTGTGCGATTCACGCCATAGAATCCTTCGAGGCTGTCCAGAACCATCAGCACCTGACGATCAGGCTGGTCGGTTGTGCAATGTCCGCTAGTAATCCGTCGACCGCTGTTCCGAAGGTAATTATTATAAAATTTTCTAGCGGCAACACACACAGTTAATTAAAGGTATAGGCCGCGAGACTATACTTTTATAATACGTTTTTATCGAAATAACACTCGTTAGACTTGCACCAATGAGGGTCAACAAACTGACATTTAACTCTAATGACGCCGACCTTTCGACATACTTTCTCGTTGAATCACGCGACATGTAATGTATACAATACAGAATGTACTTTCCATGTGTGTACAAAGTACTCTTACTTATACGGATTTTATACAGTCATTATTATTATATTCACAGTATATTGGCTCAATAATATTATATATACAGTATATGTACAATATATTGACAATATAATATTGACTGTACAAGGCTACTGTTTATCAGTTTCAAATATTTTTTATAGTATGATTATTTCAAAGTCTGATAACACACGTAGCATGCGTATCAATGTTTCATGTTTGTCGACATGTGCATGATTCCGAACGTGTTTCGCTTTTTTGCGTACTTAATGAATTGCAAAATATTTGGCGCACAATGTTTCGGTGACGAATACAATTTTTGCGGAAGAACAGCTATAAAAACCAACAAAGAATGAAAAAAAAAAAAATTTTGATGTATGAAATTTTTAGTGTTCTCAAGACATCGGTTTGAGCGAAGAAACACGAAAAGCAATTACTGATTGCACCGCGAGTTCGCTCGGAGACGATTTGCTCGCAGCAAACGGCGACAAAACGAACGCCCTCGAGCCATCACTTACATTCGTACCGACGATAGTACTGAAAGGGGTAAGTATACAATATTTTGTTGTGTATATACCAACAATATAACATATAACTATATCTTATTACATTATTAATAAAAATTTCTACTTTTTTTTATTCGTTATATACAGAAATTAAAATTAAAACTTAAGCTCTATGATTTACAATCAAAATCTATGTATAAAATAAAAGCCGTCACAGACATTGTCCATATACGAATATACGAAATTTTCTTTTCTCGTACAGGAGTATTCGCGGGAGAATCAAAATGAGGCATTGAACAACTTCTCTAGATTGATTTGTCGACATTTGACAACAGAGAAAAAACCAAGTCTCTGTGACACAGCGTGAATGCAGAAGAATTAAAGGAAAAAAATAATAATAAAGCGACCGATCGACGCGTTAGAGGTGCGGGGATAAATAATCGTTCGGTCGAGATTATATAATTGTTTGCTTATAATATCTATACAATAAGTGCCTATGTACAAAAATATATATGATTTATCTCAAGCACAACGAGCTAATAAGTATAAAAGTGATCATAAAAATAGCAAAACACGTTTCTTTGGGAAGGCAGCACGATACGTCGACAATAAAACGAAGATCGCGCGACGATAGAACAAATGCGTCAGTGAATAATAGTCGTATCGAACGTTTTCTTTTTAATTATTCACTCATGCATTTATCTTGTTTTATCTTTACACACACGGGAATAGTAATGGATTTCCTCACTGACGGAAATTATCCATCGATGAAAATAGCATCGTCCAGAGCGCTAAGCTCGTGAAGTTGTCGCTCTACATCGACGTCGATTTCGTCGTGGAAATTCGGCATGTCGTCTTTTGCGCAATAAACTGAAACAAACGATGTTTCGAATCATTTTCTCTTTTTTGTTTTTTCTTCTTTTTTTTTTTTGCATCCAATTCCGTACGCACGTTTTTATCCGCTTTCACGAAATTATGCGATGGTTCTTTTGGAAATAGTAGGTACGCGCGGATGCGCGGCACGTGGCAACGCGTCATCTGTTTTGTCACGCGTACGCGTTCGTTGTACGCACGTATGTCGCGCGCGTACGCTCCAAAAAAGTGCGGGTATAAAGAATATTATTTTAAGACTCTGTATGGGGTAAAGACATAAAAGCGCGCGCGGCAAACCTCCTCTGAGATTAACTATAGACGACCGAGCGCTGGCACTGTCATCGACATTTTGTATAGTAGCGTTCAAGCGCCGCGACCAGAAAAAGTCAGCACGCGCCCGCGAAATATACGCATACGCGCGATATGATGGCTGATAATCTCAGTAAAATGGTTTTTGGTTTCTAAATATAGAATCTCTCGAACATTGCTAAGTAATTTATTTCAATACATAATATACATGTATGTTAAATTATTTAGCAAATTATTTTCAATCCAGAGAAACTGCGATAGAATTTGTTCAAAAAATCATGTTTTTACTATTTGATATTGACAAAGGTCATTCTATATCTTTAGAGGCGTGTGTGTATATAAAAAATGTAAAAGCAAGCAAGTTTAAACTAAAGAGCAAGTTCAAATGTCTCTTATCGCATTTCGGCCAGAGTTTCTGTATCGAAAATAGAGAGAATGAACATTGCTCATGATATAGTCATTTTAAGAATGAAAACCGATTTGGCAAAGTAACGTTTCATGTTGTTCGTTGAAAATGAAATTGATCGAATGCATCTCTTACCTGTACTTTCGCCTAGCGCGTTGTTGATGTCGTTGATAAGAAGATGGCGAACCGATTCGAGCGGTACATACTCCTGTTGGCTGCTGTCGAAATTCACAGAAATTCTATTTTGTTCGTACGTATTATTTAACAACGTATCTTTCTCCTTGATACAGGATTTAGATAGTTTATACGGATGACTCGGTCCCGTTTTGAAGGAGCACGCGTTTTGACTCTGCTGATGAGAAACCGTCGAATTTAACCCGTGCCTTGTTGCTGTGATGGTCGTCGACACCTTGTCCGATGACGACAATAAATTGGACAGTGTATTAGAATTCTCTGTGTGATTCTTCAAGTGCTTTCTTAGACTCGAAGGATCCGTATAACGTTTGCCACAGCCGCTTACTTGGCAAGCATACGGTTTCTAAAGAGAAAGAACATTAAGAATGAATTTTCTTATTATTTTTTCCTATATATACAAAATTAATTTTTTAAGAAAACAAATAGTACAGAGAAAATATATAATAAAAACATCGTACTCTATCGTAATGAGTTCGTTGGTGCTTGGCTCGATCGCTACTGTTGCTAAATGCCTTTGAGCAACCATTGTGTTGACACACATACGGTCTTTCGCCAGTGTGCGATCTTTGATGAATTTTTAAATTCTCCAAACGGCTAAAAGCTTTTTTACAACCCGCAAACTGCGAAAGAAGAAGTCACATATTGTCGACAACAGAAAAGTCATATATAAATCAAAAGACAGAGAAAGAGAAAGAAAGAGAGATATATATATCAACAAAATAAAAGAAATATCCTCTATCCACCATGCATTACGCAAAGTACTTTGTTGCGTCGCGAAAATCGAGTTGAATAGAAATAAAACAAAATACATGATTGTACCGGACACTTATTCGGCTTCTCTTGTGTGTGAACTCTCATATGAATGAGCAATTTGTATCTCGCGTTGAACGGTCGTGCGCGCGAGCAACCTTGCCAGAGACAGGCGAACTCATCCTCGCGACTCGCCGACGTTGTCGCGCTGAGGATGCTCTCGTCTCCCTTGTCGCGGTCGCGCTGCATGGTCCGCCTGCCGTGGCCGTGCGCGTTTGTCGAAAATGACTCCACGTGCCGCCTCTCAATATGCCGCACCAGACCTTCCTGCTCCGCGAAAACGCACCCGCAGTCGATCCAATGGCACTGATAAGTCGAGACAAAATTATCGTCCGCTGATTTCGCGCAATCTGCAATGTGATATGGAAGCATAAATACACGCAACTGGAGCAAAAATTGCGCGTATGTGTCAGTGATGATTGCCACGTGCAACCATTGCTACATCGACGCAATTATGTAGAATTTTTTAACACCGTTCTGTGCCGGGCTCGAACGTATTAACATATAAACGCGTTTAACGTGTATCATCAGTGGTACACGTGGCGCGGAAATCTGGGAAAAAAATGAATTAAATCTAAGTAGATCTAATTTAAATCTAACGAGATCTCATTAGATAAAATCTATTCTAATAACATAGTAGATCTGAGTAGATCTAATGATAAAGTGTAAAATTTAGATCTATTTATATCTACTTCAGATCTAAATAGATCTAAGTGGATCTACTTAGATCTATTTTTTCAATTTTTTTAATCTAATGAGTTAGATTTAAATTAAATTTAATCTATTTTTTTTCCCGGGAAGAGTGTTGATGACACTGTAAATAACGAAAATATGTTTTTGTATATATTTGTTTTTTTGTGCGGAAAAGAGAAATAATCGTTTCTTATTACTGTGAAAAGAAAAATATAAATAAATCTTTGTAAAATAAACGCAGAAGATTACGCAAGATGATACTGCGCACTTACCGTGAGATTTGTTGCTATTATTTTCGCTTTCTTTCGAATCGACAACTCGTCGATTGCCGAGCAACAGACCCTCGTTACGCGGTAATATCACTTGATTGCCGAAACTCTCCGTCGTGCCGACGACCTCGTCGGCAAAATTAATCGTCGATAGCGCGGACGGTTGTTGATGTTGCGAGGAAACCAAATGTCCGACGGCATAATACGGCGGATTGAAGTCCTGAAATGGCTCTTGCTGATCGTTTCCCGCAAGGCAGACCGCCATCGAAGGCGATGACGATAAGTCCACAGTGTTCAACAACGACGTTGGATCGCCTCTGATCAAACTCAGATCAAACTCATTAGCAGCGTTAGACGTTTGTACGAAGGATGAATCATTATTCTGAGCAACGTCATTCTGTATGCTCATCAGCAACGACACCATGTCCTGACAGTCCTGATAATCTTGATAACTCTGTGACTCCGATCCATATTCCGAATAAATCGTATTGCAGAACGTGCGTGAAAAAGAGAACGCTGAGTTTACCGAAGGTAATTTCTCGTAATCTACTTTGTCTTCACTGTGATCTGTCGTTATCACGGTATTGTTCCATGTCGGTGTGGTTACTTCGCTACAAGTACTGCCCGGTGATCCACCACCGGCGGAAGAACTCTCGGAAGGATACTGAAAAATAACAGGCACCTGGTCCCAGTCGAGATAGTCCCGCGAATCCGCAACAGAATCCAACGGGGACAGAAGAGCGCCGTTGTCCGCCTGCAAGGTCGTCCAGCAGTGCGGCTGATCGCCGACGCTTATGCCAGTCACCGCCATGGACACCAGATCGACGAGAGAACCGTCGTCGACGAAACTATCCTGATCCAGGCCGGGTAACACGGGACACCGCGCGTCATCTTCTTCACTTCTCTCCCCATGATAATCCTCGAGGTACATCTCTTCTTCTTTGCACGAGCACGTCGGTTCGGGCTCGACGTGGTCGACAGCCTGCCGTCAATCATAGCGATATGTACGTTACAGTTGCGGCTGGTTTGTTGCGATTAAATTGCGAAATAAACGGATTTTTTAGCGTCACGCGCGCTCATGATCGCGCGAATTGAGAAAGCCAGAGCTATAAAACACGCGCGTTTCCAGCTTTCGATTATTCTACTCTGTGTGCTCTTTACTCGACTATCGAAGCACTCGCTACGTAAAACGCGAGATAACGGAACCCAGCAAAGCCTACGGGGGAGACATCGACGAATGACGATAATTGTGACGCGAGAAAATTATCGTCTCGACACACATACATGCGTTTTCATAGATACTTATCAAAATGATAACCGATCAAAACATCTTACTTCAAAACCTGGCGTGATTACCAGAGGAAAATATGCGATCAAATACAGAGTGTACATAACAATGATGAAATCATTCAGTTTTCTTTCGTCAAGGAAAAAAACATTACTTTTTGAACTTTTCAACGTGCATACGTAGCCTTTTGAGAATCTCGCGTTCAATATACGACAGGAAAACTTCTGTGACTGAATTCTTTTTCCTCCGATAATCGAAGATAGTTTAAGATAGTTTAAGATTGGAGAATGTCAAAAAAGCGGCTTACTTTGTTATCAGTGTATCAACATGTATACGCCAATCGCGGGTCGCCTATCACATCGGTCTTTTCCACTCGAGAGCTCTATCTCTCTTTCTCTTTCTCTCTATCGGAGAGACACGCGCGCGATAGCAATCGTAAGAAGCAAACGACAAATAGACAACAACACGGCTTCTCTCTGGAGCGATAAGAAAAAAGCAACGGGTCGGGGCACTTGCACTACACACACATCCGTGACGCGTCTTGTGAAAGACGTTTGAGGACTATTAGCTGCGCTAGTCAACAATGTTATGGTTTCTGCCATGAAGAGTCAAGTCGAGAGGACCAAAGATGCTCCTATCCCCTCCTCCAACGAGGAACGCGCAGCCCTTTGGAATCATTCCTTGAAACCGGAGGGCAGAATATTATAAGCCGAGTGGTGGAGGGAATAAGAAAACACGAGAGGAAACATAGCGCCGCCCATTCGCGTGGCTGAAAGTTTCCCTCCGTGAAATGCACTTGCCGCCACGATACCGGAGGTCCCCGCGGTTTACGATTCTTTGGACGTTCGGGGGTTACGGGACCAAACATCTGCCGAAGTATACGTTTATAATACATGCACTTGCTGCATCGTCGTTCGGCATCTTTTCTTCTAATATCAAATGATCTTGAAGTACTCGTGTTTCTAAACTGTCACGCTATCCAAAAGGACCATTTTCTACTTTATTCTTCATGATAGGAAATTTTGCAGACAAATCTCGTAGCTTCTCACATTACGTCAACCTAATAAAATATAAATATCTTAATAAAGATATTGTGTTATAAAAAGCGCATTTTAACAGATTTTATTAAACACGCATATATAATTTCAAATTAAATATTTATATAAAAATCTATTCTTATAAACGTTTCTTTATTTTGCGTAACAAAAACTGTCTCAGCACCAGCCCAAAAAGAGACTTTATCTTTAATAACTAAAGTATTATAAATAAAATGTGGAGGAAAATCCTCGGATCCGTCGGAGGTCGGTTGATGAAAAATCTTAATCGGTGAAGAAAAAAGGCTATACTGACTAACTAAAATATTATTAATGTTATGTTAATATGTGATTATTATTGTACTGAAATTTATTAGAACATATTTTAATATAATTTTTTTTCCAAGACAACTTAAATCATACAAGCAAAAGAGACGAAAGATATAACGAAAGAAAAAAGAAAAAAGAAAAGAAAACGAAAGAGAAAGAGGGAGAAAGCTCGAGACGATCTTTCGTCGCGTCTTAAGAATCGGGTGCATGATAAAAAAATGTAAAACCAGCTGCCGCACACGCGTCGCTTATTAACAACAGCTTCTATACGCGCACCACATGACAGGATAGGTCGTTTACTCCTTGCGCCCTTCTATTACAGGCTCGTTGCACGAATTTTCTCACCTCAATCTGCCGACTCGTTTACGTAGTTTGTTGTTTCTCATTTCAACAAACTATTTGTATTGTAGACAACTAGTACTACTAGCACACTAAAAGTGCATATCAGTTTTACGAGATAAAAGCCACTTAAAAAATCTAACAAATATAATCTTCTGAAAACATGCTTGAAATTTGTACTTTGTTTTATGAGACGCGCACGAATATTTCACAATTTAATTTATCTTTAAATAATTCCATAGATGTTACATATCTCTATTACTCATACGCTTTTTTTTCGTTTCCGTTACTTAATATCTCTAAACTGAGAAGTGTCATATTTACATAATAGCTCGAGACTGGGTGTCCGATTAGGCGCAGTAACTTATGCCTAGTATACTCTCTCTTGTGTAAAGATATATGAATTGATCTTACCTGGGAGAACAAAAATCACTAAGAGAGCTTAATCTCTTATTTTGTTTAAATTAAATAATATTAAAAGAGAGAGAAAGAATGTTATAAGTTTTTATATTTTTTTTCATGTGTGGTACGTGCGCACAACTCTGTTCATTCTTGCGCGCGCGCTTCGTCGGTCGCCCTTGCGCGCACGCATAAGTGTGCACGTTTGTCTTTTGGTGCATCTTGCACGTCCGAGCAAGTTGTATGTCATATTACGAGTAGATAAGTGATAGAGAGTGGCACATGTGGCTTGCCAGCCCTATATGCTTACATTATATACGTGCTATGCTCGCTCACAGTCGTGCTTTTTTGCCCGGGCACCTGTCAGCTTCGCTCATACCACAGTCGCCGCATGTGTGTACGCGACGCGACCGCCCTTAAAATAAATATACCGTAAAAAGGACACCGATCATGTTTTCCCTCCATACGGATGCAATAACAGCGAAATGAATAAAAAAAAACCATTTTGAAATGTGTTTAATCGTGTTCTATACACACAAAAACGGCCTCGCTTCTGCTGCCGCGCGTTATCTCGAGACGGCAAATGGAAATTTTATACACACACTGTTCTCAATATATTAGAGTTTTCCATAATTTAGTACAGCTTTTTAAAATGAAAAATGTTCAGATAAACGACAGAGATATGTGCATATGCATCGTAAAACGAAATAATAGAGCGTATTGAAAATAGCGTGAGTCGCATCACACGCATACATGTCAAGCAAGTGCTTAGCATTCGGTCAAGCAACATAAAAATAGAAAGACGCACGCTCTGCATGTGACTTCGTATAATTAGGTACCGAATTCGAGAGAACGCGATGCGTTCTATACTTCATGTGTTACAAACATAGTCAGGAGCAAATCTAACGATAGACCACCCTTTTTTTCTCAAAAGCAATATACTTGGTACATAAAATTCGTCCTAAATGAGAAATTGCACAAGCTCCGTTGACACGTTGGTATGTCAGTGAAAATTTTATAGAATTTTACAAGGCAAGATAGTTCGGTAACATGATTAATTATAAATATAAGTATATTTTCTTGCAAACGCATATATTAAAATATTTTCGTTACTATACATCACTTATTTATAGATAGAAAAACATGTATGAAATTTTATTATCTTACCGGTAATGTATCAAAATAATAATTCAATATTGTCTGTAAATGTTGTCAGAACTGTAGAATTCACTTGTTCTCATAGAATGAGTTAATATCGTGGGATATGTGGCAACATCGACTTTACTTTCGTTCTCGACAATCGGAAAATGTTGCACGCGTCCACTGCTCCAGGCTATTGTTAAACAGATCCACGACGAACGTTTTTGATAAAAGTTCATACAGTTTGGCACTTCTCCGGGAAATCCTTTGATCAGGCATCCGGGTTGAACTTCGACCACTTGCGACAATTTGCTCAACTTTGTTTTGATCAGAGCAATTACAGGACTGTCCTACAATTATCGAAAAAGTGATATTAAGAGTTTATATTGCACAGTGTATATTTTTTGGATCATTAGATCATTCTAGTTTTTCTTTAAGTTGTATTTTTCTTTTTTTCTCTAAAGTTTGAACTTACGTGCACGTCCATTTTGTATATAAAATTTGCAGTTAAAATGTAGACAAACGTATTTTTACTAACCTGGAAGAGAATAGCAAGATATTTTCCTGTCAAATCCCATTCCATAGAAACTATTCTGCCTCCCACTGTGATGTAATCGTCATTATCGTTTGACAAAAAGTTTACTTTTGTTAAATCGATTAGACGCTTAGCTATCTTTGCATCATTATCACTTCCATTTTTAACAAATATATTATCTTGCAGCGATAACGAAAATATCATAGAAGAATCTTCAGCAGTAGCGAAAAGTAACGTTAAATTGGGACCGAAGCATGCAGTTGCTACGCGTTCGCGTGAAACTGTCCATCTTTCTGCGCGCCATGGTGTCGGAATGCCAGTATTCCAAATTCTAAGATTAAGAATATCTTGGTTTTAATAATTTATTCAATATTTACATATTAAACAGAATATTGAAGAGAAAACTTACCTAAAAACATTTCTACACGAAGCAGAAAATAACCATGATCCACAGAGTGACCAACGTGTAAAGCACACACCTCTTCCACCAACACGTTTCAATGGAACTCCTTCTTCTTTAGAGACATCCCAGATTATTATATTTGAGTCTGTTGGTGAGCAAGACGCCAACAAATCACCCTAGAAAAGATATTTGATATAGTCTATGTACAATATAAATTACATACACATATTGAATGTGATGGAATTGAATTAAATACAAGATAATAAAAAATTACTTGCGGATGCCATGTGACATCTGTAACAGGTACATGATTCCTTTGCTTTAGAAGTATTGCGTGGCTAAGTAAATTACTTGCTGCCCCTAATTCTATAGTCCAAATTAATACTCCAGAATAACAAGCCGCTGCTAGTTCACGTCCAGCATGTGGTCTCCAACTTAAGCAGCTAACTGACTTCTGTGCACTGTGTCTCAGTACTGGTACACCTAATATGCCATGTGTAAAAATACGTATTCGATCATCTCTTGTGGCCACTGCTAGACGAGCACAATGCGGATGCCAAGACAAACATCGTATCTATCAAAAATATCAATACATGTATTTTTTGTAATCAATAAGTCTATATAATTATTTCTCAATAAGTCAACATCATTTTACCAGCGATGTATTCCAATCTCGTGTAGCAACAATATCAGCAACAGATCCAGTTCCTGATGTTGGTAATATATCTCTTTGATATATTCCTTTTTCCATTAGATCTAGTAACCAATTTAATCTGAAAAATCAAAGTATGTATAATTTTCCAATATATATCCATACTTTAGGTTCAAATTTTATACCTTGTAGCTATCAAGTGTCCAACACTTGTGATTTCTTCTGGATTTGCAGCTGCAGCAAAACGAATTGCTTCGGATACTCCTTTTTCTCTCCATATACTGACAACTTTCTTGAAAATGCTGTCATGAACAGGTAGGAATAACTCTCCAGCGCTAACTGTGCGTGCAGAATCGCGAGTGGCCAGAATATCCTGTGTAATAAAAACCTCAGGATATCCGCGCAAATATTTAGCGAACAGTTGGAGCTCATCTTGCAACTCGTCAAAGGTACAGTAATGCACGGTACCTTCTATTAAAGCGACTGCAGCTACATCCTCGAAAATATTACACTCAAATTCGTGAAGTTCCAACATCTTCCACATTCTCCTTGTCAGTCGCTATTACAACTTAACCTAACCTGTACATACCCACATAAAAAGCAAGATTACAATTACAAATTACTTCTTGACTAAAGTTGACTAACATAAACATAGCATTGCTTTAAGTTTTGTTTATATTAAATATCTATTCTCTTGTTTCTCTGATAGAGATCGCCAGATTTCCACAGGCAGACATACCGGGTTTGAAAATTAAATAAGATGTAAGTAATGAGTGTCCAGTGATCCGGTGAAACTTGTTCGTGATAAAAACAAGTAAAAATAACAAACTTGTCTCATATATGCATAAATACACTCGACCTCTTACCAAACGAAACCTCACCTCATATGACTTGACTGTGAGGACCTCACTTTTTGTATCAACCGGCAAACCGGGAAAAAAATATGACATCATTCAAGGTTTGTTCCTTTTAGCGCCATTATGTTGCACTTCCTGCGTTCAACATGAAATAGATATATAATTGCGCATTGGAGAGACAAGATGAGAGAAAGCGAAAATGCAAAGAGTGCAATGAACGACATATTTGCTATTTACATCAGTAGTCATGACAACAGCCTATCAGCACAAGTATCGAATGCGCACGTGCATTCGAGAGATTCAAATTTCCGACGACCTAAAATCATCGTGAACTCAACGTGTTTCTGTCCTGTCACATGACATTTTACAATACAAATTCATTTACAAGAAACGCAACGTGATTACCGCGTTTGAGCAGTTTTTTTGATAAACGGTTGATTAGCATAACAAAAACGAGACGTATGCACGTAAGATGGTGTGACATTTTTTGCACCTATTTTTGAAAATTATTGTCTTTGATCGGTCGATAATGTCAACCGTGATTGATCAATTCTGATCGCTTTTGCTAAACAATCAATGCGATTGATCAATTTTAATTGAAATATTCGGCCGATTAAATTCGATTGATCGGAGATTGGCGAGACCGATACGCCGGGCTGCGTTCGAAAATCTTCCGAGTGTGTTACCCTTGGTGTTGCCTTTTAGTGCAGAAGGTGCAGCAAAATGGCCCATAGAGAGCGTCTGCTACGAAAAGCGGGAGGCGTGGCGAAAGAAAGAAAGAGAGAGAGAAAGAAAGAGACGAGAACAGGAAAGGCTACGGGTGGAGGGCAAGACGGGGCCGCAGTGTGCGGTCGCTGTTCGAGCGGCGTGGATTGTGCGTTGGAATAGTCTATCAGCGTTCACGTAGCGAGGAGCAATCTTCCTTTTTTTTTTCGCGAGAGCGGGCGATTTGTCGTCGAGATTGTAAGTGCGCGAACAAGCGACAGAAACTGGTTAGATCCCAGCGTGAGGAATCGACGAGGGGACCGACTTGTGTCCTTTTTACCTTCTCTCACCGATTGACGAGCGCGATCCGGATGCCACTGTCAAGATAGCCGTGCGAAAATGCGCGTATAAATGACAGTCTCGCCGTGTCGCGGGTTGTTCTCGTCGTAGACGAGACGAGGGAAGAGGCAAACGGAAAAAAAACGATCGTGGAAGAAGAGAGATTGTCGCGAAGCAAGACGAGACGCAGAGCGAAAGTGGTGGAGGAGGTGGTGCCTGTGGCACGGGTGACCACGAGAGATGGGCAAGAAGGGTTCTAAGCGGAAGACCCGATGGAGAACCCTGAGCATAGGTGGTAAGTATCATCCGATGATCTATGCGCGTGTAGAAGGGTTGATTTATTATATTCGCTGTTGTGTTATGCACACCGCTCGCGTAATCTCGCGTAATATTCTCTCGCGAGCGGGCAATTTCGCGTAAGACTGTGAAGTAGCGTGCGGGTCGGTCATCGATCAACGTGCGCGGCGAGAGATACCGAAAGAGAGGGTCGAGAGAGAACATTCGCGTTGTCGCGAACTGGTCCCCTCTCATCGACCCCTCGTGGGCTGTCGTCTTTGCGATTTCGCTCGCTGCCGCGTGTTTTTTTTTTTTTTTTTTTTTTTTTTTTTTTGTTTTTTTTTTATTATATTGAAGGCCGGAATCAAACGCATGTCGAGGACGGAAAATAATTAGCGAGACACGCTCTTGTCACGGCGTGCATGCGATAGAAAGTCAACGACCACAATTTGTGACAAAAAGACCTCTCGGGGCGACTCGGTTTCGGTCGATCGTAGGCATGAGTGCAGTAAGTGCAGCTAGAAGAAATAGGAAGTCTTTTACATTTCTTCCATTAAAACCCCCTTATATCTTTTCCGGTTGAGCGGAACGTCCAAGAGATCTCTTTTTAGGCTTGGATGTTCCGTAAACTACGGAAACGTAATAGAGAAAGAGAGATCACTGATCTACTTTTCATTTTCTTGTTATTTCTGAGAAAAAAAATACTGCAAACGACGCGGTTCTGAGCATATCAAACAAGGACGTCAGAACGCTGTCTTTACGGTAGAAACGAGAGAGTTCTCGATTCACAAGTCGCTACGTGTGGATATTTCTATCTGACCGTGATAAGAGAGATAAAAATTCTCGTGGGAAATTCGATATTCCTCGATGGATTCCGAGCTTTTTTTTTCTCGCATTTTTACGACGTTTTATAGGAAAATCACAAACTGCTCGCCTTCTCACCGCTGATACATCGATCCGCACCACCCTACCTGACTTATCTTCTCCATGCGTACTGTACCTACCCACTTACCTGCTTAGACGTAACGTGTGTGAGATCGCATTTTACACCGCGACTCGTGTTCCCGAGTTGTTCCTTATCGTTCTGATCTGTTTGTCGAATTTGCGTATCGAAACGAGATTTCGATTTTTTATTTTATATATTTCGATCTTTGCAGAATAAATGTTTAAAAAGCAAACGACATGTTTGTGACATTTTTTGTTCGAGATATTTTTCTCACGATTGTTATACGTGTACACGTAAATTTGACACATTTTAACCATTTCTTATTTTAGCGTCCAAGTTGTTCACACGTAGTAATTCACCAAATCATATCTAGAGATATAATATGTTACATGGTTACAATTTATATATATATATATTATATTCTAGAGTATCACAGTAAGAAAACGAGCAGTCAGTCACACATAAAAGTTTGCTGTCCTGGACCTCTGTTCGTGTGTACGTATTGTACGTAGGATTTACATTTTTTCCACTTTCGAGGTACGCGCTGTACACGTGAACGGATTCAAGTCAACAGAACGAAACTAAAAACAAGTCCATACATGAAGAAACTTCTCTTGATTCGCGAGAAGAAAACAAATCCACACACATGCGTGTATATTCTAGTTTTCAAACAATTTACGTTGATGTTGACACAATATATTGTGGAGTGACAAATAAATAAAACTCCTCGTTGAGGAACAAGTGTTCAAAGGGATGAAGCTCTTGTTATATCGTGCGAAATACAATTCCGGCAAAATTTGTCTTTCTCATTATCTTCTTTCATCTTGTTTCAGTTTTCCACACGGCAGACAGACGAGAGAAGACTCTCTCGAGAATAATAGATCGCGCCTTCTGCCTTTTTCTTTCCCCTTTGTGTGACGTATCTTCACTGCGGAACCTGACCCCATCATCGACGTATGCCTTCTTCCGTGTCTTATGTCCACTCGGATAAACCTGGTCTATCGTACAAATATATTCGATCATTGAAGCGAGTTGCTCACTTTATCTCACGTCTTTCGCAACGACCTCCTCATTTAATCTTTGCGACTTGGGTTATAATTAATACTGACTTATTGCATTTTATGCTTGTTATTGCAGTTTCAATTAATCCATCAATCGATCAAAGTATCAAGAGCTTCGGCCTGTTTATTGGATGGACTTGTTTAAACCGTCGAATATTTGATTTTCAATTATGTGATAATTGCGTTCATCACACTAGAGGAAGAATTTTGTCAAATTGAACGCAATTCACGGTCAACGGTGATAGTTGCTGATGAATTCGAGTACACTAGGTCTCAGAGAGATAACGAGAGCTGCCGCCGCGCGTCCCGATGCGAGAGCGATTGCCAAATGCAATAGTGCCTCGCGTTTCATAACATCAGTGACAACTATATGTACGCACGTTATGTAGTAATTATCGTGAATAGTCGAAAGAGCCAGTGACGTACAAGCTGCGGACGCCGTTTCGGTCTTTTGCAGCTTGACGATCTGAGAATCTTTTATTATATTGCAAAGAAGATTTAGATTTTACATTGACACCATTTTGGCCACGTAAATACGTCAAGTGTGACCGCACAATTTTGCAGAAGGTTAAAGCGTAAAATCGGATTCTCATCGTGGTTCGCAACACCTTACCGTGCATCGAGAACGATCGTGTTGCATAATTCGCAAATATGTTGCATACAAGAGTCTTGTTGAACATAATGAACATTCTGACTTCTTTGTGTCTAATCGTTCAAAACGAAAAACTACAATCGACTCAAAAGTATGTAAATTAAATTCGCATTGAAATGATATATATTTGCGGATTTTCTTCTAGTTCAAGTTGTCGCGGAGTCTTGTTTTCTCGTTTGATTCGTAAAATTCGATATTTTATCCATGTCCAGCAACAACTTCTGACTTTCAATAACATCTTACGTTTGGATCGTATCATTACGCTGTTATCGTCATGTTTCGAATTAACTATTGTGATTAGATTAAAATGTATGCGATATGCGAGCTAAGAAGCTAAGTTTGTTTTTATCTATACACACGCAAAAAGTTGTCACGAATACTACGCCATACTTATATAACTTTGTATAATACTTATCGCATTCAGTTTTGTCTTTATTCTCAGCGTTAAAACGCTTGACTCTGAAAAACATGTGAATAGTGATTTGCGAAGTTCGTGTTTGTATAAAGATGGGATAAAGGTCTCGCTTCGAGAGTCGCATCGCGAGCGAGAGCCTCTAGAGAGGGAAATTCGCGTTCACTCGATATACCGGAGCGAATCAATAGCTGGCGTCGCGTCTCTTTCTCTCTTCCTCTTTCTTTTTCCTCTCTCTTTCTCTCTCTCTCTTTCTCTGTTTCTCTTTTTCTCTTGATCGCTGCCGTACCGCGAAATGAAAACGCTTAATATCTGATTAATACGCTCAGCGAACGCGCTCACAGAATGAGAAAGAAATCTCGATCGATAATTGCCGCAATTTCCGTGAAGTCTCCGATGAAATTGTATGGTCGTTTTCAGAAAATAAATTTCTCATCTGTATAAGCAGTAATTTATAATAAAATTACATAAACTCGCGTCTTACAAAATTCAAGTTTGCGTTGAGTTTTTGAAGTTTAGAAGACAAGTAGCGGAATAAAGTGTTTGTACGTGAACATTTTAATCTCTTATAGAAGTATCACACACACACATACTCTCTCTCTATCTCTCTTTCCTGTTATAAAATCAATTGCATCTTAAATTTCTTATACACCCCGACGTCGTTTGCTGCGCAGGCCGCTATAGTACCATAAATGATCGACTCTTACTACTTGCGCGAGTATACCTACGTATACGCTACATCCCGCTTTGTATGGTCGCCGGAAGGCGAAGTGAAATTTATTCTCTTCATGTGTTTTCACGCGCGATGCAAAATTCCCGCGCGGATTATCATTGACAGTTACAAAGTTTCGCAATAAATTAAACTGAGTGTTCTTCTTGTTCTCTCTCTTTCCGTCTCTTCCGTTGTTGATCGACGGTAACCTGATAGTTCAGGACATGAACTTTCGACACGACTGCGGTCCGATGCGAGCACATTGAGAAGCTAAGTATATCATTGACAAAACAGAAAAAACAAACTAGAATATGCATGCGTGTTTCAACGTGTTGGATAGAAAGAGAGAGAGAGAGAGAGAGAGAGAGATAGAGGTTGCACATCGCGCAGCTGGTTATGTAAGCCGGTCTTGCCGCACATTTTCCACCGAACGTCGAACCTAATATGAGGAGTCTATTTTCAAAGAAACATGCGAGACGAATTACGAAATGTTACTCAACATCGGATTTACATATAAGTACCCGCAATATTATATAAAAAGATGCACGCAATACAAAAATGCATTTTGATCTTTCGAAATGAAAACTAAATTCCATGTAAAAATTGCATGTAAAAGCCGACAATTCAAAATATTCCTAAATGCATGTCTGCGTTTTGCCATTTTTACGTCAGCGTGATATTTCGCGAGCACAACTAAATCGTCACGCGACACCGATAGCAATACGTAATAAGCGCCGGGGCACGAATATCAAGGAAAAAAATAGAATCATTCCCTCCGTCTGCGTGCAGATTGGGCGCGGGCAAAGTTTTCTGCATGTTGCACGTGCTGAAGATCGTAGACCTTCCTGACGTTCGTACGAATTACGTAACGACCTCGCCGCGGCCACCAGTAATAAAACGCAGCTTTACGTGCAGCTCCCTCGTACATATATGTATACATTTATATATATATATATGTATATATATAATATATGTGTGTTGTGTGTGTTAAACATGTGTCATTGCGCGCGCTGCGAATACACGCATTCAATAAGCACATATATGCGTCGGTACACCGAATACCTAACCGAGTGTGAGTTACGAGTTCGGGTTATGAATAGCACGTGAGAGTGACCACGAGATTCCCTCATCACATGCTCTCCTCCTCTTCACCGACGTGCGTCTCTCACGCGCGCGAATTTTACAAGCTGTTCACGCGAGCGAGTGTCACAAGTGGAAGCGCATGATTTTGAGTCGACGACATTTTCGGTTCGATCTTACACAACCCGGCGACGTTTTCCGCGTATACAAAGTATAGAAAATGTGCGATTCTCGCTGAAACTGGAGACTATCACGCGACTACTTCTTTTCTTCTTGGTTCTTATTTAAAATAAAAAAAATTGTTTCTTATATTTATTAAATCTTCAGCTACAATACGAAAAAGTTAGAAATGTTTTTTTTTTCTATGTCTTTTGATGTTTTTATTAAAAAATTTAGATACTTGTTTTCTCTCTTTGTCGATCTCAATATGCCTCAACTGTAAAATTTACACAGTTCTAATGATGATAATAATGACGATTCTTGCACTTGACACATTCGTGACATCCAAGTGCGTTTATTGTCGAACTAGTTAAGATCTCGCGGGAAATGTCGGTATCTAGAAACGGTAATAATAAAGTGCGTTTATTGTCGAACTCGTCAAAATCTCGCGGGAGATGTCGATATCTAGAAACGGTAATAATAGACTCTGTAGAGAATTGCTTGTGCCACGTTCGCAACGGGCAATGTTCTACGCGAAGGAACGCTTTTGGATCTTGCGCGCTATTTTTACCTATCGATACTGTCCCGCCACATTTGCGGTTCTCTCTCTCTCTCTCTGTGTTCAACGAAGTTGTCGCGTTTTATCTCTACAGAATTTATTTTACAGTCCTTTGGACGTCAAAGCCGCGCGACGATAACGTTGATTTAATGTCCCTCACGCATTGTTAAAACGCGTTGCTCTGGCAAGCGTTGTCAAGACCGCGCTCGGTTATCCGTAAATACACCTTCCCCGACCAACTTCAACGTGCCTTGAAAGGTTAAGGAACTCTCGCGGGACCATTTGCCAATTCTGTTGCTGCTAATATGATGTTTCTATCGATTGATATATGCAAAAAATTTCTTCTTACGTAAAAATAAATCCGTAGACAACTCGTGCCTGCAGCAAAGAATTTCAGTATACCGAATTATTTTTCTTGAATTTGAATTCATAATTTGTCAAGTCGCGTGGATTAGGTAATGCTGATAAGGTGTTGGCGCTCCGCAAGTTACATAATACTCTCATTGTGTCGCATGCTTCGTAAAAGTATGTATCTGATATACGTACTGCGACGTGTATCCATTGCAACGAATACCGTTTCACACCGTACCATCAGCTTGTGAATTTGACACTCGATTGGTTCTCGTTTGTCAGCTATGTCTCGCATACGTGTCACTCGAAAAGAATATCCGACTTCTTCTGCAGACACAAGAAGAATACGTGTAATAAGATAATATGTTGACAATAGTTGAGCTCAACAACTTGAAAAAAAAAAAAGATGGTTTGATGCAATAAAATAGAAATAGTTCAAAATAATCTTTATCGTACAAGTGTTTATTGAATGAAAAAGATGGAGATGTTAGGTCGCAATGTTCTCTGTGTCACAGTTACAAGACAATTATGCGCCGGTTCGAGGAACTTTGCTCGCGAGATGTGATAACTGTTTAAATCACCAAGTCTCTCTGTGTTATTCTTGTTATACACATTTTACACGCGACTATCCAGCGTGTCGAAAAGTATGTATGAAAGGAGAAGCGGAGAAAAAGAGAGCGAGAGAATCAGCATATGTTTTTGACAAAGTGCCTAGGTGATTCTATAACAGTCCGACGTTCCAAATCATTATGCTTCGAGTATTCGCGAGATAGCGTCTCGCGCGTCAATCTACGACGACAAGCGAGATCGGGACGTTTCGTCATCCACAAAGCAGACGTGTGCTCGTCTGGTGGCACATCGTAAATCAGTCTCTGAAATCTCAAAAATTCAAATCCATCTTTTTCTAAAAGATTTCTCTCTTTTATCTTCTTACTCACTCTACATATTTATTTCTCGTGTCAATTATAGCATACATAAATTTTCATGTAAATAAAAGGTTTTATTTTTTTCAAACATGTATTTCATTTTTAGTCTGTGTGCGTTTTGCAGTTATTTGCTCCGGTTTTATTTATATGTACAAAACGACGATATTTCTTTTTTTATCACATCGATTCAATTGTTATCTTACTGCGCCTCGACTGTATACCCGTTCGAGTTTAAATTCACTTTTCCAAAAAAAAAATAAAGCCTCTAAAAATTTACGAGACGTATTGAAGAAGCTCGCGTCTCTCGGGAAACGGCGGCGAGCGCATGATGGCGCAAAATCGTTCACGTTGCACAGTCGCAGACGGTGGCAAAATCGAAGCGGTGCACCGCACGCCGGTATATGTCGCGCACTGACGGGGGGACCTGTGCAGTGCGACGGTGACAATTTCTACGAACGTCGGTAGGCTTTTTATTCCGATGAAAGTGGTGCGCGACCGGTGATTGTTCCGTGCGATGATTTCACAGCGACAGCGTATCTTGCAGACATACGTAGTTTCGGAGGCCGGCAGGACCGCCATGTGTCGGCGAAAGGGAACTCCCGGTTTTCCGATATGAAACTCTCATTGACGAAAAATTATGCAAAACGTAATTCGGGAACGTAAACCCGCGTACACGGGTGTGGCCCTGAATCTTAAAAAGCTGTGAAAACATTTTCTGAAGAAATAAATGACTCGTAGTGCTTATTGTGCGACTCCCACGATTACGTAATTTCTTTCAACCTTGCCTTTTATAGTACATCGTCTTTTTTTTCTGCTTTATCAGGGCACCGTACGCGGTAGGAACGCAGTTTCTAGACTCGTTAAACGTAAATTTAAATAAATCTTTAAATATGAAGAGTTTTTCAAAGAATTAGATAATTTGTGGTTTGTTGATCACCGTTACCGTCACTAGAGCTAGTTAACTAAGTTTAAAGCCAAGCACGTAATATGATCGATAGATACTGTGTTGTTTGACTGATTGTCGGTTTTGAAGTCAACAATGTGAACGAAATGCAGTCATTGCCATTATATCTAATAACGCGGAGGCATAATAGCTTGTTGTGTAATCCACACTCGTAAGCAATCGCATATCCTTGCGATAAAATAACAGGTACAAACACAATGATGCAATAAACTGAGGATTGCACACTGCCGTGCAATGGACGTTCTGAACTCTTCTGGGCAGTCAAAAAACAGCTTTTTTCTCTTAACTGTTTCTCCCATTTTGTTACTCGTAAATATGTAATATTAAATTTGATATCATGTATGGCTTGTATGATCAGTAAAAAAAATATCCAAATTTAATATTGTCGGTTGTCCTTTTTTTTTACGCTACTAAGCACAACAGACGCTACGCGCGTGCTATTAATTGTCAGTGTATTTGTGTGTGTGTGTGTGTGTGTGTATGTATATATATGTATATCATACACGTAATCTGTTAACAATATATACATTTGACAGCGGCTCAAACTATACTAAGCCGCAAAAAGAATCAATCGCGACAAAGAGGTAACAATGAAATCTTTACAACTCTTTCTCCGTCTTCTGAAATATTAATTTTCTTTCAAAATTACCGTCACGCATTGGCTAACGAAGTGATTAGCACATCATTTAGTGATTGTACTATAATTACATTCTCTGGCGTTTCGCACTTCTTTTGTTCAAGTGAGAAAAATTTGCCGCTATTAGCCGCTCTAGAAAATTGACTAACACATTTAACGACCGCGCTATTTACCTGTCCCGATTTTGTATAACGTAATAAACGTCAAATTAAAGCGATGATAAATTCGAGACTTAGGTCTACAAAAGATTCGTTTTGTTTTACGGTCGACAATAAATTTGAAATTCAAAGTTGACAAACACAACGAATATAAATCCCATTTCCAGATTTATCTCGATCATGACACGTCAATTTATTTATCGTAGGTTAATTTCGGTTGAAATTAGTAATTTAAAATAAAGAAAATTGAATCCGAGAAAAACTTCAATCGACAAACAAAAAGGTCCATATTCGAGGGAATCGAATTATATTAATATCAATTCCTTGTGGACAACTCGCGTAAGACAAGTCTCGCTGGTAGTTTCCTCGCCTGTTTTCTATTCTAATTTTGATTTCTATTCTGGTACTGTCGAAGGCAGCCAATGGGCAACCGCGTACGCAGTATGCGCAAGTGTACCTCTCTCTTGGCGGTCTCGTCGCTCATCATCATTCCCGGCGTGTGCACGACCACCCCTTACCCCGTGTCGATCGCAGTTGCTTCTGAGAGTCCCGAGGCATCGCGTGCGATACATTGATTCTGCCACGTCTATTTTTTTTTTGTCGGATAGTCGCGGCAAATGAGTCTAAATCGATCGATTCGCTCCTAGTATCGTTGAAAGAAATCGATCTTCTCTACGATCGGCCGAAACAGTCCCGAGAAAGGTGATAACGCCGGGTAAAAGGGTGCGATGCAGTGGCGGCGGCAGAAGAAAGTCACCCACGTGATCGGCTCCTCAAACCATGTGCTGCTTTTAGCGAGGTATCAAGATGGTACGGAAACACGCCGATTAGTTGCGCCTCGTTTCTCGTATGATAATAATAAACCTGCGAAAAGCAATGAGAGATATAAACGTAATACAATCAATTCTCACGCAAATTACTTTCGAGAAGATACTAGTTATCTCAAACACGTTCGTCAGTAGTCACTTTAATTGACGTGAAACGATTTTTTTCTTCTGTGTAGCACGTAATTTGACATTTTTAATTCATTACGTAACTTTGGATATAATTATATATTGTTAATTTTGACAAATGACAGAAACAAACGTACGAAATTCCTCGTCATTCTGCATTAGATATTCTCGGTTCGACAGCTCCACCAGGAGAGGAAGATGAAGAGGACGGTTTGCGAAAAGATTACGTGAAGAATTCAGACAAGGACGCGCACACTTTCGATCGAAATGGACAGCAAGGCAGCTATAAATCGTACCGAGGTGGTACGAGCACCAGCGGCGACAGCACGAGCAGCTACGCCAACAGCGGCTCGAGATCGCATCGGGATGATAGCGCGGGCTCGCCGTCGCGACCGAAAATCATCTTCAACGAGGACGAGTACACGAGGATTACAACGCCACGGCAGGATGTTCTCTTCAAGAAGGGCTATCTCTCGCGAAAGAAGCCCTGGACCGGTAACGCGAGCACCAGCGCCACGCCGTCTACAACCGAGAGTCAATCGGCGTCACATTCCACCGCAGGTAGAGATCCCACCTGAAAAACTGAGCTAACATATTTTTGTACTAAAAAGAAGCATGATTATTAATACGTACAGTCGATACCGATATGCAACTTCATGTGTTAAGGAATTTTCGACTGTTTTCGATGCAACTTCATGTTTGTGCATTACTGAAACATTAATTCGAGTTTCGAATTAATTAACGTGTCTCTCAGTTGTTATCCCATCCTTACAGACGGTAGTGAAACTACGGAAGACCAGCAATTACTGGATAGGGATAGTGGAATGGGAGAATATCCTCCCATGGTAGAACCGGGAACGCAGTTGGGATACGGAGCGTTTTACGATCATACGAGCGGTTACTTTTACGAATACCCTGTAATGTTGGTCGGTCCTGCGCCGGTACCTCCTCCAGTCGGTCCGAGTGTCTTAGCGACTGTACCTTGTGACCCGGTTCCCTTGAGACCAATCGAGTGGATCAACCCTGCTTATGTGCCTAAACTTGCCAACCAACCGTATTGCGTAATGGACTATCAAGTAAGATGATCTCGTTTGTTTATCCTATCAGTTTGTTTTTTTTACTACGCATTGTACATTATTGCATTTCAGACTAGTCAGAATACCGAACCGGCCACGATAGGAGATGGGCAGAACGGCACGTTGGCGGCGGCGGCTACGGCGGAAGTTTCCAACAACATGTGGAACGAAAGTGGCACCGGTAGCGCCAGCTGTAGCGGCAGCATAGCGGGGGAAACCGAAGAGCAAACTGAAGAGGCGGACAGTGCTGCCAAGGAACAACCTACGATAAAGGAGCAGTTTGCGGAGGAACAACATCTGGAGGAGCAACATCTCGAGAGACAACACTTAGAAAACGGACACATGATGCCGGTCGATCCTTACTTGGATCCGTTAATGATGCAGGAGCCAATGCACATACCACACGTGATGCCCGCCGTACCGCAGCCGTACATGTATCCCGGTCACTACATGTTCGGACCACCTTTGGTCAACGTAAATGGTTAGTTACGAGATAGATAGAGATTAGGATCGTCCTTGAATAAATGTGCGCGTGCTATAGTACGGATTGGCAAAGTCCGAACTTGCCTCTACCGCCTGCATGAGCAGACCTACATTCGCGCTCATAGCCTTCGTTCTGTTCACAGTCGGATGGACGGAACAACGGACAAGTTTGTGTGAACCGATTGATTGCCCATAATTGCGTTTAAGAGAAAGAAGCGCATTTCGAGGAAGGAGCGTGAACGTGATCTATTTATTTATATAGGAATTTTGTTTTACATAATTCTTTATTTTTATATGAAGTAAACAAAATTTATATTTTCAAAACATTCTGTTTGAAAAACAATTTTATTTACTAGTACGTCAAGTTTCTTTCGAGTCTATGAATTCTTTGATTTTTAATTCAGTTATCTCAAAAATTTAAGATATGCGATCTTTTTTCTCTTTTTTCTAATTTTAAGTTTAAAATAACAATAATATAAAATTAAACATTTAAGTTAGCGATACGCAATTAAAAAAATACAAAAGATAATTATAGAAATAATTGAAGTATTATTATATATCTGTGTTGATCCATTGGACGCTTCTTCCTCGTACTGCGTTACGCTGGCCGTAGTACGCTTGATTGTACCTATTTCTAATGTTAAACGAGAACAGTGTCGATTGGAAGCGCGGCCAAAGGAAAGGGATATGCCCCGATTCATGACTTCTGTCCCGTCCATCGGCATCATTGCTGTTTTATTACCGCCGTACCTCTACCACATTCAAGGTAAAAGGTAATAATTCGCAAAAAGGTATCACACTTTAGACACGATCGTGGAAATGTATTCAAGTTTCTTCCGCGTTCTCGTGAAATAACGTAAAAAAAAAAAAAAACGCTCAGTGTCTTTTCACGTCAAGATTAAATGACGATTATTTCTCTTGGTGGTTTTTTCTTCACGATCGTTCCTAAAGTTCCAAGGCTACACCGCTCGATGTTCTGTTTGTCATTCAACTAACGATGCATACCCACTCGCATAAATTATCGGTGTTTTCACCGCTCCGTACACGCTACGTACGTCATTGTTCTCACATTGCACCAAGTAATGAAGCATATTTCTCTATCCAAGAGTCCATTGACTCACAACCACCGCACCGTGAGGATACGCCCCGTGGTCACATCGGCATTATTTAACGTCAGAGAAACGTCTTGGCTGCGTGAGAGACACAGAATGAGAGTTTGGCAATAGAACGCGTTGCTACATTTCAAATAGATCACGTTAAAAATAACTTGTTCGCTTCGAGATATATAAGATGTATAAGAAGGCACAGAAGCAGTGAAAAAGCCAAGTTCACCTTTCGCGACAACTTCGGCACGTTCCTAGCTGCTCATTACGCGCCTGTGATCATGATTGGATTGTTCATCGAACCGGCAAATATCGCACTGAAATAATAATCGTTGATGAGTTCCCATCTTCCTGCAGACTGATAATCGCGCGACGATTTCTTTTGTCCAAGGTGTTACCATTCAAGGCGGGCCATTGGTGAGAACTATGGACGTAACGGCTATGACAATGGCGTGCGGCAAACGAAGAAAGAAGAAAAAGAAAAAAAAGCAGAGAAGACTTATTTCGGTAAGTCAGCACAAAAACATCGTATTAGAGTAATCGATCAAAATTCTCTAATCGTCAAAAAAAATGAGATTAACAAACCACCTATCAGTGTTATTATTCCGTGACAATTTTTGTAAAAGAAATATTTTGCTGATTAAACTCTTGATTTTGTTTTTGTTTGTTTTTTTTATTAAATTCAGGGTAATACCGAGGATGAAGAAGAGGGAGAATACAGTTCCGAATGTGATAATGACGTATCGTCTTCCCGACTACCTTGGTCAGAGTGTTCGACTTCGACCGCGATTACAACGACGGCCACGAAACGGCCACTCAATCCTGAGTGCCAAGAGTTTCAGTTACGGCCGGCCTTGCAATCTAAAATCCTTTCTAGTCCCGATTCGACATCCGTCGTTCCTACCATGATTGAAGAAATTACGTCGTCTGTCAACGACGTTACGGATGTTTCATCCTGTGTCAATACGGATCACAAGTCTGAGAAAATATGTGATACATCGAATGTTCAGAGTCCAACGAACCAGACGGCAACATGCAATTTGAAGCACGTTACGGAAACGTCACTGGAAAACGTTCAGTCAGTAACATTTAGACACAAGCCAAAAGACAAGAACACAGAAGTCAATGGTCAAGCAAATCATCTAGTCGAAGATTCAACTCTAACGAACCAGATCGAGAAAATGAGGAATAACGCGATCGATCATGAAACGCTCAAGACTGATATTACCGAAAATAACGACAATTCGATCGGTAACAATGTGAAGCGTAAGTTACTCGAGAGTAATAGTAATAACGTTAATACAATTTTGTTGGATAACTGCGTCAAGTGTCCAGGAGAAGCTTTAACTAACAAAGAAACAAACAGCGTGGAACATGTTACCGATCTAACGGACAAAGCGTCGAAATCGTTGTCGACAACTTCTCAAAATAATAGTTCCGATAATGATAATTCAACAGTGACAAATGTCACCGAGAGCGAGAAGGAAGTTGAACGGTTACGAAACTGTAATAATTCGACCGTTGTACGAACAACTTCGCTTCAACAGCAACAACAGTCGAAAGAGTCGAAAAAGTACAACAAAAAAGGTTCGAAATTCGTGAGAGAACCTACGCCCGGACCGGATCTAAATGACACTACTACGCACTTAGACATAGAAAATGGAAAGCTCGTGCAGCAGTTCGAAGCCGTCCAACTGTCGGAGAACACTGGCGCGATTGCGGATTATAAGCGCGATATCGCAAATGACAAACTGAATGAGACAGATCAGGAAGTGGCAAATGAAGATGTATTTTACGTACGCAATAATGAAGGAAAAATTCGAACAAGTCAGGACAATACGACCGAAGGATCGAATGAAGATTCTGGATTTGAGAGCCAGACCCGATTGTCAAAGTATCCGATTATGTCCGCGGTAACGGAATGGCTACGTCAAGCAAACTCGGACGATCTTTTCATAACATCGGCATCGACCTCGGAGAGCGAGACAGATGAGGATGGTGAAGAAATAGATGCAAAGCCGCCAAAAAACTTGCAAGGCAACCCCATGCCTGCACTATCTGCTAATAGCGGCGTCGACAACTTTACGGTGTCACGCACGGCTAGCTGCGGCGAATTCGCAAAGGCCAACAATAATTCAACCACGGTCAATCAGACGGAAGTTGACTCGATATCATCAAGATCGATCGGCAGAAGAAAACGGGATACGAAAGGCGCGAAGAGAAAAACGAAAAGAATCGACAAGCGGAACAAGAATGTTGATGAGAAGACGCAGAGCCAGTTGGTTTCCTCATTAGTTTCGTCTAATCGATTGGAAAATTTAGTCACTGCCGTGAGATTGAAAGACACGTTGAAGAACAATGTTGGTAACGTTTGCGAATTTACTCAGGAGGATAGCGTTGCGGGTATGAGGGTTGCTTTAAGTTCTCGGATAAATTCAAAGAAAGCCAATGCAAAACGAATGAAGACGTTAAGAAAAATCAATGGGAATACTATTGAAAATATTGATATCAAGATGCGACGTATAGACGATTCGAGTGGAAAGGAAATGAACGAAGATTGTACAGTGAGCGTACGAACGTTTGAAAAAGGAGAGATTATCGTTTCAGAAGACGGCAGATTATTACCAACGTCCTCGTACGAGCCAATTTCGTCTAACGATCAAGATAATTTAAATGCAGCAAAGACCGCTACTGACATCGATATAATTAACGAGAACGTTGATGTGCGCAAAGAATCTGGGAACAACAACGAGAAAGACGAAAACAACAGTATAATGATAGCATCTTCGGTCAGTATAGAGGAACCTGACGTGTTGGAGTGTTGGGAAGCGGAAACTATAGAACCTGTGATAACTCCAAGAAGAATATTGCAGAGTCCGGGAATTCTGTGCGAGGGAGAGGCCGCGGAAGAGGACAACTTCGAAATCGAGAAAGCTACCATAGAACACGTACAGAAGTACTACAGATTGGCACGGGACACCATCAGCGTGGAAGAAGAATTGGGCGACGTTAGCACGTCGGTAATTTCATCGAGATCGAGAACAGTGCCAAATAATTCGGAGAAACTAGTCGAGCATTTCTGTAGCGAGGAGATCCCGATAATTATACCGGACAAATTTCAGGACAAAGTGTCCGAAAACGAGAAGATACCAATCGACGAGGCGTTCGAAGTGTACGAGAGCTGTTACAACGGAAAATCGCCATTTTTCCCATTCAATCCGAACCCGATCAAGCAACAGCCCCTATACGGTCAGAACGGTGAAACTCCGATACCGTGCAGAGCAGTGTGTTGTAACATACAATAATATCAAAACAAATCTCAGACGTATCCTATCCAGGAAAAAAACTCGTCTCGAAAAAGTAATGAAATACCTAAATATTATTATAACGAATATTATAATAATGTATTACATTACATATATTTTAATTGCGTCAAGGCTGTCCTTTCCGGAAGCTCGGGACGCACTTTTCCGAGTATAACACGCACGTATTTGTTACGTGTACGCACATTCTCACAGTATATAAAATTGTCTCACCTTTTTTATTGGGCGAGAATTTCAAATGAATCGATATGAATTTCGATTTCTTTCGAAAGTTTAGTGACACGCTCAAGTGAGGACTAAATAATGTTACTTTGAAAGCAATTTATGGATCAAACCAGTTTTTGTAAATAGTTTTAAGAGAATTGTTTTTTTTTTGCTTGTGTGATCGTATTTCGTGAAGATTTTCAAAATTCTCCGTGCGGGAGCATGTGCATTGTAATAATCCATAATAGCGCATTTTATCATTGTCATAGAACATTGCCACAGAACGTCATTGTTCATAATCGAAGACAGAACGTTTAACTTTTATCTGGACCGAGCTTATCAAGAGGCAATACGTTGATTTTTTTTCTAAGCGTAGAAGAATGTGTAATTCATTTTGAAAATGGAACGAAGAAAAAAAGATTACATCAAGAGGTATTTGTTGAGACATAAGAGAAGGTTGTTATTTTTATTATTCACGCTACGATAATGTAACACTTGGCCGAAGTGCTAAAGTATTATTTTTACAATCTATATAAAAGACACGAATATTAAAGTATTAAGAGTTATTGTTGCACATATTCACATGTTGAGATGGCCTTTGCTTAGGGAAGTTTTAACTGTTCACAAGTGTCAACTTACATTATATATCCGCGAGTATGGTACCCTGCATACATATTCATCCGAAAGATTTTTCTCTTTTTTTGTTCTAGCTGTGAAAGGGAGAAATGTAAGTGCCGAAGAAGACCGAATAAAGTTCAATAATGAATGCTTTTAACTAGCGATATATATATAAATATTATGATATAACCGTGCAGGATGTAATATCACGTTCTTGTAGGAAGTATTAGTTGAAATCGGACAGCGGTAAAAAAAAAAAAAAAAAAAACAATAACAGTGAGCTGTAGACGTACCTTAGCCTGTTACTGAGAAGTAATAATGAAATGTGTATATAGAGATAACTTATAGAATGATAACAGTTCACAATAAAAAACAATCGTTAAGAAATGATTAAAGTAAAGAGATTACCTCGAGAATTTTGAATATTTAAGTCCTTCATGCAACGATGAGATCAACTTTCCTCGCAATTCTTCCGAAAAAAACTATGGTAGCGTTAAAACAACACTACAGTCGGAGCGTTGATTCAAATCTGTAAAGAACACTTTTTTTATTTTCAGTTTTTTCTCTAAATATATCACACAGATGCTGAATATAAGAATCGTGACGCTTTCACTTGGTATATGTAAGGTATCGATTAGTTGTGTACGACGTACATACAACAAGTTTACATTTCAATGAGGTAATCACTCTACTTTAAACCCATTTATCGATTTGTTCAGAAAAGATAAGACGTTTCTTTGCTAATAGGTGCATTTTGACCGAAGTCGGAACGTGCCGTAAAGAGTCGCATACGTGTACTTACACACATACAAGGGTTGCACTTGTTATGATATAGTCCACGCTTTAGTTGGTTGTGTCGAAATAGCTCGTGAATATTTTAGGTTGCATATTACGTAAGTCGATTGATAGACATGGTTCGTGAATTCATATACATATTTAAATGTATATGTATATATATACATAATATATATACACATATATGTATATATATATGTATACATATATATATATCCCATATCATATACATGCATAACATACCTCAAAGAAACATGTAAATAAAAGTATCCGAGCATCCGGGCATTTAGTGAAACACGAAATAAATACAATAATAAATATATTGATGATCAAGGAGTGTGTTGAAACCGGTATATATTATATATATATACATATATAATTCAATGTGTTCATTTGTGCTAAAAAGAGAAAAGTGTAAAAAAAAAAATCTCAACACTACTACGAGTAAAACTTTGGAGGTCAGTTTTGCGCAAAATAAGTACCGGTTTCAATCCTTGATATTTGAACACGATAATAATAATAATGATGATGAGTTAGTGACGATAAAACAGTGCTGGAGTAATGAGAAAAAGAGAGATAGAGCGAGAAGAAGAGCGCAAAAATGAAATCTACTTCATATGCATATATCACGTAACAGCAGTATGTTAGATACACCATTGTTCCTGCAAAGCTCTAGTTTCCTTAAGCATGATACGTATAAATCATTTCCAAAACGATCCATAGTTCTATATACGAACGTTCATTCACACGAAAATATATTAAAACTAAGTACGACTATACAAATTATAAATATATATATTATATCATTATATATTGAAAAATGCGCGTTGCATCAATTGTGTGCCTTATTCTGTGGCGGCCGTTTTTGTAACTATTTCAAAGCACTCTCCTTGATAATAGTGTCAGTAGCGATGATCGAAATGCAGTTAAGATTTGTTAAATTTGATGCGAGAAAGAGAGAAAGTGAGAGAGAGAAAGAGAGAGAGAGAGAGAGAGAGAGAGAGAAGCGTGTGCAAGAGGGCTTGTTCGAAATAATGACCCTTTATCAGATGCATGCACGCCCAAGCGTAAAAACTCATTTGATTCCTTTTCACGAAATTACAGACTTCTTATTCGTCAGACATGTCCAAACGAGCAATTATTCATATAAAGACATTGAACGTTGCATCTTACATGAGAGTCAATGTTACTCTGTACAATTATAATTTTAGTTGAAATTAACATGTATGGAATACGTGTATTTTCTTGAATTTTGTTGTGTTTTTTGCTTATAAAAATATGAATAAAATGTTTCAATCAAAAAAAAAAAAAAGTCAATTTATAGTATTTCTAATGACCGAAGATAAATCTACTCTCGGGACAATATTAACGTACATACACGTGAGAAAGATTGCCTGCCTATATACATATACATATTCCTAAAGAAAATGAGAAAAAGAACTTACCAATGATTGTAATTACAACAAAATACACATAATGTTAAAAAGAGCTTAATAGATATATAAGAGCTTAATAGAGAGCTATATAAAGTAAATTATCTCTATACAAACCCAGTGTGTTTTAAACTAATTTATTCCTACATAATAATAAAATTGTATATATATCTCATAATATCTATTATATTATTTTTGTATACAATTAGTATTTTCGAAACGCACATACGCGATGTTTTTCTGTGCAGTTTGAACTTTAAAAAAAGATATATTAATATAAGTTTTTTTATAATTTTCTACTCACCCGCGCGCGTGAAATATACATCAAAATTTAGATCTCGCAGTGCAAACCAATGATTGTGAAGGCCAACAGTGAGTTGCATGTTCCTTTAATATCGATAAAGAAGGAATCTGTAAAGAAACGAATTGGCGGTTGGTAATATCTATTATCATTGCCGTATCGTTTGCAAAATTGCCGCAGCGCTATCTTCGCGACGTACGTGACTGCACAATTGCACAGTTCGAATGCGAGTGCGCGACGCATGCGCCCGCGCGGACTCTGCAGACTGTTAGGTGACGCTGTATCGTGTTAGTAAGAAGTGTGATCCTCCGCGGTCTCGTTGAATTTTATACCGAGTATTGTTCGCCAATCTTCTGGAAATGGATCCAGTGAAAATGGCTATGCAGCCGCATAGCAGAAAGCGCGTTTGCTACTATTATGACAGTAAGTTGCTGTGAAAATTGTAGCACTTCGCGATCCCGCGAAAATCACCGCGTACACACGGGAACTTGACAAATGTGTTTACGGCGTTACGATTTGTGCCGCGTTTATTTCGCTTGTTCTAGCTGGCAATCGGCCGCTCATCAGCCCGTCCGCGTTTTCACGACGACAAGTACGTCAACGCGCGAACGTTATCGCGCGATTCATCGAAATTCCCACGCTTCTCGCGGCCGATAGTACGATTTTCACGACGTGAAATCAAGGGAATTCTACAGTCGCGCTTCGTGCGACTGTAGTCGCAGCGTCGGCCATCTGTATGTATACAGTCCGAGAACGTCCTGCGTTATCATTGCACTCTCGGTTACTGTGACTGAAATTTGTCAAGTCGTGTATGCCCTTTGTCACAACTGATAATTATGCAATTTCCCATTGGACCACTGAACAATTTTCATGTTTTTCACATATAAGGTGTACATTTTTTTTATTTAATGCAAGTTTTTTTTTTTTTTTTTTTTTTTAACAATAATTAGTTTTACTGTTTTTCGAAAAACGCACTTTGTTCATTAGAGAAAAATGTTTTGTTACGAAGCACGCGGAAAAGTTAGGTTAAAATTGAGGCGGCTGTTTAGGTTATGAAGAATACAGCGGCATTTTACGGCATTATTGACTAACAAGAACCGCAACGGATCATTTTCTGTTTGTAATTCACGTTTTCCGAGATTATTTCTCTCTGAAAAAACGGTTTTGAACGAGCATTTTGGAAATTGATACGGTTTTCATGGACGAAATGGCAAGAGACCCTCAGGTGTGCTCTGTGGCACTGTAGGCAGTCAATCGAATCTTGCTCTCTGTAGCCACACACACGCACACATATACATATATGTGTATATATATATGTACTCTTTTACTTTCATTTGTATCTGTATTCTGATTTTTTTGTTCAGGTGACATTGGTAATTATTATTATGGACAAGGACATCCTATGAAGCCTCATCGTATAAGAATGACACACAATCTTCTTCTGAACTATGGTCTCTATAGAAAAATGGAAATATACGTAAGAATTTGTTGCGGAAATTATATTTTCTTTGTGGAAAAACTTTTTGCTGTTAAAAACTCCTTGCTATTAAAATATTGTATTGTTGACCATATGTATGGTAAAATATTGTAATATATTCAAATTTTATTGCATTATTTTAGCGACCTCACAAAGCCACGGCTGATGAAATGACAAAATTTCATAGCGATGAATATATCAGATTTCTGAGATCCATAAGACCCGATAATATGTCGGAGTACAATAAACAAATGCAACGATGTAAGATGGTTATTCTTGTTTTTATTGGAAACTGTGTTACTAAAATTGAAAACACACATCTTATAACGTATTTCTCTTTTGTTACAACAGTTAATGTAGGTGAAGATTGTCCTGTCTTTGATGGTTTGTATGAATTTTGTCAATTATCGGCCGGTGGGTCTGTTGCCGCAGCTGTAAAGCTCAACAAGCAAGCGTCTGAGATTTGCATCAATTGGGGTGGCGGTTTGCATCATGCAAAGAAGAGCGAAGCATCAGGGTTTTGCTATGTAAATGACATCGTACTTGGAATTTTGGAACTGCTAAAATATCATCAAAGAGTTTTGTACATTGATATCGATGTTCACCATGGTGACGGTGTAGAAGAAGCGTTTTACACAACAGATAGAGTCATGACGGTTTCGTTTCATAAGTATGGAGAATACTTTCCTGGAACTGGAGATCTCCGAGATATTGGTGCAGGAAAGGTAAAGCGTTTTGTCAAAACATCTTGCAACTGTGTTCTCGTATGTTATAATATCTTCAATTATCTGAAATTATTAGTACTATTATAAACACATGGTTTTGCTATGTCACTGTTAACAGGGAAAGTATTACGCTGTTAATATACCTCTACGAGATGGAATGGACGATGAAAGCTACGAATCCATATTTGTCCCTATTATTTCAAAAGTTATGGAAACTTTTCAACCTTCTGCTGTCGTTTTGCAATGTGGTGCTGATTCGTTGACAGGTAAGTTTACTTGAAACGGAAGTAGCAATTGCAAATAAAAAAAAAAAAAAAAATATTGAGAAATCTTAATGTATACCTATCAATTACTGCAGGTGATCGATTGGGATGTTTTAATCTGACTGTGCGAGGTCACGGAAAATGTGTAGAATTTGTGAAGAAGTACAATTTACCCTTCTTAATGGTGGGAGGTGGCGGTTACACAATCAGAAATGTATCCAGATGCTGGACTTACGAAACATCAGTAGCTCTGGGATGCGAAATTGCGAATGAACTTCCATATAACGATTACTTCGAGTATTTCGGACCCGATTTCAAGCTGCACATTAGTCCTTCAAATATGGCTAATCAAAATACACCTGAATATCTCGAGAAAATAAAGTACGCGATCTTGTAATTTTTTTATGTTGTATTCTCTGTGTTGTATTCTGTATGATGAGCAAATTAAAATTTCATTACTGCCGTTTGCATTTCAGAACGAGACTATTCGAAAATCTGAGAATGTTACCTCACGCGCCCGGTGTACAAGTTCAGGCAATTCCAGAAGACGGTGCTGTGATTGAAGATTCGGAAGCTGAGGAAAAGGCAAATCCAGATGAGAGACTGTCTCAGCGTGATTTGGATAAGAGAATACAGCATGAAAACGAATACAGTGATAGTGAAGATGAAGGAGAAGGTGGACGAAGAGACAATAGGTCGTATAAGGTATAATATATATAATTAATTCTAATATATATACATATGTACATATAAATACTTCCAGAAAAGTAGAAATTTATGATTATATATATAATATATATACACATTCTTAACATTCTTAACACACACATTAGCAAACTTCTTATATTTTCTTTTATTTTATGAAGGGATCTAGAAAACGACCGCGTCTAGAAAAAGGTCAGGAAGTTATGGATACCGATGTAAAGAAAGAAGACGAAATAAAGTCTGATCCTAAAGGTATTAATTGTGATTCATACCAACATCTTTTCTGACAAATTAACATATCAAAGTTAAATAATTTATCATAAATTTGTTTAGATAACGAGAAGGACGAGAAAGCAAATCCCACAAATGAAGAGACGAAGAAAGATGGCGCGGCGAATCCCTGATAGACGGTTGCTTCGTACCTCGTGAAAAAATGGAGAAAAAAAACTTATGTATAAATTAAGTCCTAGATAAGCTTAAGTAAAATTTAAATTGTAGCAACAACTGACGCAGCAAATTACCTGCTGCTTCTACCTCGCTGTTTGATTCGAAAATAATTTAAAATTACGTTTTTATCATTGAAAAATTGGAAGTATCTTTAAACGTTAAAAAATACCGAAATTATTTACGACAGCGCTATTTACACGTCGAAATTTACACGTATGAGCGTGTATATAATTTATAATGTCCTGCAATTTTTTTATGGTAAAATATAAGAAATAATTATATCTGAATTTTCTCAATATTATTTTTTTTAAAGATATTAAATGACAGCACCGAGTTGTGTAAAAAAATTCTTTTATAAAACGGGTCATTATCATCGCATTACAAGATTGTGATCTGATTGCTATATATTCTCTTCATATATTCACATATTCGTTCACAACATGCCACCGTAATTAGTTAGACAATTTTAGTACAGAATCTGCACACAAAAATCATGCAGAAAATTTTAAAATGTATAAACAATGACATCGATCTCATAGATTTGAAGATTGAGTCTTAAGATAATTGATAACCGATTCAGGACACTGATAAAAGTTTTGTTCCAATGTATGTCGTTGTGTACAATTTTGCTCGCGCGGTCAACGTGATTTCTTACGTCTTCTTACTTATCGCTCGTAATTAATTGAGCCGCTCAATAGGGAAGCCAACACATACAGTTTTACACTATAACAAAAAAGTAGTTAATTACGAGATGGATTATATATATATATGGATTATATATATATATATATATATCTCATGAGTCGATAAATTCGTTCACTTCCTATTCTTGTACATAACACTTAGAAAATAATCTCAAGAGACTTGACACAATAATGATGTAATACTAAAATATTTTGTTTGTGAATTGTAAAGCATTGTATCTGACTTTTCTATATATTTCATCTATTATTTCTCAAAATCTTCTCTAGTTTATGTGGTGAAGCGCAATGAATATATACTTAGCTCGTAATATATATTTCAGAAAATAAAAAAAATAAAAAGAGCAACTACAAAGTATACATTTGACGATTTAAAGATTTACATCTGTGACTTGTGTATTATAAATACGTATACCGAATAAACTAGAGAGATATTTATAAGAGAGAGAAAAAATGTAATATTTTAAAGAAGTGATCTTAAAAGACCTATATATATGTGCGTGTGTGTGTGTGTAAATAATATACATATATATATATATATATGTAGAAATGTGTATATGTAGAGTATCTCTAAATTATTGAAAACAAATTCGTTAGCATATTCTGAGACGAAAATTCTAATGCGAAACTAACAAAGCTATTGTGTGGCGAGTCTTATCATTTTTTTTTGTGTGTGTCAGAATGTTTAAAAGAATCTGCCTTTATAAAGTCTGTTTTTGATATAGTTTTGTGACATCCTTTGTATATACATATCTATGTATACAGGATGCGGTAGGAATGATAGTACCAATCGGAAAAGAAATAATTCTTTGTGCAAATTTAAATCAAAAATGTAGAATAAAATTTTGTTTTTAGAATAACGTAAGACTTTGTTTTTGAGGAAATTGAGTTGTGTAACAATTGAGAAAGTACATTTAACTCTCTAATAATCTTATGTCTATCATGAAATGGTATCTCGATAGAGCAGTTATTACTAAATTTAAAAAAGTAACATTATGTATATACAATATAAAAGTTTTTAAAACTTTAGTAAATAGAGTTCTACTTTTTCTAAATCAATATAATAGTAATTGTTACCGAAATACATACTATTGTATGACACAAGATTATTAGAGCAATTAAGTGTAAAAACTTATAGCTCAGAACACTTCATGAATGGTTTTTTAGATATTACAATATCAGAGAATATTCAGTGACTGTTCTTTGAACATCTATTCTGTTGGAGAAAACTAAATATAATATTAAGTTTTTAACTTTCAAAATCTATTTTCTGAAAAATAGATTTTGAATCTTTGCACGAAAAGAAAAAATTTTTCGAATTTTATACATCTTTAACTTAATACAAAGAATCATCTCTTTTTTGGTGTACTTCATTCCTATAAGACTCTATAAATGTATGTATACATATACATATACATACATACACACACACACATATTTATATTATATATATATATATTATATACATATATCTCAAAAATATAATTCTTGTCTAATTACTTTTTTAGCAGTCTAGCGAAAGAGAAACGAAACAGATTAAGGAACAGCTACAGTAAAACCGAAAAATAGTTGAAGAATTATGTATATCGAGTCTCAATGTAGTTAGAATGCTGTAGAATGTGAAAAAGAAGCATATAATATATTAAGTGACTAATTTAAAAAATTGTAACAATCGTATAAAACGTGGCATTTGGATCGATCGTAATAACAAAACCTTAAGATCGTGCTTCTTTTTCAAGTAATGATGCGTACATGCGAACTTGCAAGTTCGCGCAACAATATTTTGTTGTGTGCTGACTGTTCGCAAGATGCATTCTTACGTTCAAATAAATTTGTCGTGCAATATGTAATTGCGCAATAATTCCGCATTGACAATTGTGTATGTGTATAATTTGTTTCCTCTTTCGCAATGTCAGTGTACTCGATCGGACCAGCAATGATGAGTGTCAATTTTGAGTGTAACAATATATATGTAGTGATTTATAATTAATACATACATACTTATTATCACAAGAAAATTAAGTTCAAAATTAATATATCAATTTGATTGATTATTATATATGTGCATATTTCGTGTAAGTTGAATTAAGTATTATATATGTCCACGTGTAAGAATTATATAATATAGACGTTTTTAAATATTTATAATAAAAGAAAACAAATCTTACAATGTGGTTTTTGGTTTTCGGTACAATCTTGGAACTTTTTGAGACAGTCCTTTGAAGAATTCAAAACTTGTAAAATTTTAAATACATCTACATATAGAAATGATTGTAAAAATTTGTATTTAACAATCATACATATTTTCTTTCAATTTTTGCCGCTCTTTCATAATCAGAGAGTATAAACATAGATGTACGGTAGATAAAAATATATTTTATGTAAGCGACAAGCTGTCTGGAATTTATAGGGCTCAGTATTGAAAGTTAATTGATCAAAAAAAGAATCTGTAGATTCTCCCTCTTCTGACAAGAGTCGATTTCCGTCGACCTTTACAAACCAATCACAGGCCAGCATTCTCTCAAATGTAAGCTACATTTAAAAGAATGTCGAAAGAAATCTATTATATATACAATAAAATTATTTACACATAATCATTACTTAATAATTTACTCTTTATGTGTGTTTTCGTCAAGTTCTTGCGGTGCATATGCATGCACACGTGAATTTAGTATATAACAGTGGGATCTTAAACTGCGCATACGCAAGATTTACGGTACATATTTTTTCAGACAAGTTAAAGGAACAAGTTAGCAGTGTAATATATAGATGTCTATGCTTACATGCGTGTTTTCAAGCTCCCTGATCACCGGGCGACGCCGATTGACGTCACCGATAGGCGACCAAGATGGTTGTCATCGTCGAGAAGGGTTATTCGAATAACCGATAATAACATTTTGCTCCTAAGCAGAGGAGCCCGGTGCGCGCGGTCAACGTTATGGCCGTCAAGTGAGGGCCCGATCCGCGATTCCTGCGGTGAAAATCCGTCCGTTAGTCCCTCGAGCGGTTGCACGAGGAATGGCGGACGGCGAGGATGAGGAGCCGAATGCAGTATATGTCTTGAATATCCTACAAGATCTGATTGACGTTTCCGCCGAACGACTCGAGGGCCTGCGGACTCAATGCTCCACTAGCGCGGAACTCACTCAACAGGAGATAAGGACGCTCGAGGTAACAGAATCATGCTCATAATCGCATAGCAGCGATCCGTCAATATCACGGACGATTGTTACTGATCGTTGTCGCACCCATCGAACGCTTTTCATGCTATTTCATACGTTGCGACTGTCAACAAATCTCTATACTTGTGTATGTTTTTCTTATATATTTTTTTTTATTTAAAACTTTACACATTAATTTTTTGTCATTTAAAAAAGTAATTAAGTATAATTACAGGAACCCCGATAAACTTCAATATAAACTGTGATTGTGACATGTATCTCATAGAGATTATTGTAACAATTATTTATATTAATTATTAATTATGTTTTTAACTAAGCATCTGAGATTTTGTATGCATAAGTGTACACACACATATATATANATATATATATATATATATATATATATATATATATATATATTTATGATGCATATATCTATAATCTATGCATGCATATATGATATATGTATACATATTTGTGTAATGGTTTTTTATGTGTATAAAGAAACAGAAAACTATATATTTTTTAGATGGGATGGTTTTTTATGTACATTTTTAAATTATATATTTTTATATAAAAAGTAAAACAAACTTATATTAGAATATTTGGATTTAGTTATTTTGATACATACTTCAAAGATGATATGCAATAAATTTGACAGTGAATAGAATATGTTAAACTAAATTCACTAAACTTAATAACTATATTAAAATACTCAATCTATTGAAAATTGATGTATGAAAAACAACTTAAGTAAGACAAAAATATATTTCTTTGGACATCAGTTGTGGAACATTGAGTGATGTTTATTTATTTGTTCACAGGGGAAACTAATAAAATTATACACTAAACAACTTGTGACAAAAGCTAAATTGGCAGATTCATTACAAGCAGAAATGAAACACTGTCCATCATTGCGACAGTGGTTAAGTGTAGTTGGTCTCACTCAAGAATCAATTCAGGTAATGATATATAAAATAAGTTCTTTTTAGTTTTTTTTTTATAGCTTGATATATAATACTTTACATTAAAATTTTTAGATGGTTTGTTCCGAGGTAAATTCCCTTGAGGACCTAAAAGAAAAGTCTGAGTATGAGTTAGGTTGTATGTTAGGCAAAAATAACGTACGTTATGACGAGGAACTTCGTAAGCTCTGCAAAGCATTGTATAACTTACGGCGATATATGGGTAACTAAATTTTGATATAAAACAAGAATATATGTACATAAAACATTATAATTTAAAGCATGTATAAAGATAAATCAATATACATTTTATACACATGTTATTACATTTCTGTTAGATGTTGTTATGAGAGAAGATGTGGAAACTTGTAATATGGACTTGTATTGGGACTCCTGGGACAAGCATCATTTGCGCACAGGAGCTTCTCCTAGGCCTGTTCGATCTCGTGCTACACGGTGTTCGGTTCCATCAAAAGATAGCATTCCATATCAAAATAACAACAATCTGAACAGTGATATATTAGCACAACCTTCGTCTGTAATGTCACCTAGTCCTCCTCGCACCCCTCCATTACTGAAGCAAAGATGTGGTGAGTATAGAAAGTAAATTTTTATTTTTTATCTTTTTCTCCTCTTTCTCTCAAATAAAAAAGATTAAAAGAGTCTGTTTTTAATGGAACAAAATTTAATTAGAATATTTTAATTTTAATATACATAAAATTGTTTTTTAATTATAGAAATTAAACTTCCAATAACTCCTCCTACATGCAAAAAACATCAGATTGGTGTGCAGAGTAGCACATCACAACCTGAAGTATTTCCATTAACTAAGTCAAAGTCTCACGAATCACAATTAGCAAATCGTCTTGAACATACACATAACGATAATACATCATTACTTAGGTAATAATTAAGATATTTTATCATATAATCTCTTAATTTGTTGTTGTATGTGCCTTTATTTTGTGTGATAATTTTAAAGATTTACTTTTAATAAAATATTTTTCACAATTTTATACAGACAGCATAAACTATATAGGTTAATATATTTTAGAAATATATTCGTTTTCTATTAGTAACAAATAATTTTTCTTACAGGAGAAGAAATCGTTTACCAACAGAACCAAGTTCATCCTGTAGTACAACAGATTCTAGGAAAGCAGAAAATCTCTTGCCAAACAGTAGTAGTTCTAAACCGTCACCTTATTATAGTACAGAAACTGATGAAACCTGTTTTAAGGGAACAGGTGTGTGAAAAAATGAAAGCTTACATATTATATATGATAAATATGATACATACGATAATATTTAACCAGTAATGTGCGACAAAGATTTTTGCGCATGTTTTGATTGTAAATATTTTTTTTGACTTATCTTTCAGCAAGTCTTCAAGTGCCAAAATCTCCACGTACTCGAACTGTGACTCGCGCCATGGGTCATATAATTGCTCATCGCTTTATCAAAACTTTTTTCGTGATAACAACATGCGATTACTGTGACAAGCAGATGTTTGGCCCTAATTTAAAATGTGTAGAATGTAAATATAAATGTCACCAAGCTTGCGAATCCAAAGTACCTCCCTCGTGTGGCCTACCTCAAGAACTCTTCAATGAGTTTAAACGAGCTGTGCAAAATGACGGTGCGTACAACTTTTGCGTCTGTGTAACTGATTAAATGGTGTTTGAACTTTTCTCTTTCACATATACTTTCTTTTCATTCACACAATAACGAATTTTTTTCAAGAACAATAATCTTCGTTTGACAATTTGTATTGTAGACGGTGAATTAATATTTTAGGTATGATTGATCCTGCATCGGTATTAAATCAACATAGTGTAACATCTCCAAACACTCATTCTCAACATGTCTCAAGTTTACCTTTGGCTCGGAAGGATCGAAGACAGTCGCATACACACTCTTCTATTAATACACCTTTTCAGGTATGTATTGCAATTTAGAAGCAAGTAAATACGCAACAACAAGCTCTGTTTATAGCAATATATACTTATAGCAAAATTATTTGTCTAACAGGGTGCAGATTCTAGTTCAAATACCTCAAGCTGTAACAGCTCAACGCCTTCTAGTCCAGCATTGCTACCTGCCAATACTAGCCAGACTCCACAGGCATCTGTCAAACAGCAGCAGTTTCATTTTCCAGGTAAAACAACATTGTTTATTATTTATAATTATATATATATATATATATACGTATACATATATATATGTATAAGTATAATAAATATCTTTTTTAGTTTTTTTGTTTAAATTTTCGTAAATGTATTTTATTTGTTTTAACAAATATAACGAACTTTTGTTGGATATATAATTGTAAATATTTTACTTACTAGAAATATGTTTTTGCCTCTTTATTTTCTGTTTAAAGTTTCAAGATTTTCGAGCTATTGTTTTATTTTTTTTAAAATAACAAGTATTATTATTACCTGGTAGCTCAACTGTATTTAAATGTTTGCAAAGGTTTTGCGCTAAAATCTTGTGCAACTTTGCAATATGCCAAGAAAAAAAGACGTAAGATCACGATTAAACACGGCTCAATAGAACCTCTTTCCAAATATTTTGTTCACCAAACGCGAAGTTCAGGTTACGAATGTTGAACGATATAATTATTGATCTGTAACACTTGCGCACATGCCCCGCATACTTCGGATATGCTATCTCAGAATATAGAATTTATTCTGAAAAGATCATCTCAAAAAGATAATCAATGACAGTAAAACAAAAACAAATTTATTTAGATCTCGATAGCGAGAAACTATGCGCCATTCTCTTTGGAATGCAATCGCGCTTCCCCGATATGTAATGATATGTAATTCGATTTTTCTCTTTTCTATCATCTATGCAATATACATTTGTATACGTAATGAAGATCGCGGCGTTTTAGATCGTATAATAACACATTTTAATTCAGATAAGTTATTTATCCTATTTTCAGACATATTAAATGATAAAAGAAGAGTAACATTTGAGTTACCTAGATCCGACGACGCAGTTATGTTGAGTGATAATGAGAAAACAATAACCACCTTGGGATCTGGTAGTATTAACACAAACTCAGAAAGGATACCAGTGAGAAATGATTCTCAAGATTCTCAAGTTTCTGATAGTGACATATCCGTGACAAATCGAAATCAAGCCAGTGTATGTATCATATTTCATTAAAATTGCGTCAAGAAAAAACAAAATAAAAACTATTAAATAAATAAATTTTATTTTGTATATATCTTGTAATGTTGTGCGCAGATGCAAGAATGGGACATTCCATATGACGAATTAAAGATCGGCGAACCGATCGGAACGGGAAGATTTGGTACAGTATACAGAGGCAATTGGCATGGAGATGTTGCGATTAAAGTCTTGAATATGGACTGTTCGGACAATGATAAGATATTAAAAGCATTCAGACTAGAGGTAAGGAAAAAATATATTACCGTAATTTATTTTAAAAAATATTTTATCAATTACGTTAAACCTTGAAGTTGTCAATAATGAGAGATATTTTGTAGGTAGCGACATTTCGAAAAACTCGACACGAAAATTTAGTTTTATTTATGGGTGCTTGTATGAAGCCTCCCCGATTGGCCATAGTGACTAGTCTGAGTAAAGGAATGACACTTTATACACATATTCATTTACGAAAGGACAGATTTGGAATAAACAAAATAACTAATATAGCTCAACAAATTTGTCAGGTACATATACGATGTGTATACATTTCTACAAATACTTATATCTCACTTTGTTTTACGTATGCGTGCGCGCATGTGTAAAATTGCGATGACAAATACATAGGATTTATATTGAAAGAAGTATAAAAACATAAATACCGCGATAAAGTTTACAATGCTGTAAAGTTCATTAAAATTATTGAAATTTTCATTAAAAATTAATCTAACAATTTTTATTATTGCCACACATTTATGAATAACAAATTTCGTTTACACAGGGCATGGGATATCTTCATGCTCGCGGAATAATTCACAAAGATCTAAAGAGCAAAAACATATTTCTAGAACACGGAAAAATTATAATAACAGATTTCGGTTTGCTCAATGTTACTAAGTTGTGCTATGGAAATGGGTAGGTTTATATATTCCTTAGAATAAAATTTTATTCCTACGGAAAAACAATATGTAGGTACAGTTTATATTTTTATAAATATTTGAGCTCTTACAACAAATAATATGTGTACATACATATGTGTACAGGAAAGCAAATAGGCTGAACATACCACCTGGTTGGTTATGTTACTTGGCACCTGAAATTGTTCAACGACTGACACCGCAACAAAATCGGGATCAGAAAGAGTTACCTTTTACAGCTGCTTCTGATGTTTATGCATTTGGGTTAGTAGTGTCACGATATGTACACAATCCTCTTTAACGAATATGTTCTAAACATACATTGTAACTGGAATAACAATAATAATTGTGTGATGAAAAAAATTTAAAACAATATTTTCTGATAGAACTGTCTGGTACGAGCTATTATGTGGCGAATGGCCTTTTAAAGGTGAACCTCCTGAAGCTATTATTTGGCGAGTAGGGACTGGTATGATGCACACATTAGCAAACTTGGAAGCTTCTGAAGAAGTAAAGGTACATATATGTAAAACATGTGCATATCTGCTGTATATTATTAAATATTTGTTGACAGATTTCACACAATTTATAATAATTCGTTAAATGTTATGATCTTTTTGTAGGATATTTTGATGCTTTGTTGGTCGTATCAAGTAGAGAAACGCCCCGATTTTCCGAAGCTCTTAACTATCCTCGAAAAGCTGCCTCGAAAACGGCTAGAACGCAGTCCATCTCATCCAATACAACTCTCTCGTTCCGCAGAATCCGTACTTTGACTAAAATTCTGCAGGACAAAAGCTATGGTGACACATATTTAAGTTTATTTAAATGCGCTGTTCTCTCTTTCACACATACATACACACAGACACAACAGACACCCACCACGCATATTGGTAAAACTATAGAAAAGGGGATTCATTTTCAATATAATGATAGTTTACATTGTGTGATAAAGATCAATCCCCTAAGTAACTTGCAAAAGATTTTAGCTTATTATTTATGACAACATTGTTAAACAAATAAATTCAACTATACAAATAAGTTGAATGCGATAACTTGAATTCCTTTGTGAATTCTACATTATTTTATTCGTTTAACTTTTTTTAAAATTATTTTACTAAGGCCTTGTATCTACGACACTAAAAATCGATAGATTCGAGACTTTGAACAAATTGCATGACTAATCGCATTTGAACAATTCTTGGCCAATTGACTAATACGATTATAGTCTATTCTCTTTGTGTTCGAGATTTTCAATTTTTAGCATCAAGAACACGAGACTTAAAGTCTTTCTTTAATTTTTTCATTTATATGACCAAAAAAACTATTTCTGTCTTTCGTAACAAAAAGCTATGTATTCTGTCCTTCGTAACAATTTATTTTTTGTGGAATTCATTTTTATATGTATGTTTGTATTCAGAGTTTATATACAATTCTATGTAGACAAGTTTGCAATTTTCTATGCAAAGCACTACATTCTCCCACATTACGCTCATTTCTTGTAAAACAAAATAAGATCTAAGACAGTTTCGTAATCCAATCTATTTACAATTATCTTGAGTTTATCTGAGGATGTAGTGACTATAAAAGCATTTAAAGATGAACTTGATTGAATTTTCAATACAAGATTCGACATTCAATCTCAGCTCTAGAATTGTAGTCTTATATGATTTTTCAATTTTTTTACACATAGGGCAAAATAATGAAGAATCTTACTTTACATAGAAAATTGCAAATCAGTAAACAAATTGGATCTCTCTCAATGCACATGGAAAGTGGAAATACATAACACACGAGATTAAATAATTAATTGTAATTTTCTAATAAATATACAAACAAAAACACAGCTACAAACTTTTGGAAGTTACTGATCATGTACTGTTAATGACACGTATTTCATCAACTTGATCAGAAAATTGGATCCTTTTTTCTATAATTTCACTTTCATATTATTTATTGAAATGTGCAATGAAAGATTATTCATGTTAATACAATAAACTTGTTAGAAAATTGTTACAAATCAAATATATATCTTTTATTGTAAACAATATACAATGTAAGTATATAATGTATGACTGTATGTATAATGGATAATGTATATATAAATGTATGTAAATATACGTCAAATACATGTACATTCTCTACAGATCTAAGTAAATGTTTAATTTCTTTAGGCAATTATTTAGTTATTTATTTTGAGCATTTAAATGCTCAATATTCTCAATATTAAGTAAATATACTTGTGCACAAAAAATAAGCAATAAATACTTCAGTTTAAATAAATCCTAAATGTGCGTGTATATATACACATATGTACATATGATTTATTGTTGATTATAATAAATTCCCCACAAGTTTTAGATATTATTTTTTGTAATCTTTATTATATTAATCATATATATTACATATAAAATTTTTTCAAGAAACATTTGTGTAGTCACGAATGCATATTCATATTAATCACTGTGTAACATTTGATTTGTACTTTACCTTCTGAAAAAAAGATTTTTATCCGGTACACATTTTTTGTAACTCTTGAAGTTGTTTTTGGAGATGCATAGCGAGCAGTTTATTTAATATTAATCTTTTCTCGAATATTTCTACCAAAGGCTTTGTAATAATATCTGTTATATGTACCAATGCACGAGTTCTTACTGTAAACACACAAAACAGGTTTATTTGTCATCAAATACTAATCAAAACTTGTGTGTGCTATTGAAATAAACTCTACTATTTTTTTTTTTATCTTATATGTATAAATGTGCAATAAATAGTAGCGCATACCAGCATTATTATGAATACTCGCAAGAACATCGGGATGATCTTTACAAGACTCGGACATATCTTCTTCCTCTTGCACCAAAATTTTTGATAAGTCTGTCATTGTCTGTAAAAATATTTAATTTTAAATAAAAAAACTGATGTTTTTAAATAATTATATATAAATAATAAAAAACTTACTCTTAAACATCTATCTGAAATGTCTGGAGTATGTACTATCTCTAACGGTATTTCTGTAGCTTCACCATTATTTGATTGAAAACAATTTAAAAAGATCTCGTGTTCCTATATAAACATTGCAGATCGATTATTGTTAATGTTAGAAATACACTGAAAAATCGTTTCATTTTAAACATTTGTGTTATCAAGATAATTTACTAAATGATAAAATTAAGTAAATTTAAATCTTATTTAACAGTATAAATCACTCAACATTTGTATATTAACTTTGTTAATATAAATACTATGATTAAAAAGATGTACGTACTTTTGATTCTTTTCCTTCAGAAAATACCGAAAATATTAAACCTACAAAACTACGATCCATTGTTTGATAAGTAGCTTGAGTTCTGACATCTACAAAATAGAAATAAAAGATTTAAAATGGAAAAACCAATTGTTTTGAATCATATATATCACTTAAATAGTTTTTTACTAAAAGAAATCTATGGTTCATACCAACATGAGATGGACAAACTGTAATATGTGGATGTGAATGATACCAGCCAAGAACTCGCATGGGCTGATTCAATTCTACTGTTAGTCGCTCAGCTTCGGCAGCAGCTTTCAGTAATTGCTCTGATGAAATTTCTACTCTATCTTTCTTTTTATCTAAACGCCGTAAAATAATAACTGCTGATATTTTTGCTACTCCATATTCAAACTAAAAAAAAAAAATAAATAGCAATTGTGCAATTGTTGTTCATTTTGTAATGATAGAAGAAACAACTTCACAACATATAAAATATTTTATAAAATATATGAAAGTTTACATACATTACCAATGAGTAAACCCATTACTTCAAAGTTTTCTGTTGACAAAGCATGTTGTAAACACACCATATAAACATCTGTTTGCAGTTCTACTTTTTGCAATTGGGAATTATCCATACTTTATAAGAATTTGTTGAAAGTAATTCTATACACGGAAATACAGGAAATATATAATTACAAATCTGCAAGTACTTATAAAATTTTACAATTGCACTATGTGAGATATCACAAACAATATTACATTGTTGTAATTAATGAAAGATTTTGGGAATATAATTTAAACGATACATATGAAATAAATCGATACATTATACAATGTAGTATTTTGAATTCTGTCATTACACAAAACCAAATTTTCTAACCTTAAAATATACATTACTTGAAACGCTTTATATTACTCTTTTCTCAATGCCGAGCAAACGATTTCTATTTTTCAAACATTTGTCTACACTCAAAAAGAAATATTGGAAGAGAATAGTCTTTCGAAATCAAAAACCGAAAAATTATAAATTATACATGTACCTTTGTTTATAGTACTTTCTTTTTTTACTTGTTTTTCTTCCTTTCTCTTTCTCTCTTTAAATGACAAATTGATGATTTTTCGATATTTGAGATAATACTATCTCAGCGTTGAAGTGTAAAGATCGGTAAATGTGAAAGGAAAAACTAGAACAGAGTTTAACGTAGCGTAACATTTGCGCGTTCTCGAGAAATACTTACATATGTACGGCAAAATACTTATGTGAGAAATCTCATGTGAAAACTTATGTGAGAAAATAAGTGAAACAAATAAACTATCTATCCTTTTCTTTAAAACACTGACTTTTGCATTTCCTTGAAGAAGAAAATAAAAAACTCTGATTGGTTATTTTCTTATAAGTTACAAAATCATTCGGCAGAACTAAGCGCTTAGAAAGCGCTGTGCTTGTCATTGGCATATATAATCATATTTCAAAAATGGATTTATAAGAAGAGGCCAATCACAAACAAAAAGCGCAAGACTCAAATTGTCTAGAATTGCTTCCGAAATTCCATTATAAATTCGAACATAACGCAGAGAATGGCATCGAATGAGGTATAGTAGCGGAAGCAGTTCTAGGCTGCGTTCCGAGTTACGCATTTATAAATGCGCGCATTTGCGTAACTCGGAACGCAGCCAAAGTTACGTGTAGAAGGCCTGTTCTACGATACAATCGTAAGCTGTAAGTCGTAAGAAATTGACCAATCACAGATAAATCACAGAAGAATAATCGATTGTGATTACTTACGACAGTATTGTAGAACAGGCCGAACAGGACTAAAAATCTTTCAAGTGCAAACTGTGATCGTTTATTATATACATTATTGATGATAATAATTTGATGGTAATAAGGTGGTATTGTTGTAAATGTTAACTTGATTTTACATGGAAAAACTCGAGTATTAAAAATTTCGAACAGTTTTAGAGGATTCTGTTAGTACTGCAATGTCTGATGTTTTGTGCCAGATACAAAAAGGTTCTCTCGCTCTGCAGCTCGTCCAAAAACTAATAAATATATCGGACAGCCGGTATATCGGTGGACATACAAGTCTGTAATGTCCGTATACCGACGCACGTGTACATAACACGGAATAGAACCATGTCAATTGCGCGCACATAGTACGGAATAGAACAATCCACGGTTGGACATTGTGTACATATCGACAAGTCGCTTGTGGACGTCGCTACGTAGGTGCCAATGTGCACCATCCGTGGACATGCGCTAGCTACGGAACGGTAAAGCGAACGTATATGGGTCTGGCCGCTCTCATTCTTTTCTCTGGTCACATCCATTCTTATCGCGATATACACAATAGTCCAATCATATTAAAACTCCAACTAAGCAACCAATCAACTTTCAAGTAAATGTGGTGTGATACGCGTGGTGTGATGCTTAAAAAAACATATACATATACAATTAGATTCAAATTAGATTTTTGTCATTACATAGCATTACGTAGCAGTGCTATCGCGATGTCAATAAATGTCTGTCGAGGTTATGTGTTGTTGCGTGATAGTTAAAGTGCAATTTATAAAATAGATCTACGAACACAATGATTTGGTAACTTGCGGATAAATTTGTTTTGGAGAGCGTGACGTAAATAACTGCGGGAATGTTAAAGATTTAGTCTTGAACGTGTCATGGTAGACGATACAGCAACTATTCATAAAGATACTAAGTATCGCATAGTAAATGCGGATCAAAAGGACTCGAGAGAAACGCGCGTGAAAACAACAATGCCTTCGGAAATAAGATCAGTCAGTGTGAGCGATTGGCTCACCGTCGGTATTCTTTGTTTCGTTAATCTTATCAATTATATGGATCGCTTCACTGTCGCTGGTAAGTTTTTTCGCTAATGAATAGTTTGGTGGTTTTGCAGTTTTATCAATTAAACTACAATAATTTTACACACTCGAAGAATGATACATTTTCAGATACAATTTTAATGTGTATATTGACGAATAAAATCAATGTTTTTTTTCAGGAGTACTAGATGATATCAAACACGACTTTGACATCGGCAATGATATGTCCGGACTGCTGCAAACTGCATTTATCTTAAGCTACATGATATTTGCGCCATTATTCGGATACATGGGTGATTGTTATAATAGAAAATTGATCATGACCAGTGGTGTGTTTTTGTGGTGCCTAACAACATTTATTGGTTCTTTTATGAAAGTAAGTACAAGTTTGTTTTATAAATGCATTCTTGTGTATTATATGTAAATATAAAATAATACAAAATGACAAAAAGAAATGTTGAATGATATTTGTAATTTATTTCAGACATTTGGCTGGTTCCTATTTTTTAGAGCACTTGTTGGTATAGGAGAAGCTAGTTATTCCACAATTGCACCAACAATAATTAGTGATTTATTTGTGCAAGATTTACGTTCTAAAATGCTTGCTCTATTTTACTTTGCTATTCCAGTTGGAAGGTACATAATTTATTATCATATAATCAAGTTGTACAGATACACATACATACACACACACACAAACTTAAGTGTGTAATTTTAATAACAAGTTTATTTTTATTTTAGTGGTTTGGGTTATATTATTGGAGGTGAAACAGCTCGTATTACTGGCCACTGGCAATGGGGATTACGTATTACTCCTATATTAGGTATTGTAGCCATTTTTCTCTTACTTTGTGTAGTAAGAGAACCCATTAGAGGTGAACGAGAAGGTGGCGTTCATTTAACAAGAACCAGTTGGTCTCATGACATTAAGGAATTATTAAAAAAGTAATTGTTATAATTAATCACTATTTTAGAATTCTCGTAATAAATATTGTCATATTAACTATTCATATAAAATAGAAACGTAAAATTTAATGATGTATGTAAACAGCATTATTTGAAAACATTTTATATATTATTTTGCAATAATTTTTTAGTCCAAGCTTTATGCTATCTACTGCAGGATTTACTTGCGTTGCATTTGTTACGGGTGCGCTGGCATGGTGGGCACCATTGTACCTGCAATCAGGCTTTAAGTTGCTTCCTAATGGGAACAACGTTAATCAAGATGAGTATGTTTCTTGAAATTTGTTGTTTTATGTATTGATAGAGAATTTAACTGAGAAGTATATTATATTGTGATTTTATCTTCATATTTTAGTGTTGCATACAAGTTTGGAATAATTAGTATGGCAGCTGGGTTGATAGGTGTACCCTTGGGCTCAACTATAGCACAAAAACTTCGTGTTCATTGGCAACAAGCAGATCCTGTGATATGCGCCACAGGACTTCTCATAAGTGCTCCTCTATTATTCTTCTCTATAATTACTGCCAATATAAACTCCACACTTTGCTATGTATTAATATTCTTCGGACAAGTATCGTTAAATCTGAATTGGTCTATCGTGGCAGATATGTTATTGGTAAATAAGTAAAATTAGAAGTTGTATTTTTTATAACTATATATATATATAAATAGACTATAAATTTAATTTTCTTTTATTTTATTGTTGCAGTATGTAATAATCCCTACTAGAAGATCAACAGCACAAGCATTTCAAATACTTTTTGCGCATGCTTTTGGGGATGCAGGCAGTCCCTATCTTATCGGACTTGTACGTACACAAATAATTTTTATCGATAACAAATAATTTTATCGATACCATGAACGCAAAATACTCGATTATCGTCAGTTTTATATATTTAATAATTTCTCTGAAATTTAATGTTTATAACAATTTAAATACTTTATATAATTAATTTTTTTGTTCTAGATATCGGAGGGATTGAAGTCCGTATTTCTGCCCGACTTAGCTATAGGAGGACAATCTAGTGTTCAAGTTCATCAAGATTCGGATGTCACTCAAGATATCATCAAGTTTCGTAGTCTGCAGTATTCAATATTTCTTACAATGTTTGTAGAAGTCTTCGGTGCTCTATTTTTCTTCCTGACGGCATTACATATACAGAAGGACAAGGCGTTAGTTGACCTTGCTATTGCAAGTGAGTAAAAAATTAAAATGATCATATTACTCTAGATAGAACGAATGTAATATTTGAGTAATTTTGGCACTTTGTTGTGCATGTTTACATTATTACTAATACAGCTTTCATGTGATTGACATATACATATATATATATACACTAATATGGATTTTACAATGTTGCTAAAGTCACTTTTGTGCACAGAATGACACAAAACTAATATCATAAAACTGTGATTCTCACAAAGCACGTTTTCTTACGTGTTATTAATAAGTAAAATAGTTTTAGGCATTACAATTATATTTTACTCAGTGAACACAGTTTATATTGAATTATTAAATATGAAACTTGATACACACACACATATATATATGTGTGTCAAGTTTCAAATTTAATGACCCAATATAATGTTAGGATATTGGAAAAATCCAAAAAACAATGTAATATATAATAATCAACACTTCTATGCTTACACATTAACATATGTATATTACCCCTGTAGCTTAGGTCTGTCAAGATTATTTATTTACTTTAGTAGTTAATTATATTTTACATACTCTACTTTTGATAAATTAAAATGCAATTTAAAATCCTTTATTTTTATTTTATAAGTTTTATCAAAATTGAAGTAAAGTATCATTACATTATCTTCTTTGTATATAAATACACACAGAATGTCTGAAATTTTTTTACACAACCGAAAAGTGAAAGTAGATTGGATGATGTAAAAACTTCATATACTGTCACGGTGTCAAAAGTTTTAGACACCCTGTATATGTATACAAGATGTATATAGATACATCTATACATGTATATAGATACATACATATATGATTTAAAATATCTTAGAAATTATATTTTTTTCAAACAACATAAAAAATTTGTGTAAAATTTAAATAATTTTTTTATATGTATAAAAAAATGTTTTATATTAAAATTTTTATATCAATTATGTATGTCTTGTCGATTTATTATATTGTAACGCACATTCAACATTTCTATTATGAAATTATTTAAATGTTTTTCAGAAACGGACTTTATTGTAAACAGTACATGATCTGATATCGTGTAGTCTGGAATGTGCATGTATTTTTATATAACGTACATCTTTCTTGCAGACAAATGTCTAGATACTATGAATAATGGGCAAGCTGAATCAACACGTTTGTAAGATCATCAATGGGCCTTCATCTAGTGCTGTATTATCTGGTACATAATTTATTTTCATGATTTTATTATTTTCTTTTATTTGATAATCAATTTAAATAACTTTGCTGTTGGTTACATAAATTGATTACCAATTATCATCTTTTATCGGGATTTAAATCATTATAATTTTAGTTTACTATAATTTTATTGATTTTTTAAATAAGCAACATACTAAATTGATTCTAAAAACATAGGTTTTTTTCTTCCAAAATTTCGTTTATCAATGCATATAACAAGTTTATTAAAAACTAGGAATATAGAGCTCATTTTGCTATTTTATTATTAGTGTATTTGAAGTACTTTATGAAACAAACAATTATATAAAAATATAAAACATAAAGCATATAAAAATATATAAAACAATAAGATATATTGCAGAATATAAAAATATGTCTCTTTTGAGCTTGATATTCCTATTATTATCTTAAAATTAACAGTAAACAGTAACATTTAAAAAATTGATTTAGTTTTCACATATTTGTTTCTTTTTCATGTATTTGTGTTACGTAGGAAGTGTAAAATTATTTAAGTTTTTTTACACAATCATTTGATTGCGTTTATTGACATGATACACTATCATTTTTTAGAGTGATGAAGCTTGCCTATATATGGTCTCTTGTGTATAATATAACACAACTAACTGGTAGCAAAATTACATGTATATTTGTTTATAAATACTTGTTATGTGGGATATATTTTGCATGTACATAATATTTATATAGAATAATTCACGTAAAAATGCGATTGTAAGCCTTATTTGGCTATTATTTTTAAACAAATTTAAAATTTTTTATTTAAAATTTTTTTATTTAAGTACATCCTGCACATTTTATATACATGATATTGCATAAGGGATATGTTATTTGGTATATATATATGTGTGTTATGTGTTAAGTGTACATATGTATGTGTGTTATGATCTAACAAATAGATTTTGCTTTTGAATATTTAGTTCTTTTTATCAGTAAATTTTAGTTGTGTATGTGCTCTTTATTATTTTATTCTATGTAAAATCATTACATTTTTGTCAAATAAGTAAAACTGCTATATTGTGTAGTAGATTGTATCGATCGGGGTAATATACTTTTTGACACAGGAAGTATTTAATATAGGAATATTTTTCCAATCAAAACTAACACGATGTCTCCGTAAAATAATACAAATAGTTTTCAATTTTTATATACTAACATCTATATAAAATTGTTGTTATCATGTAAATTATTCTACTTGTCGTTTACTCTTTGTCTCAATCTAAATACCAAGTATGCAGTGTTAATAATATTTCATATTGTTAACAATAATTCATATTGTTTTCAGGTGGAAGTATTTCTGATTCAGCATGTATTTGCAACGATGCGGTTGACAGCGAATTACAAAATGATAGAAATACAATATTAGAATTTAATAGGCATATGGAGGATGTGTCTCCTCATTAGGAGATGGATTTCAATGATTTATTTTTAAATAAGCTATTATTTGACGAATGTGTGGTTCTATTAGACATAGGCAGTATATTATCTTGATTCATCATAATACAAAATGTGCTTCCGGCACAAGAAATCTATTTTTTGTATTATAATATGCAAGGTGTCCGACAATTACTTTAATATTTCTCGTAGATAAATAGAAGGAGTAAAACTGAGTCGAAAAGTCCTATACCATTTTGCGAGATTCGCAATAGTTACCGATACCGATATCTTAATTAACAAAGATTTGCAAACAAGCCTGTCTTACGCGCGTAGTGTAATTGTCGGACACCCTGTATTTGCAAAAAAATTTACATGCAATTATAAAGTAATCGTGCTGAAATATAGTCGCAAGTTACCTCTGTTAATAATATACGAAATGGTAGAACTTATAAACAATGGGAAACTCTTAAATTATGAATGGAGCCATATATCTTATAAATAAACTGTATAATATTGTAGATGTTATATTTTTATAATTACTTAAATACGAATTTAGGCAGCATATTAATGAAAATAATTTGTATAATAATAGCAAATTGTAAGCAATATAAATATAGATATAAATATGTAATTTTCATTAATAATTTCGATAATTTATAAATTTATATATATATATGAATTTCTAGACTGTAGAATATCTTGTCTTGAAAATAATGATAAATTTTTCGCAACTATTCAATAATGTACACTTTAAGAATCAATTATAATTATTAAAAGTTTCTTGATATTAATAATCTCTTCCTCTAAAGAATATAAAAATTCTAATTCTGTATAATCTCTTTTTCTTCATGCATATTTATTACTTAATAAGAATACATTCTGTACAGGATGTTTTATTCATATATAGAATGTATTGCAGTAAATTTTAGACATGCAAAAATAATAAAAATAGTTTATATGCAGACATGTCTTGTGATATGACTTTTGTTTCTAAATTACAGCTATACTTGTAATTACCTGTTCTATTTTTTACAACGATCCTTTCTGCGTCTAAACATAATAATACTAGCTTACTATATTTACATAACACACAATTAATATTATATGTCTTATTAATATGTCTTATTATTATATTGTTTTAAAAAGCACTGTGAAGCACACACTATTAATACCAATTATGTAAATGAATAATTCTTCGTATATAAATACAGTAATATAATTCTTCTTCGCTGAACTCATTTTGAAAATTAATTGCACCTTAAATAAAAATTGCTTGCATCATCGCAAGTAACTAGACAAAAGTGAGTTTTAATGAAAAAATGATGGTGTTCTGAATAAAGTGAGATGAAAGAGGGAAATAACATTTGATTTTTTTAATTAATAGTAAATTTGTTTTTCTTCTTACAGTCATCTTATTTTCTCTATTTTTGCTGTTACTACTCTCTCTCTCTCTCTCTCTCTTTCTCATTTTCTTTCTGTTATTTGTCTCTAGAAGACTACAGAGAGCTATTTTAATTTAGCTCCAAACTGTCAAAATTATACAACATTTGACAACATCTATACAAAGCAAGCCGCAAAAAGAACTTTTTAAGAAAGGACTTTTTCTTCCTATCAGTCTCTCGCTCAATCCCTGCTTTCTCATTCTTTTGCGCAGTCTTGTCCCTCACTTGCGTGTCTCTTCGTCGCGTCTTATACATTTTTAACCCTTACTTCGGTCCCCGCATAAACGGGGAAACTCAAAGCGAGAACCAAGTTTTAACAACCCTTAAAAGTAGTACCCCCAAGGGCACCAGTTCTCTTTCTTCTAGATAATCCACTCGGCGATCCATTCGCGTGTAAACCACTGTACAAAAGAAGCTCGTATCCTTCAAAGAGCAGTCCTGAATTTACAAGAAATTCGCGAATTTTCCATGAGAGACTTCCTTGCGAGTTAATGAGGATTTTGTTAAAAATCTCAATAGCAGTTATTTTACGTTAAAAATGCATTTTTTGCTTATCAATTTGTCTTTTTTTCTTTGGGATGATGTGAGAAGGAAAACGTAATCTTTCAATTTTAAATTTAGATTCCAAACATTTCAATTTTATTTTGATTAAAGTTCAGTGAAATATATTTTCTGTATATGCTATTTTTATCATTTCTGTATATATATATATATATTCAAAAATTGTATATTAAATTGAAAATAACTTATATTGCCAGCCTTTGTTAGTTTCAATATTTCTTTAGGTGTTTGCGAAAAAAAATTTTGTATGTTTTCTTTAATTATGTTATGTTTAATCAAAAGGTGACATGACTATTCTTAAAAAGAAAAATACTTTTCAAGCTTTTATTGTTTTTTTTTCGAATGGCCTTATTTTATTTTTCAAATGTTCGCTTAAAATAATGAGAGTAAACGCTAGATGAAATCGACTTTTTGTCATTTTTTGTCGCAGTTTTCTTAAACACACTCTCGTTCAATGACGAGGACATTGGAACACAAAGTAACGTTGAGAAGGAGAACATAGGGGAATGATGCACAAAGAAAAGTGCGGGGGCCGAGGAAGGAGAGGGGAAGAAGCTACTGCGGTGCGGGATAATGCCTAACAAGCCGACTTGAAAAGACCGCCGCCATTTTGAGTCAATACTTGAAAGTCTTTGCTCATTAAGAATATTTTACGTCTATCTTTCACGTGCTACCGACGCGAACAACATCGCCGCTGACCTCCTATAACCAGTGCGCCATTCCTTTGCCATTCCACCCGTCCCTCTGCGCGCGTATTCTCTTTCTTTTTCTTCTTCTCTTCCTCCTACGTCTCGGCACAGGCGGCTGCACTCACGAAGATGGAAGTTATTTACGCAGTGCTTCTGGAACACGCTCCACCTCCGCGCGCCGATCCCTCAGTCGATTCTCACCCCCCTCGGCATTTCGACCTGGTCTCCCTTTTGCCACGCTAACACGATGCCCCCGCCTCATCGTCTTTGCCTTTACTCTCTTATCGGGTACGCAGCGGGTTTACTAAGCAAGAGAAGAGGATGGCCGGTAGCGCGCCAACCCCACGCAAGCTCGTCCTTATTTTCTCTTTCGACGAGGGGCCGGAGAAATCTCCGATTCCTCCATGGGGTCCATCTTCTAGCGTTCCCTTCCAGCAGCGATGGGTAAACACCGTTCCATCTCGCGGCGTTTTTCCTAATTCCTACCCAATTTCGCTATTAGCATTTCAATTTCTGCCACCTCTTTCCTCTGCTCTTCTCTCCTATTTCTTTCCGCTTGTCGCGTCGGGATGACGGATTATCGTCGAACGAGCGAGGGCTCGGCTGGAAGAAATTTTTCGTCAGTGGAGTAAACGAACGAGAAAACATGACAAATAAGTTGCATTTAAATTAATGATATAGCGAATAAATATTTATCTTAATTTTTATGTAATTATGATGAGTAAAAATAATCCTTGCATAACGCGGATATTTCGTTCCACAGAAATGCCGCATTTTATGTAAAAATCGCGTTATACGAGGCTTGCATAAGCGCATATATTGAAAAAACGAGGTTAAACTTCATTTTACTACAATTTTTAAACCGCGTTATATCAAAACTGCATTATTCATGTACCGCGTTATACAAGGATTACCTGTAAAACGATTGATATTGATTATTTATGATATTATTATTTAGATATTATTGACTTACATTTTTGTAATCTTGAGTGGGAGAGAGAGAAATTATTTTATGAACTATCGCGAACTATTTCTCTCGTTGCATATATATGTACATCTCAATTTTTTTGTTACATCTATATTCACATTAAGTAATTTACTGCATTTGTAGAAATAATTTTTTTACATTACAATAGTCACGGGCGATGATTTGCATTATGAAAGTCCTTTGATTCTCGCGCTTTTTAAATCGTCGCGAGAGTTTTTTGTTTCGATTTCATCTCCCCGTGAAGCCACGTCGGAAAAACAATGGAACGCGCGATGTTCCCGCGCGGCAAAGACAAGGTGAGACGTGAAGGCAAAAGGGGTGACTGTAAAAATAAATCAGGCGCGAACCGGTGCGACGACGTTTCTCGTTCAATTGTATCAACTTTGTAACCCCTTTATTGTCTCATTTTTTTTCGACTATCGTTCTGCTTTCGCGCGCCGTTTGACCGGATTCGTCGAGCGCCGACCCTCTTCGCTTCTTTCTCCGCGAGCGAATCGGGTTCGGAGTTCGCCCGTGCGAACAATCGGCGCGCACAAATGGAACTGCTTCGGAAGCACATATAATAACCCATGAAGAGACAGAGAACGAGAGAAAGAAAGAGCGAGAAGGAAAGGTAGACAGAATGAAACAAAAACTGGTCTCGCTATATAAAACAATAGGGGGTTACTCCGACAGGGATGTGAGAACGAACAGAAGATCGCGAGAAGAAGAGAAGTAACAAAGGAGAGAGAACGCGAGGGCAGCGAGAGAGGTGCAAGAGCGGTCCTGCGAGAGACTGCGACGACGTGTATGAAATTTAAGAACCTGTAACGCTAAGGAAGAACAAAACGCGTAGCGCCGCCAGCTGTGCGGTGCATACGTTATTAGCGCGCTGTTTAGGTATGTCCTTCTTAAATTGAGCAACATCAGCGGTCCGAGTTAATTTTAGCTCGCGCAGTAGTTCACACAGTTAGATATTTGATCAGTTTTTCTAGTAACCATGAATTGCATAATTAAACAGATACAGTTTGTGTTATGTAAGTACGCAATCGACTTAGAAAAATGTAGAATGAAACTAAAGTAACAGAGTTTTCGTCGCCGACCTCTATCGTATAGATAAAAAAGTCTGTATAAAAAATGAGGATTTTCTCGATAAAATCGACGCAATTATTAAAAGATAAAAAATCGAAATTTTTCCGATAAAATCAACACGGACGATCATCTTAGAAAAAACCGATTCATTCAATATCCAACAATTAGAAGCAATGACCGATAATACGTGTATCTATTTTTGTACAGAAGCTGCATTTCTACCGATCGTGAGATCAAAAATTTAGTTCGCGCGTACTATGCAAGAAGAACGGCACATCCGAAGATTCTGCTTCTCTTTGGCTTCCGACGACGACGGAACGCGAAAGAGACCGGAGCACAATAAAACTGGTGTCCGTATGATAATCACGATGACGTCTATGAGAACGCGGCTCACGGACTCGTTTTTCTCACTTGACGAAGGCGCGGCCCTCGTCTATATCGCGATGAAAACAATAAGTTGCATAACAAGCTGCCCGA